TTTTCGGTCAGCAAAAAGTTAGTCTGGAGCAGGTGGATGATTAAATTAATGGGGTATCATCATTGAAATAGCCCTCCCCTCAGTTGGTGTTTGCTAGACCTGAGTGATCTCCAGATAAAAGCAGGTTGATAGGGGGTTAGTTTTTCCTTCAAATTAGAGTTCAGAAGCAACATGATACAAATAATCTAAGTACTAGTAACTGGCTAGGAGTTTTTGTTTGCTTGCTTGCTTAACAAGAACTTTATACAGTTACATTTTGAAAACAAGATAACATGTAGTTTCATGTAATTGTTGGAAAGTAGAGACTAAAGCTGCCTTCAAAACATTTCTTATAGTATGTCAGAAAAAAACTGGAAAACAAGGGACTGTAAAATCATTAGCCATCAAAAGTTCTGAAAGATGGATTTAAACATTTCCAAAATCTTTCTCATTCTGAGGAGCAGTTTTGTGCTGGAAAAATATGGCAAAAACTCTCTAATTTGGACAATTTTCAGAAGGAATAAATAAAATAAAACAGGCTGGAAAGCACCTGTTTGCCCTTTAGATACAGCTCAGGATATTCTGCCCTCACTAAAAAGATGTGGGGCTTCACAATCCATCCGGTCTTTTCCAGATCTATAGTTTTGTGAACCAGTTTATTATGTTTCTTATTTTGGTGTGTTCATCACATTGTAGCAGAACCTTGCCAGCTCCTTTGCAAAGTTCATGTTTTCCCCCTGTATCTTCTGTAGTCCGCTTGCAGGAAAGCCAGTCTAGAATTAACTGATGGTGTGTTCATCACATTCTAGCAGAACCTTGCCGGCTCCTTTGCAAAGTTCATGTTTTTCCCCTGTATCTTCTGTAGTCCCACTTGCAGGAAAGCCAGTCTAGAATTAACTGCACATTTCACTGGAGGTAAGTGGGTGTCTCTTTGTCTTCCTTTTCTTCTTCACTCGCCTTAGAGCTGCTTTATCAGGAAGTTCAAGAGACACGGATCAGGTTTGTCTCTTTGCCAAAGAGTTCTTCCAAACCAGAGACAGGAAGTTATAAAAAAAGAATTAGAAGCTTAATTGCTCATGAGGTTTGCAGATGTCTTGGTAATGGCTCAGAAACAGTTAACTAATTTGTCTCTTAGGATGTTTCCCTTCTATGTTCCAGATGATATTTCTAACACACAATCATCCTGCTTCACTGAGGAAACATTATGAGATCAGACAATACCATCTTTCCCTTCTATCACTCCTATATTTTCCCAGAGTTTGGAAGTTGTTGTTTAGTCGTTAAGTCATGTCCAACTCTTCGTGACCCCATGGATCAGAGCATGCCAGGCCCTCTTGTCTTCCACTGCCTCCCGGAGTTGGGTCAAATTCATGTTGGTAGCTTCGATGACACTGTCCAACCACCTCATCCTCTGTCGTCCCCTTCTCCTCTGGCTTTTACACTTTCCTAACATCAGGGTATTTTCCAGGAAGTCCTCTCTTCTCATGAGACAGCCAAAGTATTGGAGCCTCAGCTTCAGGATCTGTCCTTTCAGTGAGCACTCAGAGTGGATTTTCTTCAATATGGATAGGTTTGTTCTCTTTGCAGTCCAGGGGACTCTCAAGAGTCTCCTCCAGCACCACAATTCAAAGGCATCAATTCTTCGGCGGTCAGCTTTCTTTATGGTCCAGCTCTCACTTCCATACATCGCTACTGGAAAAACCATAGCTTTGACTATGCGGACTTTTGTCAGCAAGATGAAGTCTCTGCTTTTTAAGATGCTTTCTATGTTTGTCATCACTTTCCTCCCAAGAAGCAGGTGTCTTAATTTCGTGGCTGCTGTCACCCTCTGCGGTGATCATGGAGCCCAAGAAAGTAAAATCTGTCACTGCCTCCATATCTTCCCCTTCTATTTGCTAGGAGGTGATGGGACCAGTGGCCATTTTGAGCTTCAGGCCATTTTTTGCGCTCTCCTCTTTCACCCCCATTATGTGGTTCTTTAATTTGGAAGTAAGTAGATACAAATAATGTAGTCAATTATAACTAATTCTTTTTTGGCTAATAGGTAATGGAGATGTGGGCAATAGTATAGTGTGGGGTGGTGCTAGAGGGGTGGTCAACCTGGGTGCAAAATTCTTAGGTGCGCACAAACTGCCTCATCTGTTGCACTCCTGTAGTTGCTCATGTTCCTCTTGGTAGTCTAAGTTCAAGCTGCCAGGGGCACTGGGACTGCTACTGTAAGAAGGGAGAAAATGCCGAAGAAAAAGTGCTTTGCAAGGAAAATTCAACATTCTGCGCATGGGTAACTGCTTTGCTGAGATGCGAGAAATTGTAACCAATGCATATATTCCTCAAGGATCTAAAAAATAAATAAACACTTTTATTTATTTTTTAGAACTGTATACAAACTTTAGCCCTGTTGATCTCAGGGTTCCCACCCTGCTGGGCACCCAAAGAAACTGTCCGCATATTATTATTGCTCAAGGCTTGGCTTATTAAAATTAGCCAAGATATCAGTAGTGTTACTCCAGGAGTAAAACTACCACCACCAGTATGGATCTTGAGTGGCTTGGTGGCCGCTTCATGGCACCACCCTAGGGGCTTCTCACTCCCAGCCCCCCCATGCCCTGCCCCCAACAACCTGTCTTGAAGTGCCTGAGATCCCCATATGCTTCCTATGGCTGGAAACAGGGTCATTAGCCAGACTCAAACTTTTGTCTCTGAAAACGGACCTGCAGAGCAGTGGCAGAGTTGCCACCAGCCTCTTTCTTCTAGTTGCACACTGCTACCTGCCCCCACAACAAATGTGACTGCTTCTTGGCTGGCTACGTTAATAATGCCAAGCCCTAAGAGTCGTCAGGGCCAAGGTATTATAAAGAGGGAAGGGAATGGGGTGGGGGTGGGAAGAGTCCTGTTACAGAAAGTCCTGTTTTTCTCCCTCCCGAAGATTGCAACGAGAAAATTTTGTCCTTTGTCCACCAGATGGGGCTACCTTTACGAAATGGCAGCACTCCTTCTTTCATTTTCTATTGCTTAAAGAAAACTATTTAACAACCAATTTTAGAAGACAAGGAGGCTGTGCTCCAGAAGCCAAAATCTAGTTGCAGAGGTGAATTCATAGTACAATCTAAAAGGACTATTAGATTAACCAAGAAGTCAAGCACCAACTAAAGGTCATTTTAGGGCTCGATCATACCTACCAAAAGAACCCCAGTTATACCAATCTAGACTTTTTTTTTAAGATATAGACTTTTTTTAAAGGTACAGTATATCATAAATTAACATTAATACATAGCTCAGAAGACAACAGCTCAAAGGAGACAGCCTTCCCCACTCCCTTGTGGGTGAAAGGGGTTCTGAAAGACATTTCCTACTTTAACTTGTAAAGAAAGAGGTGTAGCATTAACATATACTCTAGTTTTTAACCCTGCTCTTCACTATATGATTCCTCTTCCCGATGTTGTGCAAAAGGGAAAAGAAAAACAAAAGGGAGAGATATACAGGGACATAAGGGAAAGGGGATGTGTGGGTAAAGGAGGGGAGGGAAAAGGGGAGGAGGACAGAAGGCTCATATTGTGCTATTGCTCTACCAATATATCACTTTTGTTTTTTTAAAGGACAAGATTGGGCCTGATTGCCCTAAGAAACTGTAGAGAAAATTAATTGATACAAAATTGAAGAGCAGTATAGCTTGCTATAACATTTCAAATAGAAATAAATAAATTGATGCAGTTAAAAACAATGTGAATGCTCCTGCTTATATATATACTGTACCATGTGGCCACTGGGGGGGTGGGTGGAAACCTTTCAGAGATATGAAAAGAACTGGAGTAACTGGAGTTCTTTTCTCACATGTAATGGAACCCTTATTGAGAGAACAGAGCACTCTTGGTCATTATTGGGCACTGGGCTATAACTAAAGCAAATTGCATATGGGTCTTGCTGCTTTTCCAATCTATTCTTCTGGCAGATACACATACAGAGGGAAGCGACAGAGAAACCAAGTAACTTATCATATTAAACTAAAAAAAACAAAACAAAAACAAAGACAAGACAAAAACATTGTGCCACGTTAAAGACTAACTGGGTCACCAACATCTTTTATCAGAGATACAAGTGCTTTCTCTATATTGATGGAGGTGTCAGAAGGGTCAGAGAGTCTATTCACAGGGAACAGGGAATGCTGAGTCTGGCCCTCCTTTGTTCCCCAAATAGTTATATTCCTTCCTGGCAACACCAAATACTTGATGGTTTCACAGATTTTGTAGATTTTTTTTCTCAGTTTGAAAGATTGAAATGACGGACTTACAAACAGTGAGAGCTTTTTTTACATTATTTCCTTTATACAGTTTCTGAAAAAATTCGTGAAAAATCTTCAATTTTTCTTTCATTATATTACAATTTTTACCTGTTCCATCTTTAATTATCCCTACTGAATTTTTTGCTCTTTTATTTTTACACATTCTAGCTAGCAGTTTTGAGTTTTTGTTAAACAGTAAGAGCTTTAAACTGAAACATGCTGCTATTTTTGGCTCTACCATTTTTGCCTTGGGCTACTGACCTGACCTTCATTGGAATGCGGGTGTAAGAACTTATCTGAACTCAGTTTTGACCCCCAGAATTCATTTCCCCATTCTTGTCATAAAAGAAAATAAACTGGATAGGCAGTGTACTGCTGTCCTCCACCTGGTATTGTATTGTCTTCATCTAGTTAGGCCTATGCTACACTGAGAACCAGTATAGAATAGCAGATAAAGTGCCACACTGGGACCTGGGTTCAAATCCCTCATCCACCATGGATTCTGACTGGGAAGTGGCACTAGTAAATCCACTCACTTAAATATCTTTCTTATACTGGAAACCTTGCTATGGTAACCACAAATCAGAATCATCTTGACAACACGTAACACATAGGCCCAAATGACAGAGACAATGCACTGCACCCAAGCTACCAGGGGGGAAAAAAATCAAGTGTGACACACAAGAAAACTTTACAATGTGAGATAGAGAGAACAGCACTCTCAAATGGTTACAGCCTAAAAATGAACATTTTACATTTTTGGGCTTTTAAATTTTACTTATTTATAGAGCATGGGGAATAGGACAGGGCAGAGACTTACCACCAACATCGATGTCCACCTTGAAGGCAAAGAAATGGGTGTGTATTGTCCCTAGGGTATGACCTCCGACTTTATTCCCATAATCTAGCCCACTGCCATAAAGAAAGGATGAACTTATGTAGCCAGTGGGGTGGACTTTGCTCTCAATGGCTCCATTTGGATAAAACACGAAGTCCCAGATGTAGTCGTAGTTGCCAACGGTAGAGACGGAGCGAAAAACCAGTGCAGTGCCAGGCAACCCCCCATAGTATATAGAATTAATCTTGGAGTAATGACGCCGAAGTGGAGACCCCAGATCTTGCTCAAAAATACAGATGGCATCCTTGGTGACTCTAGGCTTTTCTGCTTCAAAAAAAGAGGAAACATCAAGGTAAGTTGCAGAATAAGGACAGTCAACCCCTCGCACCAGAGGGTATGTGTGCTTTCCAATCCCAAAGCTTGCATCCATGTATCGGGTCAACATCCCACCAGGGTTATTGGAACCATAGACAGACATGGTGTCCTGCACGCTGAGCTCGTAGACTATCCTTTGACCTTTGAACCTGATATCAAAGAGATGTGGTCCTCGGCTGAGATCTAACCTAAAGGCAAAATTCCAGGACGAGGACTGAATCTGGTTGTTTCTCACATGGTAGCGCGGTTCAGAAACCTCATAGTTCAAAGGGCCTTGCTCAGCATGGTCCACCCTGGGCTTCATGGAGGAAAAATCTCCATCAACTGGAACCTTTTTCACCTTCTCCACATCCACACGACCCTCTGTGAATTCTCTTTCCAGTTGTGTAAAGTCTCTATAGTACTGGCCATTGTAAAACACTTTCTTCACACTCCACTGGGAGCTATCTAGGTTGCTATGATCTAACAGCACCTCCAGGCCAATGGGGTGCAAGAAGTAGCCAGTCACATTCTGGAAAAGGACTAGCCAAGTTGCACGGTCACCAGACTTCAGTCCCCGGGGAGATGTTGTCATTGCAGCTACATTCGTGCCATCATAGCCCAGCACTTCCTGCATGAAGCTTGGAGCTTTGGGAAACACAGCGCTGTGCAGGAAACCTTCCATCTGTTTGTATTCTGCAATAAGGGGTGGCCTGCAATAATACGGTACCTGCCGTCCATACTTCTCCACGGTCACATCCCGGTGATACGTCGGCTCTGGGAGTGGGCCCACCACATACTCAGTGACATTTGGGTGTGTTTGGTTTCCAAAATACACCACAGCCAGCGCTTGCCTAGGAGGACGGCTGCCTCTGTCATCCAGGTACGAAAGAGATTCTGCTTTGGGCGGCAACTGCAAGTCAATGGAGTAAATGCAGTTGCCAGAAGGATTTGCACGAGAAGCATCTTCCAGGACTACCCCAAGACTGGACTTCAGGTACTGTACCACGTGGACAATTTCCTCTTGGCTGAGATCAGCAAAAAGCCACCTCCTTTCACTATGCAGATGCTCTGGAAGAATATATTGTGTCTGGTACCTGCAGTGTGCGTATTTTTCGCCTCTAGTCAACAAGACGCAGACTAAGGCAAAAATCACAACCAAGGCCAGGAGCAGCACCATGAGAAGGGTTTTCACATTCATCTTTGCAGGAGCGGCAGCAGCAGCAGAAGAAAAGGCAGTAGAGGAGCATCAAAGTGATGTTTGTAGTTCCACACAGCTTCCTTGAACTATGACCAGCTGAGTTAAAAGCACTGAGGAGGAAAGGTGAAGGAGAGGCTGAAGGAGGGGCTTGCAGAGGGTCAGCAAAAGGCCCCTGTTCTGTGCCTTGCAGAGAAGTTTATGTTGAGGCACCGGCATCCCTGGGATATAGCAGACAAGAGTGAGTCACTGGACAAATCTCACACCACTCTCTCCTGGCTGCTCCTTCCGTCAAGCCGTCTTTTCCAAGGAGTCTGTAAAGATCCGATGATATGGATACCAGCAGGTTGGGCGGGCTCAGCATGTTTTGTAGACTATAAAAGTAGAGCTCCCTCCACAATGCACTTTTTTTTTGCACTTGTGGTGAAAGTTAATACATTTCCCTAAAATGATTCTAGTCTGTCTGCCTGGGTCTTTTCCATCAGAGACTCAAGATGTCTGAATGAAGTCAAAGACAAACATATGTTCAATGCAACAGTATGAAAGCATCAGCAGAGCCAGAGATGCTGGAAACACTCTACCTCATTCAAGCCTCTTGTGGCAAAGAAAATGCTACAAGGGACACTAGGCGCAATTCAAAGTGAACCCTTAAAATTAAAGAAATAGGCCTGGGAAAAGTTACTGTTTGAGGAGAATGACATGTTTTGAGAAATCCACTCAGATTTTCCAAATTCTGTGAGTGGCTATTAAACTCTCTCTTAAGTTATTGGACATGATAGAACAAACACTCTGTTCAGTTCCTCTGAAGTTTGATTTTAAAAAAATATTCCCAGTATTCAACATGGTATAACAGACTATGAGGACGCCATTATTTTCCTGGGCAGGTTGTCTGCCACAGCCCTGTGCCCTCTGGAGGACTGCTCTTGAGACCCTGGCAGTTAGGCAACCTGACATGGACAGTGAGACAGAACACCTGGGCAGGGTCCTAGGAGGAAGAAGAACCGTACTTGCAGGGAGAGGTTGCAGGTGGAGCTGAGCGATCGGAAAATGGAATAAAGGAGGAAGAGAAGACATCAGCAGGAGATTCATCAGCATCTGGGTTGGAAGGGTGGTTGGAAGCATGAGAGAAGCAAATTCTGGTCTTTCATTAGGAGGAGAAATGACCTCTGCTTCTCCAGGATCCCTGGATGGGCAAGCGAATCAGCTTTGCCCCAGACAGAGGCCAAGGCAGGGAAGTGCCCATCGCTCCCGTTTGAGCCATTGCAACAGCAACCGGACTTTCTACTGGAGCTCCCCCGGGGAAGACCAACACCAACCCAGAAGAGACATTGGAGGCATCACCAGCAACACCAGTGCCTTGTCCATGTGGTCTGGAGCAAGAGGAGCAGCTCCACCAAAAAGACCTGCATCAGGCAGCTACCACCAGCCCTCTTTGAGAGGTGTCGAGTTCCTGGAGCTAGTATCATGAACTCAGACTCAACTACAGACCCTTGGACCATGGGAGGCTAGTGCTGGGAATTCAGCCCCCATCCTGGATGTTGGATCAAAGAGGGCTGGGACAAGAAGCTGAGCCCTCATGGGGTCAAAAGGATAGAGGAACCAAAAACACATGGGTTGTGGATGTACCCCTCCACCCTGTCCCAATAAAGCCTGGTTGGACTCTATCTGAGCCTGCAGGGTTTATGGGGCCTAGGAGAACGCCTCTCATCATCCTCCATCTTGGCAGGGTCAGCAGGGGGCAAACAGAAATTCACTAAGATTCCATGGCACAGTGAGGCGAAAGGTATAGCTTTAGTGGTGAGCTGCCTGCAAACTGGGAAATCTCTAAAGGCATGATCTGTTGCACTCTCGAGTTGTGCAGCAGATAATGCCTACAGAGACTTCTTCACTTGCAGCAATTCACCATGGAAGGTATGCCTTTTGCGTACCTGCTCAATAGGATTTGAGCCATTGTGAAGGAGGGACAAACAATGCCCAGCTTTTTGTGAGGAGAAAACAACACCAGAAGAGGATGTTTTCATTATTCTGACTGTGGTAAGGGAATTCTTCTCATTCCCTGCACTCTTTTTGCTTTACACTTTCCCCTGTGATAAACACGGGCCCTAATGTTACACTATAGTGAATTTAAGAGGCTAGAGGTTGGTAGGGTTTGGTGGATATGGATGATTCTCCCTCAACCAGTACATTGAGGGTAAGAAGCATATCCTAAGTTACCCTAGACTAGAATGCTCACTCTCAGCAGAAGGCAGGCTTCAGGCAGTTCGAGGCTCTTTGGGCCTGGCCCAGCTGAGGAAAGAAAAACACAGACACACCCGACTGGGAAAGGCTGTGTGGGAATTTCCACTCCTGCTTCCAGCCTGCCCCCACCATGTTGGTTTCCTGAAACCTGTCTCCTGCCGTGAATGTGTCCTTTCTGCTTCTTTCCAAGGGTGGGTCACCCTCCTCCCTCCTCCTCTGATGGCCCCAGGTGCCCCTGTTCCATCTCAGGCTGAAGTCACTCCTTTTCTTAGCCACTCTGTCACTGAAGGCAACGCTTTGTACCAGCAAAGCCTGGCCTACAAGAACAATCTCTAGTCAGTATTTGCAACAGGAATCTGACTGATTATCTCTGTTTGCACAGCAAACAGAGGTCATGTGGAGAGAGTACCTATTGTTGTTCGGCTGCAACTCCCACCATCCCTGGTATACTACCTAGATCTCATGGGAGTTGTGGTCCAGCAATATATCAACTGGGGCTGATTACTGGGATCACATAAGCCCTATTACAGCAGCGTCACCAACTGCTGATTGGTCTACGGGCACAATTCAAAATGCTGGTTTTAACCTATAATAAAGTCCTGAACAGCTTGGGTTCAAGCTATCTAAAAGACTTCATCTCTCTTTATGAGACTACCCGGGTATTAAGATAATCAGGACAGGTCTTTCTCTTGATCCCACCACCTTCACAAGTGCATTTGGTGGGGAAACAGGGAGAAGGCCTTCTCTGGTACTGGCCCCAACTTTGCTGTCCTTCCACAAGCAGGCAAATACTTTTCTCTTCAGGCAAGCTTTCTCTTAGTGACTGGCTGTCCAAGAGGCATTTTAAAATGGGTTGTTGTGCCTTGTTGCTTTTAAATGTTTTTAGTATTGATTTTATTTACTGTTTTAAATATAATGTTTTATTCTTTTTAAATATATGCATACTTACTGTTTGCAGCTTTTAAATACTGTATTTTTATTGTGTTAAGCTGCCTTGGGTCCTTTTTAGGGAGAAAGGTGAGGTCAAAATATTTTAAATAAATAAATATAAATATTGGATATTCTCCCCTGATCTAAGAGGGAATTTGACTGCTTAATAACAGTTACTGCAGAAAGCATAAAGCGCTCTTCCAAGAGAAAAGATGGATCTCTGTTGAACAACTATATTGGAACACGTACAAAAAAGGGGTTGGTTGTCCGGTCTATAAATCTCAGAGCAATCTTGTGAACCTGGAGCCCTGCAGTTGTGCTAGACTACAGCTCACAATAACCAGCCAGCATTGCCGTTGGAGATGATGATAACTGTGGTCAAACACATCTGAAGGCCACTGGGTTGAGGAATACTGCCTACAAATGTAAGACAGCAACAGAGGACACATAGTTGTTGGAGTGTTAACTTCGCTGTGCTGGCTAGGGCTGATGCGAGTTGTATTCCAACATACGGAGATTCACAGTTTGCTCATCCGAGTGACACAAGGCCCATGTTCTTTACTGTGAAAATCAGCACGAAAGCCAGTCTGTGAAGAAAAACACATTTTGGTAGAATATGTTGCTCCTGATGTTTTGTGCCTGAGGAAAACAGGAGGCTGCATTCTGTACTAGTTGATGAGTCCAGGTCAGCCTCACAGCAACAGACAATTATTAGCTTCTAGAGCACACTCATGCAAGAGTTTCATCCACTCAGCATTCTAGTAACACTATGAAAATTTTGTGAACTTTGAACCGGGTGGACCTTTGTCCCAAATTCTGGTGGCAATGCTTACTGCTTCTTTTTCAGCTGTACAAGGGAGTATGGTAATAGAAAATTCATCATGCTAGCATGCACATTTTCTATGGGCTAAAATCAAAGAAAATTTCTATGACTTAAGGCAGCAGGGGAAACCTTGAAAAAGAGAGCAAGAGGAAAAAAGGGGCAGTGGATGAATTTTATCCTGCTATCCTCTGCTTCTCCCTGCCCTTCCTCTATCATACTATTGGCCTTTTTATTTTATTTACATCTATCCTCCTCCCTTCTCCAGTCATTGTTAAATAGTTTTCACACTGTTTGGGAACCTGGTTTTGGGAACTGCAATAAACAAAGTCAAATAAATATATAGATTTCCACTGTATTGGTAAAAACTGAGTATTTGCTGCCATTTCTGCTCTAATCCATTGTGCAGGAGTGCAAACTATTATTAGAATTCCACATTTTATGTTAAATCTAATACTGGTTCAGGTATCATAGACTCACTGAAACACAGGGGTTTGCAAAAATATTATCTGTTCTTATTCATTCAGTGCATCTACTTTGTTACTTTGAGATTTTTAAATGAAAAGTAGTATAAAAATGCTTTTAAAGTTAAAAAAAAAACACACAGGACTAACAATGGAATCCACTCCTGTGATTGGGTTCATTTGAAACCTGGAGCAGTTCCACCATTTGGGTGGGAAATAAAGACTGAGACCTATCTAGAATGTTAACTTCAACTTTATTAATTTTTGGCGTTTCTATGATTACTTCGGTTGGGTCAAAACAGGAGAAGTCTGGCAAATGTCTATAACTTGGAGATGAAAACTCGCAGGACCCGGGGGGGGGGGGGGGGCTGGACCAAATCGCTCCTGATCCATAGGATTCCGCAGAGGAGCACTCTTCACTGCGCATATTGTGCCGTAACATGGGTGATGACCCCAGTCCCCTTCTTTCGGAGATTGGCTGTAGGTCTGATCCAGCCGGATCACTTCACCATTTGGGTGGGAAATTAAGACTGAGACCTATCTAGAATGTTAACTTCAACTTTATTAATTTTTGGTGTTTCTATGATTACTTCGGTTGGGTCAAAACAGGAGAAGTCTGGCAAATGTCTATAACTTGGAGATGAAAACTCTTCTTGCAGATTGGGACAACTCACGGGGGGGGCGGGGGGCAGGACCAAATCGCTCCTGATCCATAGGATTCTGCAGAGGAGCACTCCTCACTGCGCATATTGTGCCGTAACATAGGTGCTGACCCCAGTCCCCTTCTTTCAGAGATCGGCTGTAGGTCTGATCCAGCCGGATCACTTTCCTTCCATGTCCTTGTCCCCACAGGAAAACGATCACCATCCATTCCAAAGTCTCATACAGTTTCTCCCTCTCTCTTCACTTCTGGGTCTGGTAACAGTCCACCGATCTTTAGGTTGGGGAAATCTCTCAAAAGCCCACACGTTTTCTCGTATGTGGAATCTACGTATATGTTTCTTGTCCTTTTTCTCCTCTTTCCTCACCACCTTCCTTTCGTCTATTCTGCTGCCAAACCACTTTGCCCCCTCATCTTTTATACTCTCCCCCCACACTCATACTTTTAGCTTCTCCTCTTTTTCCTTTCCTCCTTCCTGCACTAGGCAAACTTCTACTTTCCCCTTTTCATCATCTGTCTCTTTCTTTTCCCCTACCAGTATATCTTTTTGCTCAATCACCTCTCTCTCCTTTATTCCTTTTTCCCCTTTGGGTGCTTCTGTGCATGAGGATGGCTCACTATCCTCATTCTCTCCTTCACAACTCCCTTGTCTTTTATGTGAGTATAATTAAAAACAATAATTCCTACAATTGCAAAAACAGACTTCAGAGTAGAAGGAAAAATCTGAGATTAGGATGGTGTGAAAGGAGACTAAGCAGCATTACAATTTTTTTCTAAAGCCACTTGTCCCCATGACTAGCTGATGGATTATTTCAATCAAATTAGCTAAGACATACTGTATGAACACAGAATTACACCAGATTCTTTGGCACTTGTTTTCAATTTTTAAAGCAACAGAATGCATCTAATGTTCCCGTGTGTGCTTCTGCCATTTAAAAGAAATTTGAAATAGGAAAGGTACACACTTCATGCTTCCAAATTAAGGAGCCAAACTGCACACAAATGATTCAGAAGTGAGGGAGGCTTCTGTACACAGTTACCAGAATACTCTCTTTCAATTTAAGATAAATGGATGACAAGATGAAGCTGCACAATCTCAAGAGCACTCTATAGTAAGTAAAAGGTCCCCAATTAATTCTAGACAGATGGCTCTCGGTTATACCAATCAGAAGCACATTGTACAATTTTTTTGCCTCACCCCTTTCTTGGATGTTTGTTTGTTTATAGAAAGTAAGAAAGGGGGCAGGAACCCAGAAGAGCTACAACTGGATATAGACAACATCAGGAACCCTTATAAATTTGTGCAAATGAGGCAACGGACAGAAAAAAATCTGGTCCAGAACTGAATCGTATTGCTACTGAACCAAGAAGTCCCTCTCCAATGTAGTAACAAAGGATCGCTTGCCATTATTCGTGCAGTGATCTCCCCCCAAAATTTATTCTCATTCATATAACAGGCATATTTTTGCAATGATGCAATGACACATTAAAATGCTGACAGGGCTTTCCATTCAGCAGACTCAGTAGAATGCCAGCCCTCTGGGTAGCATCCTGAGTTTTAGGGAAATAAAAGGAGGAAGGGGCGGAAAAGTCCAATTTCCTTGGAAAGGCTTTATCTGACAATCTGCAAGCTTTTTATCTGCATTACATCTTGGGGTGGCATATGGACTTAAATGACTTTGAGCCTTTCGGGTTGACCTACTTGAGGTACTACTGCAATACAAATTTAGATACTACTCTCTGCAAAGCAAATCCTGACAGCTGTGGAAGATAAGTGATGCATGGACAGAAGGGCAACCAAGCTATCATCAGAAATTTATCTCATTTCAAGATCACCATGGAATCACTTGTTAAGGAAGCCATATTGGTGCTTCTAGACTAGTCATCTCTATTGTCACATCAGCTGAAGTCAAATCCAGTTTTGTCCACCCTCTTTTTTTTAAAGGTTTGTGAGTGATCATCTGGGGGGGGGGACTTTCCTTTTTCAGATGACAATTTCCACAATCTTCAGCCATGCTACAAGCCATCTGGGGAAATATGAGCATTACAGTACAAAAAAGGGTAACTTTTCCAAACTACAACATTTCTGTAGGGCTGCTGGTTTAATCCCAAATGGTGAGACTGGGTGAGCTCTCCAGCCTGCATGACCCAAGAAAAGTTTGAAGTTGAACCTTTCAGTTCAAATATTTATGAACAAGAAAGATCCTGAACTCTACTCCCCAGTTCTCTGCCCCATTTGGATTCTTGCTTAAGGGTGCAATCTTCTCTTTCAGAAGCATGCCAAGGCTAGAAGGAACAGGGTAAAAGAAATGACCCTATGCCTTCCCAGCCAGCTCAATGTGACACAGCACTGTCAAAAAATGATCTGCAAAAGCAAGTCTCCAACAAAGACGCGTAAGTGGTACATTCCACATGGCCAGTGGTGATTGTATTGAATGTTTTCGCCAAAAGCAGATCCAGAATGTTAAGGGTAATTCCACTGTTATTCCTGAATTATGATGACTTCAAATTATTTGGGGAGGAATATAGCTATTTTTTTCTTATCTTGGTCATTGTTCCTTACAGTAACTCCCATAGTTGGACTTCATGCTCTTTCTCATATGATAAGAGACCCTAAAAGCAGCAGGATGTCTTCTGAGAAGCAGGAGGCTCAGATTGTTTTTCCCTAACTGGCTGGTCTTATAACTGAACTGGATACGTATTCTACTTCCAGGGAAGCACAAAGCTTTGTTCCTGTGGCACAGGAGCAGCCTGCATCAGCTGGACTCACTACTGAATTCTTGGCCTTAAGGTCAATAAACGTCCCCAGATTAATCCTTACCATGTGATGTTTTGCTCCAAAACTTCATCACCAATCACAGCTGGCACCACAGGCCACAACAATGAGAAATGGATCTTGTGGCTGTACTTAGCACTTGTTCTCAGTCAGATTTGGCAGTTCTACCAAGATGGAAAACTGTGGATAAGATGTCTACAATGTACCAATGATCTTGTTTGGAGTGTTTGATACAGATTTTGCAGTGGTAGAGAATTCATACCCCTGCTGAGTTTAGATTATACCCTCAAGGTTGAACACATTCTAAGTTCTATCTTTTACAGAGACTTAAAGGTCTAAAGCAGAGCAGGGTCTAGGTGACATAAAATCAGTATGGAGTACTGGATGGTTCTCAGCACAAAGAGGAACTCACTGAATAAGAACTGAACAGTATATAGTAAGAGCTGTGCTAGATGCCAACTCCGTCTCACCTCCCAAATTGGTTTCCAGCAAGGGTAGCACTTAGAAACAAAACAGATCCAGAAGCTATGTAATTATGGTCACTTCAGGACTGCCCATATCAGCTCACATTAGGAACCCTGGCTCCTAACAGCCCAGCAGAAGGTGCAAAATTAGATCTGCACAGGCAGAGAAGTCACCAAAACGTGAATACAAACTAAGTTATTGGTGACTGTGGAACAACAAGAATGATGTAATTGATACCATGGGATCACACTTCTTGTGTTTAAAGACAACTCATCACAGAACAGGCACTCTTGCTTCAGACACAGGGTGCAATCACTATAACATACATGAACCGTTGCTCTGCTCCTTTTTGGGCAGAATTAATTTGCTAAGCTAAAAAAAGCAAGCAACTTTGAGCAAAACCAACTCACTCTATGGTCCATCAATAGTCACTCTGTCCTGAAGGCAGCTGGACCAGGGTTCTGTATAACAATGGACTTGAGACACCAGATATATTTGAGACTGAACCCATTGTATTCTCGAACCCAGAAACAGAAAAATATCAAGCCAATGATGCAAAATATTAATGGCATCAGGAATGCAATCTGGAAAGAGTTCCTAGTCTATGCTCCTTCATCATCACAGTTAAAAAAAGAGTCCCAGTGAGCAATGTCCCAGAGATTTCTTTTCTCACCCCACAGCTATGTTCAAGGGGAATCCACTCCGAATCAGAGGGAGACATGGACAGACCTGTACTGAACAGAGCTCCCAAATTATAAAACACTGCTGCAGGGACCAATCGCTGGAGAAAATTTAAACAGCCACAGGCAAGGTGGGACATGAGAATAGCTGAACAAAAGTAAAGTCTCTGGTTAACAGTCCATTTGCTTGCATGGTTAACTTCCAAGGATGAATCCAAAGTACCTATCACTTTTAATTTGACATAGTAAAAGTTGTACATACGTTCAATGTGGCAAGGAAATATGAACAATCCAATGAAAGCAGCCGGTACAAAGAAAACACAGGAGAAGGAAATAGGGGGAAGGCTGCTTTCCGGTAGCAGCTACAATAAGGGCAGCTTTTGTAAGAACCTTTACTCTGGGTCAGACTAAAACTTGCCCAGCAACAAATGACAATGACACAAAGGCATTTTTCAAAGAACCCAGGGAGAATGAGCTTCATGGCAGAGCTGGCAGAGTGGAGGGTCCTTTATTTTTTTTTAAAGACAACCAAGGAAAGGGAGAGGGGGCTAAGAAACATCATTCACCCTGCCACTGTTTTGTTTTGTTTGCTTTACAAATCTAACACCACTCACGAGACTACAGCACAAGAGGAAATATAAAGGCTAAGAGCAAATCTCACAGGGAAACTGCAGCATCCCAGGTAGTTGGCGCCCCCTTCCTGCTTCCTTGCAGAATGGAAAAGGGCAAAACTAAAGAAGTCTAGCAGGACTCATTCAGGGAGCAAGAACTAAGCATACTTTCCAGGGCTCTCTTAAAGGATCCCCAGCTGAAAATAATCTGCTAGATTTCTTTAAATTGGGCAGGAGAGAGAAAAAGGAAAAACATGACAGAGACTTTGGATCTTAAACACACCATTCTGCTATTAGAAAAAATAATTTCATTGGCCCAACTGTCTCAGGAGTCCTGCTCTACCCTCCCCAATCTGAGATTCAGAGAATGCCTACTGCATTCCAGTTTTCTGTTAGGATTCCTTGTTAGACTGATGGATGTCATGGCAAAAGCAGAAAATCCTTCTTGATTTTTTTCCTCTGGAAGTAATTAGTGCCAATTCAGAAGAACAAACACACTCAATGAAGGAAGGAAAAAAGCTTAAGGGCATTAAAATCGGCATGATTGGACAGGTCATGAAGATGGATACAGACAGCCATGGGAGAGGGGCACCGGTTTCCCCAAAACTGCTTTTTCAGTGGGAAGACCAAAATAATAGAGCCAGTGGTTGAACAGGTCAGGTCTTATTAAGACTTGGTGCTGCTATTGACCAATCAGGGATAAACTACCTAAAACGGAGCACTCCTCCGAGCAGCTACAGAGCAGGGTTGTTTAGAGCTGCTGACATTTAAGGTATTCTTGCCTGGAACAGGATGGCCTTTATCCTGTTCTCCAGCTAAGTAGAAACAGAAGCTCTGCCCCATATCTTCCAGATGTCAGAGATCCTGGGAAGGACAAATCCCAAAACCCAAATAAAAACCAACCAACCCCCCCAAAAAAAGCTAGGAAAGTTTCTTTAGACTTTTAACTAAAAGTGTGGCGAGGACTGTTTCCAGCCAGCTTCCCCATCTTGATAGTCGCATAAATTGAGGCAAAGACTGTCTTGAGCCTGCTGAACAGTTCATAAGTTCAGAGTGCCGACAGCTCAGTAGAGAGTCTCTGCATTGCTGCTCCGGGGTCGCTTGATCTTCTCAATATTCTTTAGGATCATGTCGTGCAGAGTCACCTGGGGGAAAGGAGACAGAGACTGATTTCTTCTCCCTCAAAAAGGATTTCGTTTGCCACAGATCTCCTGCCTACCTTTTCAGGGGAAAGGCAATGTGTTGCCTGGATAACAGCCCAGCAAGACATGCTGCCCCCCATATTATAGAAAAAGGTGGACTCTTGCTTGAGACACAGCTACACTAAGATTAAATCATTTTAAACTGTTATGGGTAGGGATGGTTTTTTTTTTAAATTCAAGGACTTCCAGTCCTATCATTTGACAGGAAGCTTCCTGGTTGAATTATGAGACCAGGAGTCCTCAAACAGACAGCAGCTCCCTCACCCCCATGCTGTTCCTGTGCAACTTCTTAAAACAATTAGAAAAGATTCCCTCACAATGGTGTATGGGGGAACTATTTCCAATGGAGATTGCCTCCATATGGCTATAGTTTTCTGTACAGGACCTTAGGAAGCTACTAATTTAAGGACAGAGTTCTCCATTTAACTTATCTATACTCTTTTAAGGACTACAGTCCCTTAGTTTGCCTAATACAAACAGAAGTTTAAGACATTATGAATTTGCTAATATATAACTCATTGCAGGACATGTATTTTTTGTTGAAACAGACTAACAACAATTACCCCTGCAGAAGGTGAGCAATTTGACAGAGAAAAATTTCAAAGTGGTTTGCATTTAAATGGGGAAACAGTCTTGAATATAGTCATTTCCATCAGAACTGTCAGGTCATAAGTCTCATATTTCAGTAGTACATTTAAAAAAAATCCTCACATTTCATGACATTTAAAAAGACACACTCATTTTTAATGGTGCAACGGTTTTACAAAATTGAAGCACATAACCCCATAAGCCCAAGCACTGAGTATTAACACGTGCATGGCACTGATCATCTTTACTTCAAATCAGGGGACATCAGAGACCACACCAAACCACAGGTTAGCATGATCAGAAAGAGACACAGCAAGGTTTGAATTGCATGCTCCTACTTCTCTTCTTCTTGGGGCAGGGTGGAAGTTTGTACATTTCTACGTCTTCTTTCATTATCACCTTCAGCTATCTCTACAAAATCTAAAATGTCTTTTTGCAAAAAACAAAACTGAAATGTCTACAGTTTTTAATAGATCTGTGGATCTATATATTTGCCTTTGTCACTATATGTCTTTTTCCTTGGAGGTGGGGGGGATTTCCCCGTTTTTCCCTAGGTATTCATACAATTGGGGTTAATGTTAGCTACTGTCCAGAGCTTGGCAAAGTGACTGTTACAGTACTAAATCCAACTTTTAGTCCCAACAAATAAGATTCAACAAAACTTACACAATTGTTGGCTTAACAATTCCCATTCATTCAATGGGTCTACTCCACTTGGAACTACTAGATGTAACTTTTACACCAATGCAAAGCCATTGACTACAGTGGCTGGGGGATTCTGGGAAATATAGTCCAAATGGCTACTATTCCCAAGTTCTGGTAATATTTGACATTAGCTTCACAGATGCTGGTACAATGTTAATTATAGTTTGTTCGAAACAAGCAAGTATTAGCAAAAACTGTCAGTCTGAATAAGCTGTAACAATAATAGTGTGCCGTCAAGTCAATTCTGACTTATGACAACTCTTTTCAGAGTTTTCAGATAATTAGCACTCAGACGTGATTTGCCATTGCCTTCTTCTGAGGGCATCCTGAGACTGTGCAGCTTGCCCAAGGTCACACAGGCTGGCTGTTCTGACTCTGCAGCCAGACACCCAAACCACTGAGCTATAAAATGGAAGCAAAAGGTTTCTGAACTCCTTCCTCTGGCTGTGCCAAAGGAGAAAGGAATGCCAGACTCCAAGGCAGTTGTGACACATTTTCATTACTTTGAATGATGGTAAGTGTGACATTCAAATTCTCCCTTTATCTCAAGGATGAACCGACTTGTTGTGACTTTTTTTGGTCATTAAGGACTATAGTCCCTTAGTTTGCCTAATACAAACAGATATCCGTAGTCAGTGAGACATTCTTGCTGAAGTGCATTTACCACATCTATACTGTATTGTGCTTTCCAATTTACTCTTTCCAAAATGGCTGAAGTATCTATTCTGCTGCATTTATTTACTTTCTATAAGCAATTATTTGCAAATCTTATGAACAAGTTGCGGAGAAGCCTCCCCTAACCTGATGTCTTGGACTACAACTCCCACTGCCCTAAATCATGTTGATATAGTACTGGGAATTGTAGAACACATACAGAGGACACTGGCCAAGTAAAAATAGATCAGTATCATTCTGATATGAATAAAAAAAGAATCATCTGTAAATCATTAAAAAAAGCCAGTAAACCAGTCCATAGTTCACTAAATTGACTGAGATTTCAGTAGCTTCGGTAGCACTGAATGCCATCTCTCACATATAGCATCCATGGGGTTTCAACCTTCCTCAGTGTTATCAAACCCTTCTCTCACCAGCTTGTCTGTGACAAGCAGGATTCATCTCTTAAAATGGACATGCTGTCCTTTTCTTTTTCTATAGCAACAGCCTGAATTCATAACAAGTGCACCTGGTCCTCAGATAAATAAAAGGACCCCTTCCCACTTTGCTGTTCTTCATGCTCCCAATCCAAAAAAGCATTCCAGGGGGTTGTTCAATGGTTCAGCTGAGATAACCCTTCCTAGTCAAAAGAAAAGCAACTGAGCAGCACCTGCCTTTCTTGACTTCAAAAGACAAGTTCTGGATGATGGAGCTCCTGTAACCAGGAGAGTCACAGGCTTCCCTTCTTTCCAACTGGAGGCCACAGACATGCTGGAGATGCCAGGGAGACAACTGGACATGGAGGCTTTACAAGAAGCCTGGTAGGCTAACTTACATATTGATTTCTGAGCTCTGAAATGATGAGTCGCAGACTGATGTATTCCTTTTCATCCATCTCGGTCACCGTGCGGCGGTAATCCTCCTACAGAGAGAGTTATATAGCTAGAACTGCTCTGGCACCACTAAGCATGAGAGGGGAGCTTGCTGTGATTGAGTGATCGCATCCCATTTCACAATTGACAATCATCTGTAAAAATGTCACCTTCTAAAGGCTTCTGGGTCATTCCTTCTGTATAGCTATCTTATTCTACTCCATTAACCTTAACAAAGGAACCAGTCTGGTGCAAAGCCCACTGAAACAGAGATGCCAAGACAGGGAAGCTTCTCTATACTGCAGATCTAAACATTTCCCAGAGAAGTGATTCTCAAATCCTTCAGCCCTTCAGATGCCTGTGGCTTCAGCTCCCAGATTTAACCAGCATAACCAGTGGCCAAGAATTTGGGCTGTTGGGAGTCCAAATACATCTGGAAGGCTAAAGGTGCAGACCTACTGCCCTAGACATCACAACGCTTTCATGTGAAATATATTCGCAAAACTGTTATTATTTCTAATACTCTTGGAGTTTAATATTCTAAACACAGTTATTACATTAGTTTGATAAACCTAATCTCCGCACTTACCACATGAGGATATTTTGCTATTTTAGAAACCAGCTTTGCCCGTGTAATGTAGTATCTGAAATGGAAGCAGAGAAGTATCTTAATATGTCATAATGAATGGCAAGGGGATTCCTAAGAAAGTTTAGGCACCAGAAGGATGAACCTCTCTCTCAAAGAAACACCAGTCATGGAAAGAGCTCTGGAAGAAGAGTTACATCTTAAAAACATACCCACCTAGAGATCTGGTCCAAGTATGAAGCTGCTTCACTCTCTACAGTTCGGAGTTCAGCCACAGTCTCTTCCTGCAAGAGGGAAAGCCAGCAGGGAAACATTTATTAAGAGAAGAATTTCCAAGCCCACTCATATCCAACCATTCTGTGATTACAGAGGTCATGTTGATGATCTCCACCTAGATCCAGATGTGCCTGAGTCCCAGACAGGGAGAATATCTGCCAACCAGTCCTACAAGAGATCTAGGAAAAAAAGATATATCAGCCAGTAACCTCTTAAAAAGCATCCAGGCTTCATAGGAGCTTTGGGCAGTGATCTCCTTTCTTCCTAAATACAACATACTTTGTTTTTCCTAATGAAGAAGCTCCCTATGACAAGCCTAGAATCTAAGGGCAGAAGCTGCTCCATCAGAACCATATTTGGGGTCCTGAACAGTTCTATTGCTCCCTTTTGGCCAGCCCAAGGAAGGACTGGCTTCACCAGACAAAAGCTTGCTATATCTACTATACCTTTTCTCAATGAATGAAGTGACTTCTTACATCACCAACATATAACAGATTTCTGGCAGAACCTCAGGGAGTGTCCAGTGAACTCACCACTTCCCTCAATCCTCACAGAAGAAGGTCACTTCCCTTCCTCCATTACGGAAGAATGACTAAATCCAGGTTCTGTTTCCTTCCCTGAGGAGTCCCTCAATCCTCACAGAAGGTCACTTCCCTTCCTCCATTACAGAAGAATGACAAAATCCAGGTTCTGTTTCCTTCCCTGAGGAGTTCACAAAGGTCTAGTTCCCCAGGATTCTCAACCCAACTGCCAATTTACCTGAATTGAAACACCAAAGTTGTTGCCATCTTCTATCCTAGGAATCAGGAGCTGCACCCACATTTTCACCTACAGGGGCAGAAAACATATTCAAAAATGGCAGGGCCTTGTTGGATATTCTAAGCATTCCTGGCAGTGTGCTCTGCATACAGCATCTTGATACTTACAAGCCAGGTAGGTAAGGCTGAGACAGAGAGAGAAAAAGACGTTTGAATTCCTCCATTTAGAACCAACACTGTCCCAGCCCACATGGACATGTTACATTCATGCCTATGGGACTACTGTTTTAGATCACAAGAAAAAAAATGGGCAGACATGAAACTGAATACCTACAAACAAACTCCTATGCAAGAGAAAAATCAACTGAGGGCGGAGTTATAACTTATCTTTCTTCCTGACATTTCACAGATTTTCTGGACAGGAATGAATTTTGGAATGGAGAGAATTTTATGCATGGGGGTCCCCCCCGGTGTCTGAAGCGGTACACTCCAGACATAGGCTTACTGTCTCAGTGAGAACCAGACTACTCGTCTGATGCAACATTCATTTGGTCTTGTCATATCAAGATACAGATCCTTGCAGGGAAAGGCTCTCCCAAGATTACATGGAGCATTGCTGATTTTCAAAAATGCTTTAACAAGACTATTTTGCTTTCTGCTGTAAATATTTCTTAAATTGTTTCTAGTCTTTTAATGTTATTATATGCTACACTATGTTTTAATACCATTATACTTCTATGTTTTCCCTCTCCCCCACTTCTGTGAGTTGCCAAAGTCTCCGAACTGGAAGAAAAACAGCGTATAAATGAAATGTATAAATTTAAAAATCCCCAAGAAAATTTGTGGCGTTCTTCCTATAAACAGAGGCAAATGTGCAGGATTAGTCATTGTAGGAAAAATCCTGTTTCATGTATCTATAGTGTAAAGTTAAATCCACAGAACTGTGTTAGGGAATTGTACAGTTCAATTGTGCAACTGGGCACGTGAGTCACAATGTGACCATTGCACTGTGCGCCAGCAGAAGTGCTTCATGGATACCACTTCTGGTTTGGCACTATTGCAGCTATTGTACAGGCATAGATAAGCAAAAGGATTTTGCCCACTGCTTGATCTGGGAGGATGACAGTTATTACAGCTTTAATCTAAAGGCACATCTGCTTTTATCAACACTGTTCAGACAACTCAGTCAGGTAACTTACTTATGTGAGACCCCAACGGTTGGGGGAGACAAGCCAGTGCTCACCGTGTTGCATTTCTCAATCAGCAGTCGAATCTCAGGCTTCACCTTCTCAATGATGTCCACTAGCTGCTGGTTGCTCTTCAGCATCCCATTAGGCATGACAAAGACTTTGGTACCTGGTGCCATGAGAAGAGACTAGCCACTTATTCCATGAAGGAAATGAGTGATCAAACATTTTGCTTTCTACTTCAACTGGTTAAACACTGTTGCACAGGCACCCACATTTCTTTTCCCACATTGGACTGGCCAATTTTAACTCAGCCTTTAAATTGAGTGATAAACAGGCTGCCAAATTTTCAATATGTGGAGTCAGTCACTTGTATTTACTGTAAATATCTGGATAGAGGGAAATTTCAGCACGTAGCATTTGTTATATAATAGTGCTACAAGAAACTAAAAAGTTGCACCTATAAAAAACACATCTTCATGTTAACAAGAGAAACTAAAAAGTTTTATTTGGCCCAAGTTTTTGTGGACTGCACCCCACTTCTTCAGATGTTGCTATGGTCGTATCTGCAGTGCATGAAAACTTACACCAAATAAAACCTGCTTGTGTTTAACGTGTCGCATCTCAAAATCTTGTTTTTCTTACAAAAGACAAACATAGCTACTCCTCTGGAAATGTATGGAAACCAATATTTCTGCAGAACTAAGCCTGACGATTTCTAGCAAGACTACTTATTTTGACCATGTAATAGCAGAATATCAAAGCACAGTGATTCTTTTCTGCAAAGCATTTTCTGTGTTCCTTTCAGAAACAGTGGTTTTGAACACATTTGCAACCCTGGACTTTCAAAGCTCAAACTTGATAACCCAGTGTTTTAATGCACAGCAGAGTAAAAACATGACCTGGGCCACAAGTAATACAATTCTACATTTCTCAGTGAAATAGGAATTTTAAGTTTTGTGAGTGGTCCAGAAACCTCTTTATATTCATTGTGACTTCATAGCAGTAATATTCAAGTGAGAGGTAGATCAGCCATAATTTTTGTTAAAGAGAGGGGGAAGGGAAGCATTTCAGATTACAACATATTTCAAGGACCCACCATGTAGTTAAAATTTACATTGATGATGCAAATATTATGTACTATGCAGGTATTTTGGAGTTAAAATTTACATTGATGATGCAAATATAAAGTATGTGAACACAATCAATGTTTAGATTCCCTGATAACAGTATTAAACTTTTAATAATCTGTGTATCCCCCAACTCCTCCATAGTTTCCTTAAATGTGGTATAAAGTATTTCACAATGCAGAAACCATATTGCACAGCTAGCATTAACAGGCAACACAAAGGAATTTTCTAACTGAAGTGACAAAGTCAAAGAACTTACCCTGGAAGGTCTCTTCACAGTCTTCTAGCTTTCTCTTTTTCATGTTGGGCTGGGGAAACAAACAGGAATAACTTAGTAAATAAACAAGACTTGTAAACAAAATGTACAAAAGATATAATTTTAGAAAACTGTTCACAAAAATTAAACACTAGATATGATAAACCTTAAATTCAAGCCATTAATATGTGCAAGGGACTTAACACTATCAACCAGCATTAAAAATAAGAAATTAAAAAATCTAATCCTTTTATAGAAGACTCACAGAAAGGAGAGTTATCCTTATGACTTTAATGCAAAGGCAAGTTAACTATCCCAAATTTCAGAGAGCCTTCTTTTCTTTATTTTTATGGCTTTTCAGGCATTAAATAGTATACCTAACCAAACATTCTTACCCCATCGAGTCCATCATGACTATTTGTGAGTAGGATTGGATCTGGGACGGGAAGGTTCATATCTGAATGGATTTGGGTGAGATCGTGAATGTTCAAAATAGGGTCCTAGGGAAGAAAAATAGCAGAATATTATGATTTCAATCCCTTGTACCCAGTTCAAAGGAAATCTGGAACAGAGATTTGAATACAGCTAGGATAGACAGGCTAATCTTTTATCATCTGTCTGCCACTCTCAAGGTACAAATTACTCAATGAGAAGCAGCAGCTTCATAGCTCTTACCTTGAGGAACGCATCAAGTTCTAAGAGCTTCTTTGGGAAAAAGTTTGCCACCAGATCTTCAGCCTGAAAGAAAAAGAACAGTTAACTACGACATCTCAATATTAAGACTGTAGGTAAGGACACTAGGGAAGAGACAGTGACCAAGGTTTTGTAAAAATCAGTAGAAATATTAGAGGTACTGACACACACACACACCAAAACCCTTTCAGTTTTGGGTGGCTACCAAAGATATGAGTCATATGTGCCGATTCTGCCCAGGGAACCACAGATAATCTTTTTCAGCTGTCTTAAGATCCAGCAAAGAGTCCTTAGCAAGAACTTCCAAAAACAGAAACATTTCTTTTGGTACCCTTAAACAATTGCTGGAGGCAACTGGAATGATCCAAACACTTACTTCACCTGTGATTCTCTCCCTGAAAGAGTCTACCTGTGGGTGAGAAGAGAAGAAGCTTAGAATAACAAGTTAACAGACTTGCACTACACAAAACAAAACTGCACAATCCTGCTATGAAAGGTTCTTTTAACTGGAGGTGCAAGGGACAGGATCTAGAACATGATGACCAATATCCTAGTCATTATGGTGGAGTGTGATGTTATGCAGGTGGAAACAGTGTGCTGACAATAGCTCTCATGGCCCACACTGCTGCTATGCATATGGTTATGTCAACAACACCGAAAAGGGCACTCAGGGCCAAGGTGATTTTTTGCCGCCCTCCAACAAGACTTAGACCCTACAATCTCAAAGCCAAGAATTATCCACATAGCTGGCTGAGAAGTGGCTGTGAGAAGGAAGCAAGCAGGCAAGAATGCTGAATATGCCCAAAGGTGTGTTCACAAAGACAGGATAATGATTTCTGTTTGCGAAACATGTGCACATCACAAAGCTATGTTCCACTTCCAAACAGACACTTCCTTTTGGTTCAAAAAATCTACAACCTCTTGACATACTGTGGTCAAAATCCTCTTGTGTGGCTATACCTGCAAAAGGAAAATGTCACACCTTGCAGAGGCTAAATTTCTGCTAATTAACAGCCCCCACTTCCATTTTTCATTGTTTAACAGTCAAGTGACTTGGTGTGTAATCAGATATGCAAGTGGATACTTTTTAATTAGCAGCAGTTTTCCACTGTGAGTTGTGCCATTTCCATTTTCCTAGCCTAATTATGCAAGAGGAGCTTGGCCCATGAAGCTTGGATCCAGTGCAATACCATACGCTTGGGTGAAGAAAGACTGGTACCAAAAAATTCAGCAAACCTTCCTGAAAATTTGGTAATGCCATCCAGATCTCTGGAAATTTTTTCCATTCCACCATAAAACAAAAATCAATTATCTTGTTTAAATGCAGGCAGACCTGGAGCTTAGAGCATCCTCTCCCATATTTTTTTAGGAGATAACTTTCAGAATCTAGCTGCTAGCATGACTAGGATGTTCTGCAGGTACAATCTAAAAATGTAATTTTCAAGCTCTGGACAGATTATAGCTGAATCACCTTTAGGCCAGGAAAAACAAGAAAGGCGCCCGTGTCATCACTATAAGACTTAGTCACCAAAGTTTCCATTTTTCTTTGTTTTTATTTGGGCACTGAACACCTGCCGATTCTATTCACAAGCCTGAGCAGAAGCAAGCTAGAAACCTGTCCAAGCCTAGAGCAAATGGGATGTCAGGCACTGGGTGTGTTGTCTCCAAGACCAGTTCCTCCCTCCCCACAAGGCTGTTCTGGCACTGCAGGTTGAGCCTCCTGCGAACCCTGGAAATCAGTTTGAAGTTTTTTCTGGTGCAGCTTACAGCCAGTGCCTATCATGCCACCCTCAGCTGGTGGGAACATTCTCTAGAAACTGAGGGAAGTCAGTCCGCTGTTACTAATAAAGGTTTTGGAAGAGGTTTTTGGAATGCACTGCCTTGAGAAGCCAGATTGGCCCCCTCCCTTTTGTCCTTTCCATTGCCAGGCAAAAAAGACCTTCCTTTTCAGACAGGCTTTTAAGTGGTAAGCGTCTAAGGAAGCCTCTATTTTTAAAATTTAGATATTTTTAAATTTTGAAAAAAGTTTTCAAAATTATTTTTTATCTTGATCAATGTTTAATTGTTTTTTTATATATGATTTATTATGCATATTTTAAGCTTATTATTGTATGATTTTAATGGTTGTTAGCTATTCTGGATCCCATTTAGGGAGAAAGGTAAATAGCTAGCTAGCTAAACAAACAAACAAAAATCAAGTTAAGCATGACTACCTTTTTGCCCAGTACTTAGAGATCTCTACAATAGACATACTATAGACTCACTATATTCTTTGTTGTTAACAGCTTGGGGGTTCTAACAAAATGAGAAACCTCAATAGGGAATTTTCAAGCCTCAGCAGGATTTCTTGCTTCAAGGCAAGATGAGACAAGGAATATTCTTTTTGTTCATCGTCTCAGTAATTTGCATGAACTGTCTTTGTGTGTAAGTAGCACTCTTTCACTTTGAGAAGCAAAACATACATGCACACAGAGAAAAACAGCATGACTAGTTGATTATTTTAAAAGGCACAAACAACCCATCCAATGGTTGTTCTGTGTTTTTCGGGCTCTTTGGCCGTGTTCTGAAGGTTGTTCTTCCTGACGTTTTGCCAGTCTCTGTGGCCAGCATCTTCAGAAGACAGCAACCTGTGCTCTGAACCTGTGAAACCCATCCAATGTTTCTAATCCTTAAAAGTCCAGGCAACAAAGCCTCAGCTGTCATCCATTTTTTTTGTTAAAACTTTATTTTCAGTAAAGGAATATTTGGATATAATTCACCTTGACAATGAATATTTCTTCTACTATCCTGCAATGTTAATTTTTTACTTAACACTTAGGTTTTTCTTCTTGGGCATAAGGCCTTTATCTCAAGCTCAATATGCTTTCTCAGTGGCTACTCCCAGGCTCTGGAACTCCCTACTGAAGATGGCTAGTCTGGCCTCCTCCCTGTTCTTCTGCCAACAAGCAGACTTTTTTTCTCCAACAGGCCCTTCACAGTTAAGCTGGGTGATGGTAAAAGCAGAGTTCTTTGTCTCAGTTTTCTTTGGCAGTCCCTCCAACTAAAAATGGCACAGAGAACGTCAGGAGATTCTGCATCAGGCTACAGTGCAAGGGAACCCAGAAAATTAGGCATAGACACCTTCCATGAGCAGAAATCAATTCATGGAGGTGCTTCCATCAACTTTGTATGGATCCTTTCCCCCTTACTTCTGCACCGTAGATTATATCATTCAGCAGGCTCTCTATGAACAATTTTTAGGCAGGTGGTTGACCAGGGTGGGAAAGTCCACTTGTTTGACTAGCTGCATGCAGCCAAATCTGAATAACACTCGTATTCTCCCAAATCTTTATTTTCATCTTTTCTTCAAGTGGCAATACTATTCTTCCAGCATTTCAAAATTGGGGAGATGATAAAGGAACCTCCCTGATAAATGCAATGACTACGAACATATTCAGGCACCCATGGCCCACAATAGTACTCTGCTGGCTTATCCTTCCACTCTAAAAGTAACACTGGATTGCTTCCGACACAAATGAAGACGACATCTTAGAGTTCAGGTGCCATTTTACTGTCGAAATCAAATCTTATAATTTCTCTAATATTTTAAATATCTGTCAAACTTAGCAATTCTACTTAATTATTTAGATTCCTGTCCTTTGCTAATGATTATATTTTGCTCATTAATATTATTGGGTTCCAAGTAAATCGACTATCTGCTTTCAATTCTTTCATTTCTTTAATGCTTATTTTCTTGAGTTTTGATTAGCACAATACCTCTACAGAATCCCCTTCACTTGCTTCCTGTACAGCTTTCTATTTAAACTTCTTCCTGAAATATATAAAACTGCAATTCTACACACTCACCAGTATGAATATATTCAAGAAGGTTTACTTCTGTATACATTTTATACAGGATTTCACTATTTACCTCTCTATGGTCATGCTGTGTCTAGCTATTCCTAGTGCTTTTTCTCTGTTCTTCTCAATCTCTCCATCGAATATGAATCTTTGTCCTCTCATATAGCCCTTCTCCTTAGATCAGCAACTCCCAATCTAGCACTCTCTACTTGTTTTGGGCTCAATTCCTATCACAACCATTGCTAGTAATTATGGTAGCTGTACTCTACCTCTGGGAGGATGGCAAACGGAGTATCATTTTTTAAAAAGTCAAATGTCCACTTTTCTGTCCTACTTAAGAAATTATTTAAAATATATATTTCTTTCTTCTGTTTGGCTATTTATTCTTAGCCATTTCTAAACTGAAAAAAGGATGTCATTTAATTATTTTCATTTTTAAGTATCACCCTGGTTCCACAAACTCCTGTCTCCATTTGTTTTGTTTCAAGATTATAATCTTATAAGTACAGTGATTCATTTCAATTTGTAATTTAATATAGGGTATTTTAGTTAATGGTAATAACAGCCCTTCTTTGAAGGATGCCAAACATTTCATGTTGATACAACATACTGAAAAAGGATGACAGACATTTAAGATGGGATCGTGGAATAGTTTGATTTAATTTCTGCCTAAACACAGGTAAATGGACAGACACTCTAAGTAAACATGTGGAAAGGGCGAAAAGCTTCATAACAAAGGAGAATTATTTTTAAAAGACCATGAAAATCTTCTATTCCAGGACATAAGATGTTCTGTCTACGACACTTGAACAAAGAATGTCAACATCATCTAAGAAAATCTGACAGGTGCACTGTAGAATGCACCACTTCCTTTTGTTAGTATCTATTAACATCTATATGCCATGAAGTCATTTCCAATTTATGGCAATGCTTTCCAGGGTTCTTCAGACAGTACTCAGAAGTGTTTCCTATTCCTTTCTTCTGGAGGCATTTTGGGACTATGCAGCTGGCCCAAGGTCCAACCTCTGGATCTACAGCAAATTATTTACACTTTCAGGTTGTAATATATGACATGAACATATGGACTCCCTTACTAAAGAGTTAAGAAAAAAACAAAACACTCCATTGAAAGTTTTGGGTTCCTATAGAGGAAAGATTGAATCCTTGAAAGGCAGTATCTTAACATCACTGGCAACAATCCAATAAAAGTGATAGGATCTGGGTTCATGACATGACTAATAAGAATCTATGAGGCTTAAATTTTAAACAGCATCTTTATAAAAAAGAAAAGGAATGAGCATTTAGATGTTCCTTTTAAAACAAATAGCTGACCTCAATCTCATTACTGGGAGTAAGGTCTGTTAAAGTGAATGAGAATCATTTCTGTGCAGCCAGTTTGAATCAAGCTCAAACAAGATCCTGTGGGACAGAATATTAAAACCTAAACTTTCTAAAACCAAATGTAATTAATTAAAGATAAAGTCTGCTCTTCTGTACACATAAAACAAAATGGAGCCACAACAATAATTTGGAACTTAGACAGTAAAGCATTATAAATATCACATGGATTTTAATACACATCTTCCACTGCATTGTGTCTTAGATATGTTTCTCGAATGCTGTCTCCACGCATTCTAATTCTTTTTATATGAATGGATCCATCTGTGGTTACTTTTAAGAGGATGATAAAAATCAGCTTGTCTCTCTAGCTTTTAAGTGGGAGTTTTAATAAGTATTATGGGCATTCATCAATGTACTATAATTGATTTAAGATTATTTATTTTATTTATATTTACAAGATTTTTAGCCATGCCATTACCAGTGGTCTCTAAGTGGCATACAACAATATTAAAACTTTAAACATTAAAACCATTAAAATAGGCAATATTATAATAATATCCTGTATTAAAACAATCATTAAAACATTAATATTAATAAATCCTGCTGGCGCATATGGCCAGCTAAAGAACAGTACTTAAAATGCTGGCTAAACAGAAAGGTCTTTGTCTGGCACCGAAAAGCCAAAAGTGATGTATTTAATACAAGTTTATGAATATACTTATCAAATTAATTGATGTTGAAGAACTACACTATACTATTAACATATATAATCCAACCCTATGCCCATCTGGTGCCGAAAAGAAAAAAAGCAATGTATTTAATACAAGTTTATGAATGTACTTATCAAATTAATTGATGCTGAAGAACTACACTATACAATTAACATATATAATCCAACCCTATGCCCATTTACTCAGGAGAAAGCTTCACTGAACTCAACAGGATGTTCATCTGAATTAGCATGTCACTACTCTTCTAGGCAAGGAAAATAACTATCGGCCCTATAATCAACAGCCAATGATTCTAAAACCCAGTCTATCTAGGGTTCTATTGATGACCAAGCTGACTGAGGTACCTTATTATGTGGTACTGAAGAACTCTGGATATTTCTGGTAGACCAACATCTACAGTGAAGCTGCTATGAGTGGACAATTTGGGAATGTCTTGGCCTCCATGACTGCAATCAAGATGTCTCAAGTGGTTGCCTGAGGCCAGCATCTGTGTCAGGCCAGGCCCTTGGTTCAGTGTTTATGCCAGAGTGTGACAATGATGAACTGAAGATGGGAATGGTGAGGATTTTAATAGTACTCTGATAATGCACACTGCTTCCAATTTATTGTGCTTTTTGATACTGCAATTTACTAGCTGTTTAAACAATACTGTACAGTACACTGTTCTTGAATTTTGATAGCAACTGGGACTATGCAAATATTCTAATAAATATGATAAAAATCAATAAAACAAAATTGTGATATTTTATTTAAGTAGAGAACAACTTCAAGACCTAGCTCAAAAGATACATTGGGCACATGACCAAAGATTATGTTCTTGTTTAAATTACAGTATAAGTTGCAATGTTCCTACACAGCTGAAAGTTATGATTTAGTAACAAATACATGTTTTCGTTACCATGCTTTTTAAAAGAATTATACTGTATAATGTAAACTCTTGGGAAGTTAGTATAAAATGCTATTATTCTTGTCAATTCAAGGCTGTGGATAGAGTTGAATCACGTTAGCTCCACCCTGCCAGACAAGCAAAGCACATCTAACTAGGTTACAGAAAGTCGAGCCGCAGGATGCTGTGACAGCTAAATGGCCTGTATCTGTAAAAAGTCAAACCAAAATATACAGTAAGCCCCAAAGATACTACTGGCTTACAACATGCGCAGGGATATCGGACTTCATGTTGCTAGAGATAAAAATGAACGGCTAGAAGGACCTTCGCTTTCACCTCACAGTATGTGGCAACCAGGATGCTACCACTAGGGGTGCCTCACAAACGGAGAGAGGCCGCCGCTGAGGTCTGCCCGAGGACCGCACGATCTCGATCAGACGCGTGTTCGGCACTCTGCACATGCTTAAGGGCATACCCGTGGCGGAAACAGTTGCGACCATCTCCCCCTCTCCTCCTACCTTGATCTTAACTTCCGGGTCCACCTTGAGTAGGGAGGCCATGGCAGGGCGGGGAAGCCGGTATCCCGAGCCAGATCCGTCTCTTTCTCTCCGGCGCGCGCGACCACCCGAGCAAACCACCGGCTTCGCCACTGCCGGAAATGACGACATAACGCCCCGCCGCCGTTCCCACTCGACCAATGGGCGGGCGTGGTTTTGGTCAACGTGATTACCCCGTTCAGCCTTTGTCAGCCGGTCCATATCCGCTGTAATGCGCAGGCTCTGGATCGGCAACTTCCGCTTGCAGGTGGGAGGGATTTTGGGCACGTGAACAGGAAAGAAAAGCCTATCAGCATAGAGGTAGGAGGAGCTTAGTAAGACGTCTCCGTCGGTTTCCGCCAAGACTCGGAATTTCCTTCGTTGCGTGAAGAGTAATGGTGGTTGAAGGGTACCGCTGCGCGAAGACAAAGGGAACACTGGGTGTTTGCAATTAATGGAACGGAGATTTGGGGTTGGGAAGGGGCGGTGGATATCTGTAAATGTTTCAGCGAGATAGCAGTGGTGGTAGTCCATGAGAGAATGCCGGAAAAACAAAAGCAATAAATAAATAAAGAAAGAAAGAAAGAAGGGTGGTAGTCTATGAGAGGATGCCGGAAAAACAAAAGCAAAAAATAAATGAATAAATAAATAAAAATAAAAAATAAAGAAGACAAAAGGAGTGTCTGAAGAAATGGACATCCACGAAAGCTCACATTAAAATATCACAGTCTTTCAGGTGCCACAACGTTTTCGTTTTCTTCCTTTTTGTTTATGCTTGTCACATATAGGTGTGTGCGCTGCAGCGTTAGAAATGACTGCCCTACCAATAATAAAACGGTGACCATATTTATTATCATGAAAAAGACTTACCAGAATTGCACATAATTTTTTAATCGATGAGATAAAAGTAACTATCCAAGTTTAATTATGCTCCGCAAACAGAGAGGAAGTTTTAAAGGACCTGTGTCATAAGGTCGTTGTGTTTCCCCAATAAAATGAAAGATGACAGCTTGCGTGCATTTACAGTACTTTGGAGGCAAACTGCCCTAGCGGTATCCCTTTCGTGTCTACTTCCCCTAAAGGGTGCAGGGAATTACAGTATCAGGCCCCCCGCCACTTGTGGTCAGGGAACGGGTGGATCTGTGATATTTCAAAAGGAGTAGCCTCTGTTGCTGATGAGATTTACGTCCAGATGAGGACATCACGGTTGTTTGGGCTCTTCCCTGTTTGAGAAGTGAAGGTCTGACTGGATTTTTCCTAAGCATCACAAACATGAGCTCGGTGTCAAACGCATATAGTTTAAGGATAGGGAGATACAGAAGTACAGGATATTGAAGATCAACGAGAATTGTTTCTAGGTATGCTTTCAAAGCGGAGGTGCAATGGCGTGCATGATTGGTCGCCCCACGGAATGAAAATCTCCTGAAGCAGGGCCTCGTAATGCAGCTACTGTACATTCTGGCGCTACTTCTTTCATGATAAATGGATCTGCAAGCAGGCTTGGGCTCCTTCAGAAGGAGAGGCTGAGGAGACAGAGGCCTCGCGGTTGCCTCGGCAACGACAAGGGCGGGGCCTGTCTTTGCCTTCCCCCCTGTGGGTGACGTCAGACTCTGCGATTTCCCCGGAAGAGAAAGCGCCTCCGAAGCCTTGTTGTGAGCGAGGGAATTGGGGCGGGCGGGCTCTGTACGAGAAAAGTAGAAGGGTCTCCAGGGAACACAGACGGCGCTGAGCATATCTCCCGCCCAGCCCTCTTGTGTTGCTGCAAGAAGGGAGCATCTTTCGCGGTACTGCCTCCAGGAGCAGTGCCTGGTCTAGAAAATTAAATGGGACTTGTTTGAATCTCGTTATAGTGGACCTGACTTTCGTCCATGACCTGTAAGTTAGGTGAAAGACACGGAGGCAGACGGGCCTCCGTAGGTATACATTCATGGCTGCATGCTTATGGTGTGAAGAAGACACAGGCACCATGCTGGGGAGTTCCCTGGGGTTACCCTTGAGCTGTGGCTGATGCAGCCTGACCACCCATAGTTGAAAAAAGAAGAAAAACTAGCAGCTATAGTTGTGTTTTTGTTTATAGCTTGTGTTGAACTAAGTGTTGTTTGAACTTAGTAGACCTTATTTCCAAACATTCATTTAAAATTTCTGATAGGATTGTTACCTGCTTGATTTGGTTCTTTTCTTTTTTCTGTTGAGGTATAATTTTGTTTTTATAATTTAATCATCCCTCCCCAGTGTTTCAAGAAGTAGTTTGCTGAGGTGATACTTCCCTTTTTAAAGGGTTTCACTTTTAATCAGAACTGCCAGCTGAAATGTCAGTACTAAACCATACACTATTCATTTATAACAGTATTCAGCTAGAGCAAGAATGGAGCATATTTGGTACTCCAGATATTGGTGGATTGCAACTCTCCTGAGCCCTAGGTACAGTAGTTTAGGCAAGGGTAAAGAAAGATAGGCATTTCAGTCTGGCAACCATTTGAAGAGCTCGTCAGTCTAAAGTGCTAGAAGGAGCACACAGATTATCAGATTGTTGTCTTTTCTCATCCCCATCACAGATGGATGTCACAAAGTCACCTGCCTGCACTATGCAGGTCAGCTTTGTTTGCCAACGCTGCAGCCAACCTCTTAAACTCGACACATCTTTCAAGGTCCTGGACAAAGTGACTATCCAAGAGTTGACAGGTAAAAACAGGAAAGACCAGGTGGGGTGCAACTTTTATAGTGGAAGCAAATGCCTTTTGGGAGAAGACTCCCAAAAGTTGTTATGATTGTTACGGAAGTTGCCAACAGAATTTGCTTGGAGATGGTGTCCATAGGAATATACATATAATAGTTCAAAAAGAGAGTACGTTTGTGCATGTACAGGGAGTTCTTGTATTTTTTTCTGAGCTACCACAACTCGCATCCTATTCAGAAACCATTAATATTTGTTAAGATTTCATTGAGTTTACATTTAGTAATTTTTTTTGTTTAGCTCCTCTACTTACTACTACTCCAGCAAAACTGGGGGATGCACCAGAGGAGGAGACCACTTTGACAGAGGTAAAGAATTATGGTTTGATTCCTAGAGGAGAGCTAAATCAGCTTTACAGTTTAAATCATTGTATAGTGCAAAACCACATGTTAAGAGGGCTGGTTCATTTTATGTATGTATCTATAATGATTTTAAATGTGTTTCCAAGGCCGTGGTAAGGGCACATTGACTAAATCTCTAGTAAGCAAATCTGACTGGATGATGTTATCTCTTGTTGAGGATATGTAAGAAAACACTGATACTGAATTTCTTTCTCAGGAAGTGTTTGTTGAAAACCGCCAGGATGGTGTGTCACGAAGATTCATTCCTCCAGCCAGGTATTGACCGGAATTTGTGCACCTTGACCTTTGTATTTGCATTAAATGTCAATTTCCAGGGTTGCAAATTTTGCTACTGTACAATAGCATGTCTGATATTTTGTCCATGTCCCATATATATGTGTACACCCAACAGCAAAGTAGAACAGTACTGCAAGAATGGAAGGCATGTGTCCTTTAAGAGGGTACATCTAGCCAGTAGAGAAGGATGATGGGAGTTTGAATTCAGCATTATCTGGAGGGCCACACATTGCCTGTCTCTGATCTAAAGGGAAAGGTGGTGAGAGAAGCCTGAATTTTTATCACTGGTAAAAAGGGAAGTGCTTTTTAAGTCTCCTCTCTTTCTCTTCCCTTTCTTTAAAAAAATCATACTCTACAGTACAGCCCTACATTTTCAGCTGGCTCTTTATAATTCTAGTATATGTTCATACCTTTAGTATCAATGTGGTATATTGAAAAGCAGTTCTTGAATTTCATTTGGTTATGGCTGAGCCCATATAGGGTTTGATCTCTCATTGCTGTCAGCTAGAAATATTCTTTGGTAAGTGCTGGCAGAGAATGAATTCACACAATACCAAGCAGCAAGTGTTTTCCACAAGATGAGAATAAATATATTGGAAAGTTTCATTATAGAGCAGTGGCTCCAGATAAGTTGCATAAAGACACACACTGAAGGAGAAGGCAAAACAGTATGCTAAATGATTCTTGGAATGAACTCAAGGAATTATTTGGGAGGGACAGATCTAAAGATTAACTGAATATTTTAAATCACCACAATCTGTGTTTTCATTTGCAGACACACTTCATAGTTGCATGTTAAGACTCCCAACTAGAGTGTGTTATGTGTTTAATGCTGAGCAAACCCAAGTGGACTTTCCTCTTATTATGTGGGTGGTATACATTTGCTCACTTGTTTTAATTAGTTCTTGTTCATGGCCCACATTGTGTGATTAATCTCTTTGTTAACTCTCGATGTCTTTTGAGGAATGTCTTCTATGTACTGTGACTTCTATCATTGTTTACTAACTTTTGTTTTTAAGGGGAAAACCCCCACATTTTTTCTCTTGTTTCCTGTCTTGGATATGGAAGCAAGACCTTATTTAGGACTTAGAGTGAACTGTACATTATTTTAGCATAATGGGCAATAAATAGGTAAGATAGAGAATGAATTGAACTAACCATTTATCTCTGAGTTTTTGCAACATAATCATGCTGTTTTTCAGGATGATGTCAACAGAAAGTGCCAACAGCTTCACTCTTATTGGAGAGGCCTCTGATGGGGGCACAATGGAAAACCTCAGCAGAAGACTCAAGGTGGGTTGTTCCATGTTTTTCAGTGCCATGCACATCTTTCAGACAGTGGTGCAGTTTGAGTATTTAGAAATACAGAGTTCAGCTACTTTGAATCTTTTATGGTGTTTTAATGGTGCAACAGCCAGAAAACCTAAATTTTTCTGGGTTGAAGCTTGGTTTGTCAGGTAGGCTCCTATGCAAGTTTTTTTTTTTCATTTCCTGTACTAAAAATAATCTCCCTTCAGGTTACAGGTGATTTGTTTGACATCATGTCTGGCCAGACAGATGTGGATCATCCTCTATGTGAGGAATGTACTGACACTCTTCTGGACCAGTTGGACACACAGCTCAATATCACTGAGAATGAGTGTCAGAATTACAAGTGAGTAAGAATAGAGTTCAAGAATGTAGCAGAAAATATTGCTTATATTCCCCAAAGTTATTTCTGTTGAATGCAGTGTGTGCATCTTAGCAAAACTGAGTCACAATATACAAATATTAGCTTCTCCTTTAACGTGAAAACAAATTTCTAGCACTTAAAGATAATTATGAAGATACATATCAAACTACATGTACACTGCAATGCAGCCTGGATTTCAGCACAGACACTGGGATGAGATAGTAAGGTAACAGTTTTCTGCATAAATCCTTGACCTTCCCGAGATTATTGTGTTGTGGATGTTCTCTGCAGGAGATGCCTGGAAATCCTGGAACAAATGAATGAAGATGACACAGAAAAACTGCAACTGGAGCTCAAGGAATTTGCTTTTGAGGAGGAGAGACTGATTGAGGAGCTGGAGGAAGTGGAGCAGAAGCGCAGGGTGATGGCTGAAGATTTTGAGAAGGTCAGGGCTGAGGCAGAGAGGCTGGATCGGGATGAAGTAGAGTAAGTGCTATGTTCTTGCCAGGTCTTGCAACTGGTAGCTTCTCCAGACCTGTCACAATTTGTTGTTGAAAACTTTGTGTTGTCTTAACCTATTTTGACCATGGCCTCACAAGTGCCTCCTTGCACCTTATTTCCTCTTTATGACTGCTGCATCTTTCCCTCTTCTTACATTTCTGCATGGCCTCCACATCTATTTCTCACTGTGTCTTTGTTCTGTTTCTTTTTTTTCTTATGTCTTTTTTTAAGATCTTATACTGATTCTCTTGCATTTCACATTAGCTTTAATATTCTCCCTGTTAAGTGATTCTCATTCTTTTTAGGCCTTGATGGTAAGGTCTGTGTAAATGATATATTTGGATCACCTTGGAAACTAGATAAAAGCAGTCTGTGGTTTTCAGCTAAGTGAGCACTATCTGTCATTATTGTCTGTCTGTCTCTCTTTTGGGCTATATCCAGAATTTTGTTCATACCAAGACCCTTGCTACTATTCAGTCCTTATAGTACTGGCCTCTTTCTCATTCTAACTTTATCAAATGTGAGCTTTCCTCTCACCTGAGCAAGGATATTTTTATGTACCAATCTATATAGCAGTGTCCCAGTTTATTTATTTATTTAATTTATTTATTTGATTTGTATCCCGCCCATCTGGTCTATACGACCACTCTAGGCGGCAGTTCCAATTCATTTTGTACTACCTGCTGCAGAGGAAAGGTGTCCTGTGTCACAGATGTGTAATCTCTCCTTAATGCTCCCTGGAGGTACCAAAAAGAATATAGTGAATTCAAGAGGCAACAATTGGAATTGGATGATGAACTGAAAAGTGTGGATAACCAAATGCGCTATGCCCAAATGCAACTGGACAAGTTGAAGAAAACCAATGTTTTTAATGCTACCTTCCATATATGGTAAGACATAGATGGTGGCCGCATGGTGGTGGTTGGGATAGAAGATGCAATGGGATTTTGCCTCTAGAACTGAGGAATGCTGTAAGGTATAAGGTCAGCATTAGAATGGGGATGGGTCCTTGCAGGTACTTGGCTTTGTTCTTGTAAATGCAAACTTCACATAGCCAAAAATTTGCACATAGGGCCTTCTGAGTAGCTGCTGCCAAGAAATGGCTTCATAGTGAGTGAAGGTGGTTTGAAAGGGCTCTCTTTCTAGATACAGTATCTTCTTCCATAGCTCATCCATCCCTGGAATTTTATCTCCTGTACTCGTATCCCTTGTCAAGTCAAGCCATGGCTTTATTTATATTTATGGAGCAAACATAGGAACCTGGCTTTTTAATCGATTGCCATTACCTTTTATAAAAGTAATGGTGTGAATGTGATTTGTCATGTGTTGCAGAAAAGCAATACCGTCCTTTTCAATTGTCTTCATTAAAAGAGTTCTTAAATACAAAAAATGTCCCCAAATCCATTCAAATGACCCCAAAATGTAATGTTTTGGGAACAGTGAGTTATGCCACTCACTATGCTAAAAATATGCTATCAGTCGTTACATTGTGTTTTGAAAGTTACAATGCTACCACTTGCTATAAGAGCAATGTATTATGGGTAAGATTGTTACTTGTAATATGTGGGTCTTTGTGGTCACTGTGAATCACACATTTGGCTTTCCTCTGTGCCTGCGCAGAGACCTTAGAACATTCTAGAGCCTAAAAAATTGAATTAACAGATGACTACTAGTTGTAGGTAAGTAACCTGTCCTTTCTAAGCTTGATTATGGAGACACATTTTCTGCTCAATAACAGAATTCTTTGGGAACATCAGTTTAATGAGCAAATACTGTAAGCCCTTTGAGACCCATACTTCTTTTATGCTGCCAAGTATGATATGCAATTAATGTAAAAGGTTATTGATAACAATTGGATAATAAGCCAATTATGGCTCTTCCCCAGAAACCCTTGAGCTTTGTCTTATTATTGATGAAGCAAAAAGCACTGGCACTGTGCTGGAAGCAGCGTAGTTTGTAGAAAAAACATAAGGGTCACAATTGTGCAGGCATTCAGTGGTTAGGACTGATCGGCCAGAATCCCATTTAGTATAAGTAAATCATGCTTGTGCAGGTCCATTAAATCAGTGAGTCAACTCCTTTGTAAGTTCCATTAATTCAAATGGGCCTACTCTAACAGCAACTTTACTGTAGTATGACTCACTAAATCCCCATTGATTCAATGAGCCTACCCTAGTGTGATTTACTACACTAAGCAATAGGATTTTAGCCACTGTTCATGAAAGCTTTAGATAATGTATTTTTTAAAAAATGATTTCTAAATAGCTGTATGTGTTAATTTAAAAGTATACTTGGGGAAGAGCCTTGTGCAGTCTTGTTAAGAGCTAATTGATACACATCTCTGGTTTGCATAGGCATAGTGGACAGTTTGGGACAATAAACAACTTTCGTCTGGGACGTCTGCCCAGTGTCCCTGTAGAATGGAATGAAATCAACGCAGCTTGGGGGCAGACCGTGCTACTCCTCCATGCCCTTGCTAACAAAATGGGTCTGACCTTTCAAAGGTAGGACTAAAAATACATGACGTTTGTCCCCTTAATCATCAACCATTTGACAGTGGAAAAAGCAGGACTAATGAATTTCTTATGGATTTGTTCAAAACAATTATACTTTCATTTTTCAGTAAACTGATTCTAAAGCCAGCTTGCCCTGTTTCTTGCAGGTACCGTCTAATTCCATATGGAAATCATTCTTATTTAGAGTCTCTCACAGATAAATCTAAGGTAAGAAATCTGATTTCCTTGGTTTCAAGCTTTGAAGAATTCCCACCTTCAACATATGTAGGAGGGGTTGTGGATGTCTATATGGTCTTGTCAATTTAAGGCAGAGGATAAGCTCATCAGAGGTGCAGGAAGGCATCCAGAAAATTTGCTGGTGGCATTTGGAGTGGAATTGAACAGGCATTTTATGAAGAAGGAAGTGTGCTCTTTTAATGATTTTAATATGGGGAATCTTCAGGAAAACTGTTTGTGCTTTTCTGCCTCCCTGTGCATCCTTAGCACATAGCTGAAAAAAACTAAACAGAGATTTTTTTTCCTGGAAAGGATTACATTATTTCAAGAGGCAGATGCGTGTGTAGGGTGGGAACTCGATCTTGTAGGTCTCTTAAGAGCATGTCTTACTTATGTATATACAGACAAAAAATCATCTCTGAAACTGGGTACAGACTGGTGATGATCTTAAGATCACCATCAGCCCACTCTTTCCCCCTTCTTCATCCATCCACACATATGTTTATCATCCAGCCAATGTGCCAGGAGCTTTTCCTCACTCTTCTCTCATTCTCTGGGCCATGGCTATTCTGTGTCCTTTCAACATCTACTGTGAACAGGATTTTAATGTTTCATCATGTGTCTCTTTCTTACCTTATGGCAGGGTAAGAATGATAAGGAGAACAGCAGAGACAGAGAGAGCTGGTACCAGCAGGCTGCAAGTAGGTGTGCACATGCACTTGGAGGCCCAAACCACAGAGTTTAGTGGCCAGAGTATGTTTTGGAAAGGCACTCTAGCCAGTGTTCTCAGTGATTCAGCCTCTGATGTCACACCTGTGCCTCTAGTTGTTCATGCAGCTTGGGATAACAGAGAGCACATATAGGTCTTTTGCTCCTTATTCCTCAAAATAAAGTATGATTTTGGTAAAGCTACTGAAACTTACTTCAATATATAGTCTGTTTAAGTCTAAGATGAAAATTGCTGAACAGAAACTGAAATGAATTCAGAGTCCTGTTTTTCTAAATTCACTATGTTTTTCCTCTTGAGAGTGGGCTGCACGGTTTGTCCTCATTTTAGAACATGAAAGATGTCCTTTGCCACAGAATATTTTTCTCCAAAATTGCATTATGTAAGATGGAACATGTTAAAAAAAAAAAACCTCCTTGGATACAACTCATTCCCTGTATTCCTCTGGTTTGTTCTTCCTGCATCAAGCTTCAGTTTGAGGACAGTAGGAAGAGAATTGTAAGGCTGACTTAAACCCTTGACATCTATGTAATGTAACTGAATGCTGTTGTTTTGATCCCCTGAAAACGCAAATGTCTTGGGGAGGTGTAGAGCAGTTCTTCATTTTTAATGTCTTTGTGTCTTCAAGGAGCTGCCCCTTTACTGTTCAGGAGGTTTGCGATTCTTTTGGGATAACAAGTTTGACCATGCCATGGTGGCATTCCTGGATTGTGTGCAGCAATTCAAAGAGGAAGTAGAAAAAGGCGAGACACGCTTTTGTTTGCCTTACAGGTAAAATCATTAGCATTGGAAGGTAAATATAAAGGAAGTGATATTCCTGTCCCTCAAGTACAGCTGCTTGGTCAAACTGACTCCAGAAAGATTTGGGGTAAATGCAGACTGAGTCTATCCAGCATCACAGTGTGGATTCCGAGCTAATAGATCCACCACTGACATGGTGTTTACCCTCAGTCAGTTGCAGGAGAAATGTAGGGAACAACAGCCACTCTTTGTGGCCTTCATAGATCTCACACAGGCCTTTGATCTGGTTAGTAGGGATGGCCTTTTTAAAATACTGAAGCATGCCTTTGGAACTGCAACAGAAGGTGTCTATCTCCGGACTAGATTAGATGGAAAGCTATTTAATCTCTCTAGACTGCGAGCAAAGACCAAAGTCCAATTTGAAGAGACCCTCGTCCAGTAGGCCGAGGCAAAGAGGCAGTCCCGGAAGCAGCAAAATCAGGGAGCTGAACAGGAGACAGATTGTATTTGTCTTCAGTGTGGAAGGGATTGTCACTCTCGAATTGGCCTTTTCAGCCACACTAGACACTGTTCCAAGTCCTCGATACAGAGCATGTTACCGTAGTCTCTCGAGACTGAAGGATGCCTAAGAGAATGTTGGGCACAAGTAAAAGATGTCACAGACTTGGTTGGTTTGTTGTTGGCCTTTGTCCTGTGGTTTTAAACAGGTAGATTACAAATGTCCATCTGTCTATTTTTGACCATGTTTAGAAATAGTAAGCTTGGAGGTTGCCCTAAAGCTATGCTTTTGGAAACAGTGGTGGAATAGATGGTTAATTTTTATGGATTCTGACAGAATGCTTAAAAATACTGTGTTTTCTGCAGAGGAATATGGGCCTATGTTTTCTTGTGCTTGTGCCACATAGAACATTTTCTTACTTTTCTAGGCACTCCTTATATTCACAAGATTTCTGAGCTTTTACAGGGTCTTGAGGTTTCTTTAGTAAGTTTGCATCCCCCTCCCCCCCAGTGTGACTGAATCCGTCTGGTGATAATAGAGAAAGTAAAAAAATACTCTCCATTGAAAGGAATTTCTGTCTTTCATCACTCTGCTTATGATTGCTGTTCAGTTATATGGGCTCCTCAGCCTATGATGCTGGGTTCCTGTGGTGAAGAAAAAGGTTTGGTCAACCAAGTTTCTTCTACCACTGAAATACTATACTGCTAAAAGCCGTAGTTGCTGAAGTACTCCCATCTGCATTTCTTGTTCATCCTTGAACCCCAAACACTGTGCTTCTGCAGACATATTTCCTGCAACACCATTAAAAATGTTGTCTGTCAGGCCATGGTATTTTTTATTTATTTAATTTATGTCCTGCCCATTTAGACCGATGTCTACTCTGGGTGGCTAACAACAATGTTAAAATAAAACAATATAAATACACTGGATGGTGAAATAAGTTAGGTATCGATAGGAGGGAATGCCTGTCTGAAAAGCCAGGTTTTAAGTTGGCTCTTAAAAATGCCCAGTGAGGGAGCCAGACAAAGTTCTGGAGTGAGATTGTTCCAGAGCCAAGGGGCCACTGCGTAAAAACGCCCAGCGAGGGAGCCAGACATTCTGGGGTGAGATTGTTCCAGAGCCAAGGGACCACTGCCAAGAAGGCCCACTTTCTGGAGAAGGCCTACTTTCTTGTTCTTTTCAGGCCTCCCTCAGCGTTAGGTCCCTTAGCCACCCCTCCTGGCAAGTGATACAGGTAGATCTAGATGGGAGACTCCTGGCGAGTGATATGGGTAGATCTAGGTGGGAGAAGGCGTTCCGCCAGATATTTAGGCCCTAAACAGTTTACAGCTTATATGTCATCACTAATACTTATTAAAGTAATGGCATCGCTTCTTTAAAATTCAGTGTTCTTGGAGAAAGAATAGAGGTCCTGGTGCATTATCCTATTTACCTTCCCATTAAGACTCTTTTTGACGACTTCTAAAGCAAGAAAAGAAAGGTAATAAATTCTATGTCTGAAATGGGGAGAATAGGGTCATTGCCTCAGTGGTGGCATTTGTACAATACCTGTTACAGTTAATAAACAGGGAGTTACAAAGTAGGGGAATGTCCCAAAATGATTTACCAGACGTTTCTGCTTGAGAACTTGACTATATCTCTATTTCTCCAACACAGAATGGATGTGGAAAAGGGCAAGATTGAAGACACAGGCGGAAGTGGTGGATCTTACTCCATTAAGACTCAGTTTAACTCAGAGGAGCAGTGGACAAAAGCACTCAAGTTCATGCTGACAAATCTGAAGTGGGGTCTCGCCTGGGTTTCCTCCCAGTTCTATAATAAATGATGGTGGCAATGAAGAACGAACCTGTTCTGCAGCATGGCTGCAGATTGCTTCATCTATGCCAAAAGCAGGACTTGGCTGAAGTGAGCTGTACAACCTCCCACTCCCACAGTTGAGAGAACACTTCATATTAATTTCATTTTCAAGTAGAACAAGCAGAATGCTCTGTACCATGGCTGACCATTTCTGGACAAACCACAGGGCTGTTACTGGAGAAAGAAGTGGCTTAACTACCAGAAAGAGTCAGTTCACTTCAGTCAGCAAAAGGAGACCTATCAGGCAGCTTTCAGGCACGGTAAAGAGTAATTACACTACTTAGTCAACAGCTTTCTGTTACTGTACTATGTTACCTTCAGAAATACAAAAATAAAAACAACTTGTTTCAGAAGTACATAGTACCTTTATTCATAAGAGACAGACTTACAGGCACTTAATACTGCTTTCCTCAGAAATTCATTAATCCGTACTTAGACTTCCACCTCCAACAAGACTTTCAAAATAAATACATCTTATGTCTCGGCAAAACACACAGTCCGTGTTTGTCCGGAGCAGCCACAGCTCTTTAACAGCATTTGCAGAAATCTGAGTCGTTAAGAGCTGGCAGGAGGAAGGGGTTGGAGGTCCTTGAAATTTTTCAGCCCTATCCCAAACAATTATGTTATGCAAACTGTAGCCCATGAAACACCCATTTAAAATTTTGAACTATGAGTGGGAATGCTGTCTTTTTCTGCACCCAAGAAGCCATGATCTCTAAGAGCCCCCTAGGCATGTGAAATGTGGCAACCTGCTGCTGGATGACCCCACCTGCACTGGGGAAGATTTCTAGTCGTTGTCTCCCACATTACCAATGCTGTGCTTCAAAATTGCATAGATGGCCTCCACAATGCTCTGCATGCTGATGCCTGTGGTGTCACTGAGGTATTTCACAACCTTTAAAGAGAAAGAGGGTGAGGTTAAGCATGGATGCTTTAAGCAGAGAGTCCCCCACAAGGAGAAAACATACCGGATTCAACTTCATGATTTCCTACAAGCTCCTCCTCCTCCTGTGTCACTGGGCTCAACTACAGTGTACGTACCTGATTCCAGCTCTCAGGATTCAGCAAGAAAGAGCTGGCACCAATGACTCCAACAGCCAGTAACATGAGATCTTCCTTTACAGACACAAACATGGCTCTGTCAAATTGAAATAAGGTAAGAAAAGGCCTGGGTCTGTATTCATACAGCTAAATAAACATATTGTATACTTAAAGTATAAATTCATATGATACAGAGTTTAACTGATGTTGTCCCTTAATGTCATATTCTCTGGGTTGTTTTAGTATCTAAATACTTGCTTCAGAGGCATCTCTTCATAACAGCCCAAATGTCTGTAGCAGCATCAAAAGGATGCTGTTAAAATAATGTAATATCCCATATATATGTCTGCTCAAACGTAAGTTTCAGTGATTGCAGTGAGGCTTATGCCTTCGTAGGAGTATGTGTTAGGTGTCAAGGAATAGGGTCAATTCAACTAAGCATTTTAGCAAGGAAAAAATCACTCATAACAAGTCTTATTTCCCATATTCCAGATTCACTTCTCCTGCAGCCTCTATAGCAGAGACAGCCAGGATGCAGTCCTCCAGATGTTCTGAGGCTGCAGCACTCATCATATTGTACTTTCAGCTATGCTGGCTAAGACTTCTAGGAATTTTTGTCCAACAACATCTAGAGGGCTCCACTTTGCTCACCCTACAACCTTGGCTCTTTAAAAATCTTGTATTCTAAATTGGAATAGGCAACTGTCTTTCCTGATGTTAGATTGAAACTTCCATTCTCTCTCACCACTGGTTATATTGATTAGGGCTAATGGGGAATGGCAGGCCTTAGTTGCCCATTCCAACCTGGAACATCAGGCATCAAAAAAGCCAAGTCTGTAGAACAGAAATGAATAAAATGCAACTCTGGAGAACCACAGTTGCTAATTCTTGTTCTAGAGCAGGGGTCTCCAAATTTTTCAGTGGGAGGGCCATATCATATATGCTCCACATTTTTGAGGGCTGAAGGAAGACGTGTGTGCGCACACGAAAGCCTGCCCACACTCCTGCATGCACTGACGCCCAAACATCTGCCCACCAGGCTGGATAAAAAGGCAAGGTGGGCTAGATGTGGCCTGCGAGCTGTAGGTTGGAGACCCCTGTTCTAGAACAGTGGATCTCTCACTTGTCCATACCACAGACCTAACCTGAAAATAAGCCCTAGTATGACTTTTCAGGATGCTCATAATATAAGTCCTATCCCAAAAATAAGCCCTAAGTGAAACCCTGCCCTCCAACATTGTGCAGCAACCAGAAGATGACATAACTGTATTTGAATAAATGTGGATTGTTGTACATGAAAAAAAAATCCCTGAAAATAAGCACTAATGCTTTTTTGAAAATTAATTAATTAAAAAATAATATAAGACTCTGTCTTATTTTCGGGAAAACATAGTACTAGACTGAACTAGCAGTAGCACCATTGTATTTTGTCCCAGGTAATGGAGAGTGAACCTCTCTAGTGACTTTTTACCCACAGAAAACCAATCACAGAAACTGTATCAATGGACACTAGTGCTCCTGTGCTACAAAAAAGAGATACATATATATTCTTTTTAAAACAAATGAACTGAAAAATCTTAAACATTAATGTGATCATAATAAGTAACTCTTATGTTTACACACACCAGAAAACTTGGAAGTAGGATGGGGTGAATAGTCCAGCAGGGAAGGTCTGAATTTGTACCAGTAGAAAATGAACTGCTTCTAAAAGGTTGGGAAATGACAGTGGTGTGGGCAATGGACTAGTCATCACCACTAATGCAATGATTGCTAGATACCCATAACACTTATTTGGTTGAATCTCAACAGCCCCACTAGCAAGTGATGCAAATTGACTTTCACTGTGCTGCTAGCATGGTATGATGTCGCTGAAAAATACAATACCCTTGCTTAATGAAAGGATCTGAAGTGCAATGCCACTCTTGTTACTAATATATGGAGTTCAGCATTATCTGTACTGTTTGGCCTTGCAACACCAGATCATCTCATGCCTCATTAAAGAGATGTTTTCAAATGTATAAAAATAATTCAAAACATACTTTGGGAAATCATGATATCACTTCTCTATCCCTTCTAAAGACTTGTATAATTATGGGTAATTTACTATATGTTTTCTCATTGTACCTTTGAACCATATTTGCATATTCTTTTTATTGTATAAGCCATCCTGAGTGACTGAAAGATGGCAAAGAAAACTTGAAAATAAAGAAGCCAGTGGTGTAAAGAGGTATTCTGTGTTACCCTTCATTTCTGGTGCATGGAAATTTCAAAAGGCATTTGCTAGTACAATGTAAAAACAGACAATTCCAAAATGTTCTCAACCTATCGACCTATTTTCTCCCAAGCAGTAATTGTCACAGAATTATATATTAATTAGAATAATGGAATTGGATAGACTAACAGGATAGTTTTCAAACTAGAAACAACCAGATTTCAGACTTGCTGTCAATTGTTTCATTCAAATAAAGCAGTGCCTTACTTTGAGAATTCTACATGCAACGCTGTTACTAACATGATAGTGTCATGGAACAGTCTCAGCTCTGAGAGAAGACTATCTTTCCCTAGTACAGAGCTTACAAGTAAGTCTCTGTTAAGGTACATTGCCTAGAAAACTAACTCGGATTTTCTTGGTCTTCAGTTTGTGCAGCTTTGACAGACATATTGGAGTCTAGAAATACAGAATATGTGAAGTCTTTTCCCTTCTGAACTTTTCTTTCCTCTATAGCATGCTTTTATTTCAAGTGTGTAACTTCCCAGAACTTACAGCTGCAGGTCACTTGGAGATGGGTTTTCAATGGAGGATTTCAGTAAAGTCTCATAAATGCTGCTCCGCAAGAGGTATGTTAAGCTCAGCAAATGTTTGCACATGTCCTGAAGTTGTTTTGTGGGAAGCAAGTAGCCATTGTATCCTAAGAAAGAGGAAGAAAAGACATAAGGAGCTGCTGCAGGTAGACCAGCTAGATTTTTTCTTTGAAAATGGAATCTATCCACCTCTAGCTTAAGCTATAGAGATAGTGGCCTATCAGTTTATAATAGATCACCGGATTATCTAAAATGCCTTCTTCATTTTTTTTCTCTCCCCCTCACCCACCCAATTGTAAGAAATGCTGTTCCACTTTGAACTACACTGTTTCTATAGTCTTTCCTCTCAAATTAAAACAAAATTATATCACACTCTGGGAAATAATTTAGAAGGGAAGAGAATAAGAAACCCATAAATCAAGGCTAAAACACAAGTATAAATGGCTCTAACAGGCTCTGTCTGATGATAAATTCCACAGGAATAGCCACATTTTAGTTTGTTGCAACAATAATTAGTCTTAAACATATATGTCAGTCTTTAATGACTTGTAGTACCTCATTGTTTCTCAGTAAAAGTTCTGAATATATTGTGATCAATGCAGGTTGGCCATATGGCCATTTTAATGAAACAATGAGCCCATAACCTAGATTGCAAGCCTAACCATAGGGCATAAAGAGACTTTCAAGCAAACTCATATTTCCACTGTACATCTCTTCAAATAAAAATGTCCTGTAAAGGCTGCATGCAATTTCCCCACTGCTTGAAGAAGAAGAAACGTGTCAGTGCCATGTTTTATTTTTACATGATGCCAGTTTGCCCAACATTAAATCATCCTGGTTCTTACCTAAAACCTCCAGGAGCATCTCAACATAACCAGAAGGGGTAGGAACATTTATCTGAAAGTGCAAAGCCTTCAAAATAGCCAATTCTGATTCTAGCAATTCTTCTTTTGTATAGGAGAAACCCAAGGACTTCAGAAACTTCAAAACCATGCTGTTATTAACAATCTGTGTAAACAGATGTGCAAATATTACTCTCAAAATGCTGAATTACTTTACTCATTATCATGGTCTGATGTTAAGCCACTTGTTAAAATAACATTTTGACTGAAATCCTGTTGCTTTGTTAAGCAACTGATGTAACATACAGAAGTGAATTTCCATAATTTAAGAAATCTCAATTTGTTGCAATTCGATATGTAACAGGTAATGTTTATGATTTCTTAACTTAGAGCAATTCTCTAAAAGTCATATTGTGTAATTGCACAAGAGGATTTCCGTCATTCTTTCATAGCTGCACAGAAAGCCAATGCTTTTTCTCTTGCTACCCATTATAGGAAAACCAGCTCCATATCTCCTAATGCTATTTAAGTACTAACCATTAAAAAAACTTTGTAAAAGACACTACTGTTTTACACTATACAATAACTCCAATTTCTTTTTTTTCTGTTGGAATCTCCAGTACAATACTATATTACTCCCAAATGCACAAGAAAATTTGATTTCAACATCCTCTGTTACTGAGAATGCCTCTGGCATTTATTATGCTTTTTATTTTATTTCTGTGCTGCCTTTCTTCCAAAGCTGGGGCCTTAGTCAGCCAAGTAAGCTACAAATATTAAAATGTAACACACTATAGTGTTACAGTTAAAACACTTTACGTCATATTAATTAAAATATTGACCTTATGTTACCTTAGAACTACAAGAAATGAAAGAACACTAGCACATCCATTCTGTTAAAAGCTTGTCTTCAGCAGACCATCAGTAACCAGAGATTGCCGAAATAAGAAGCTCTTTGACTACTGATGAAAGAAGGACTACATGTGGCCAGCCAAGCCTCCCTCTTCAGAAAGTACCAAAGCCTGGGAATGGTCACAGAGAAGGCCCAATCTCACATGGAGAATCTTGGAAGGTAGCAGGAATAAAGAAGGATCTCTTGAAGATCTCAATAGCCTTGGCAGGCTTGTATAAAGAATGCAGTATTTGACATAGCTTAAACCTTGTGTAGGACTTCATAGGTCATAATCACAACACTATGAATTCTACCTGGAGGCAGACTGTTACCTAGTGAAGCTTTTGTAGCAATGCATTCCCAAAAGCTGGCCATAGTCAGCAGTCTGGCTATATTGCTTTGGATCAGCTTCTAACAGTCTTCATAGGCAGCCCAAGGTATAGCATGTTACAGAAATCTAACTGGGATACAACTAAGGCATGTGCCACCATAATCAAATCTGCTGGAGCTACTGGCACACCAGCATCCAGGTGTGAAATGCACTCCTGGATGCTGCTGCTTCTTATTAAGCATCCAGCCTCAGAGATTAATCCAAAGCTACACACAAGCTGCAACTCTGCATTTTCTGGTGGAGTGTAACTCTAATCAGCACAACTTGAATCCTTATTCCCTGATCAGCCTTTGACTGACTAGGAACACCTCTGACTTATCTGCATTGAGTTTCAATGTAGTCACCCTCAACCAGACCATTATTAACACAAGACACTAGTTTTGAATCAAACAAGTTTCCTAAAATTTAGAAGGAATGAAAAGATAGGTGTCATCAGCACATTGGCACCAAATTCCAAATCTCTGGACTGATATGAAACTCCTAGAAGTTTCATGCCAATATTAAATAATACATATAAGGGACAAGAAAGAGTCTGGGGGGGTGTAGAGACCACCTGTCAGGTTGCAGAATGGGTGCATATGGCATGGTACATAAAAGTGATCAAAGCTTGCACAAAAGTTTTGCAACAGGTTTAGAGCAACTCTTCAGTCTCCTTACACTGTAGTGGAAGGAGAGCTTGCTGGCAAGCTGGATGCATGAGACTAGGCGTAGTATATATGTCTCCTCAATTTGCTGTTTCACTGAATCCAGGTTGCTGCCTTCCTCCTTCGCTCTGGAGCAATTTGAGACTTCTTCAGTTAAGGTGAGCATGAACCTAACATAAGAATAAACAGCTTGATGAGAAAAAAAATAAGGCTAGTGATAACGTAAGAATGTATGGAGCTGTTTTACATTCAGTCAAACCATCTGGTCCAGTTCTGTCAAATCTGACTAGTAGCCACTCTTCAAGATTTCAAACTGGATTCCCTCCTAGCCTAGGTGATTATACTATTGGACTGAACGTGGAGTCTTCTGCATGCAAAATGTGTGCTCTGCCACTGAGCTATGGTCTATTCTCATGTAAGAAATCCACTTGTTTCTAGGGATGGTTAGTCTTGCTTTTGAATGGAGAACCAGGTAACCATTAATATAAGAAAAGCTGATCTGCATCTCCCAGAGTTGTGTCTGGGGAATTCCTGGGAGCTGGAGTCCAAAAAATCTAAGTTCCTTCCTTAATTTGCTGCTTACAGTAACTAATGTGAAAACAGCATGACTCCCTTAGTTTCAGGGAGCAAAAGAAGCCCTGAAAAGAAATACATTGAACTACTTAATACAGATTCTTGATACAGCCTGTGTGTGAAACAATATTGATATGATTGTTTACCATTTACCTTGCTGTTCATCTGTAGTATATGGTTTAGACCTCAGTCTTGAAGTGACTGTGCATGCCAGCAAACAAGGTAACCAACACGGTCTTGTCAGCCATCAGCAATAGAAAAGAACATTGTACAAAGACAACAGAGAGAGGATTTTGGTGTGTTTGATATAACTAGCTAATACACTGTGGATTGAGAAACAAAGCTGCAATGTATTACAGTTGTATTCTTGAAGGCTTTTATGGCCGGGATCCGATGGTTGTAGTTTTTTTGGGCTGTTTGGCCATATTCTGATGGTTGTTCTTTCTAACATTTCTGTGGCCTGCATCTTCAGAGTATAGGAGTCAGAACTCTGTGCTCTGGAGTGGGCACAGACTATTTCATACTTATCTGCTCTAAAGGCATCATTTCCCAGACAAGGAAAGCAAAGCAATACCTTTCAAATAATTCAATTGCTTCGTATCTTGCAGCTTCAGTCAGGTTCCATTTTTCAGATAAAAGGAAGACAAACTCTGGTCAAGAGACAGAGAGATATGAAGTTAAGGAAATGATCAGCGCTGAAGGGTCTTGTCATTTCTCAGTAAAGAGCGTTTGCCAAATTCAATTCTCACCCGGTATTTTTGTCTCCTTAAAGCAGCCTGTCTCCCTGCAGAGCTCATTCAAACGGCTCTCATTATCTCTGGCCATGTTAAGGAAGGCATCTTCAATCACTTCGGGAGCCACTGCTCCAAATATGACCTCTGAAATTTGGTATCTGGCTGCCCTCTGGGCTGGACCGTCCATCCTACGAGTTCTGCCAGTACCTCTAGGAGGGAGGAAAATAATTAGCACAGGTAAAGGTAAAGGTTCCCCTTGACAATTTTTGTCCAGTCGTGTTCGACTCTAGGGGGCGGTGCTCATCCCTGTTCCCAAGCCATAGAGCCAGCGTTTTGTCCAAAGACAATCTTCCATGGTCACATGGCCAGTGCGACTTAGACACGGAACACTGTTACCTTCCCACCGAGGTGGTCCCTATTTATCTACTCGCATTTGCATGCTTCCGAACCACTAGGTTGGCGGGAGCTCCCTCTGTCACATTGATTCGGTCTTACGACTGCTTGGTCTTCTGACCCTGCAGCACAGGCTTCTGTGGTTTAGCCCACAGCGCCACCACGTCCTTAGTTAGCACAGAGTCAACCTTAAATACAGACTTCAAATTTATTATTATGCATATACATGTGTGTGCGCACACAAAAACAGACTGGGTTTCCCATATTTTTCCACACATCCCTCCCTCTCAAAACCGTGGTTCCAAGGCCTGCAGTTGTGAAGTTAAGGAGTACGCGCACCAGAAATGGCACTGAACACGCGATTCATTATATAATAAATAAATGCATGTATTTGAGCCCCAACACGCGATTCATTATACTGTATAATAAATAAATGCATGTATTTGAGCCCGCTTACAATAATCCTCCTTTTCTACGCAACCGCCCTCACCAAAGATGGCGAAAGTAGCGGGGTCTCTATGATCATCGCCCCGTAACGTTGCATTTCCTTCAAGATGGCCACCGCCTTGCCCGCACCAAAGATGGCGACACCCACCTCAGCACCACTCTGGAGGTGAGCACATTGCTAAGGGCGGTACTTCCTTACTGGTGCCTAGCAGCAGAAAGATGTCGGCAGAAGGGGCTGAGAAAGGAAAGTCGGCCGGGATGCCATTTGAGTATGGTTCCGGGAAAGGGGATCCAACCCGCTTGGCGCGTCCTATTGTGCCATCGTACGGACCGAAGGGAGTTAGACCGAATTTGAGAATACGCAAAGGCATCACAGCTCTCTTAGTCGGATCTTTCGTTGTAGGAGTTTGTATCCTTTTATCCTACGGTGAGTGGGACGAGGACCTGGTTTTGTCGAGCGTGGGCTGGTGCAAGAGACGGGCTGCCCAGCCTGCAGTCCCAATACTGCCTTGCACAACGTCTGGGCGAATTCGTTAACAGCAGCTTCGGTCGAAAGGGTTTTTAGCGTACCCTGTTTCGAACGGAGCTGGATGGAATTCAGCCCATGCTCAGAGGTGTTGTATTTATTTAATGCGGAGCAGTCTTTGGTGCCCTTTTGGGGGGGGGGCGAATGTAAGGGAATACCAAGGGGCCCAGGCAAACGGGAGCCTTCCAGTATTATCCTGCCCATTTCTGCTCGGGAGTAAAACCCTATTGAGACAAGTGCGTCATCAGACGGCAGGCCCAAATGCCTGCCCTTGCTTGTGGAGATCGAGGTCCACCAGAAGTGAGGTCTTTCTTGCCAAGCGGGGGCTCTTCTTCCCCTCACTGAGCAAAGGCGGGACTCGAACTCCGCGAGGCGTGTTGACGGAGGGGCAGGTAGAGAAGGGCAAGTTGGGGGTCATGTCCTTTCTCTTACCCTTCAGGCTGCACCTGAGGTTTTGCTTTAATGCTGTTTCTCTTTAGAAGGGATTTCGGGGAATGCTAGAGATGATGTCAAAGAAATATGTTCGTTTTTTTTCCTGTCAGGTGAAAGAATGGGAGAGTGTATGTGTGTGAATTGGGCGCGGAGGGCCAGGCACGCTCAAGTTTGTCCCCTCTGAGGCACCGTCCCGGCCTTCTCTTTTTTTCCCTCCGCTCGCTCCGCCCCCCCCCCCCCCCNCGCTCGCTTGCCTCGCCGTGTCACGCCTTCCAGCTAACTTTTCCGCGCTACAACGACGGTTCCCGCGGGCAGGTCAGCTCCGAGGGGAATTCTGGGAATTGTAGTCCAAAAAAACACATTCCAACCTGTAGTCCAGGTTGTCTTGAAGCAAAATGGGGCGGTCGAGGTCTGCTGGCCTGAGACATTTTGTTACTCTCGCTGACGCAGAATAGTAAGTGTATTAAGTATATTCAGCCAGTCAAGTTGTTTCTCGGTGCTGGAGGGGAGGGGAGGGAAATCCTACAAAATCCTCTCATCTGGCACTAAAAATGCAGTAATGATAAATAACATAGCCTTAAAATGTTCTGCTTCTTCATGACTTATACCATCTGCTCCCTAAAGTCGGACTTTCTTTTGCCAAAGGAGGCCTAATCTTGTCTCCACACCAGGAAGAGCTTCACCCTTTAACTTTATTCTCATAAAAGTGATTGTTAGGTTAAAGTAAGTAGACCTTGCTTCTTGTGCAGAATATGCAGAGGGTTGGGCTGGTTTTGGTATGATTCTACTCAAGATGGTGCAGAAATAAGCTGTACTGCAATATTCAGCAATTCTTACTCATAAGGAGGTGGACAGACTGGCAGCCTTCCTTTTGGGAAACTGTGTATAGGATTAGAGCCGTGCTTGGAAATGAGTGTTAATGACCTCAGTGTGGCTTTTTCTCTGGAGTAAAAACAAAGCAAATGGGAATGTTACTTGTTTCTAAGTAGCGGAAGTATCCAGCTTCATATGCATGAGAAATCTGTTACTCCTCAAGCTTACCCTTGTGTTCCCCCCCCCCATTTAGATGCTCTTGGTCTCCCCACCACCACCAGTCTTCCTCTCTCTGCATCTCCCTGTACACCTTTTCTCTACTGTTACCAATACCAGGGCTCTATACTTTTTTTAAAAAAAAATGTTTGGGTGGCCTGCAGTTGCTCCTGGCATCTTTATTCTACTGTGCCTTGGACTACTCTGAATTTCCTAGAGAATTTATAGAGAAGCAATGTACTGTACCGTGTTTGACTATAGCTTCCCAGTCCCCAGTGAGGAAAATCTGCTCCCCAGTGGCAAAGGGTGGCACTGCAAAGAGATTTAAAGTCCATTGACTTTAGAAGCAAAAATCTCAGATGTGCTTGTACAACCCTAGTGTCTCTTAGTATACATTTTAGACGTCAGAGGTTCATGGTCATAGAACTAAAGTGGGTCCAAGCTATTTCAAGGACCACATCTTACTTTATGAGCCTGCCCAGATCTTAAAATAATCAAGGGAAGCTTTTGTGTGTGTGTGTGTGTGTGGTGTTTTTTGTTGTTGTTGTTGTTACATCCTCAGAGGTGCATTTGGTGGGGACATGCTGCTATTCTGGAACTCCCATGGGAGGCCAGACTGGCCTCATTTTTGTTGTCCTGCAAATAAGTGAAGACCTTTTTCTTCAGACAGGCTTTCTTTTGTTTACCAGGATTTTATAACAGGATCATTTGTATTTTTGTTGCTCTTAAATATGTTTTAATAATGCTTTTATGTAACATTTTAAATATCTTTATTTAATTCTTTTAAAATATTTGAATAACATAATGTTTTTAGCTTTAAAATACAGAATTTTTTAAAAAGATGTAAGCTGCCTTGGGTCTTTTTTTTAGGTGAAAGGTAGGATAAATAAATAAACATACATACTCTGTTAGTATATAAGAGGATCATTTATTTTCCAGAAGCATCTAGCTTGCCTCTTACAACTTCCCTCCACTGGCCTTTTCAGATCTTTGTTCTGCAACAGTGGCTTAACAGTGATGTTTTTAAAAAATCTGTCATTCGTTATAAAAAGTTATGACTATTAAGAGTGACTTATTTTAAAAGGTAAATTAAATGTTTCAAAGTGAATGGCAAAATGAATTATGAAAGTTTTATAATACAAACGTTTTGATTAACAGTGTACCGTGCATACTATTGTTGCCATTTGTAAAAGTTATTATCATTTTTTAAAAATGCTGCTTTCAGCATCAGCAGTGTTGCCAACACTTATGGTTTATAACAGATTTGCTCCTCCAGACAACTCTTGAAAATGGCTGGGCGGCTATTAGAGATGAGTTCTCCCGAAGGCAAAATGAAAGAGCTTCCGGTTGTTCAGCATCCTATGATATAGTTTGATACAGCTGGAAAGGAAGAAGACTTCTGTTATTAGGTCCACCATTTCATGCATGAATTGCATCATTGGGATCAGATCCTGATGAGACAATTCATTTGCCAGACAGAATCCAGCTTTCACAGACATGACAGTGGAGGGAGGATGAAGTTGCTGGAACTGAAGAAAACAGAGCTGACTTGGGATCTTATGATTTTGTTGAATACCAAGGCCTTCCTGTTAAAGCTGAGGTTCCATCTATGTCCTGTTGTCCATCGCTATTCCATATTGCTCTTTAGTATTGGCACTTACAGATCATCCACTCTCATACTAGTGGGACTGATCTACCTTAAACCTCCAGAGTGGGTCTTTGAGAGCCTCCTTGTCTTCTTGTTCAGTGGTTTAGGTATCTGGTTGCAGAGACAGATGTTGGGAGTTCAGTTCCCCACAGGGGCAGGACCTGTTGATACATAGGGTCCCTTCTAGCTGTGCAGTTCTAATGTTATTATTGTTATCATCTTTTAGCATGGGGACTGACATGTTTTTAGGATGCGGAAAAGAAGGTGAAGCTACGCACCTTTTCTCCTTTCACCTTCTGGAACAAGTTAAGGGCTGAAGAAGTTTGTTATCCAAGAATATGGTGCCATTGTAATTACTCTTATGGCAGTTGTTAGGAATAACTAGGTTCATTGGTGGTGGGGCATGACAATCATAATTGTTTTCCTAAGCTTCCTGCACACAGATTTGTACAGTTTTCATGCCATCTCTCAAGAGACCTTCCTGGATGATTTAGAAGTTGAAGCTAAAGCTTTGCGGGCCAAAGCAGCACAGAACTCAGGAACTGACTGAACACCAGATGGAAATGCACAGGGATAAGATTGGACTCTTTATTTTCTATTTGCAGTCTCTGGCCCCAGCTGAAGATGTGCTGGTACACTGCTTATCTATGTCCTGTACTTCTTTAACAGTAATGGTCACTGTGTTGGTGAAGTCTTTGCCATGGATAGCACGCAAAGGTTGTTTACCATTCAAACTATTTGAAATTAAATACCAATAAACCAACTCACTGGATGGTGGTTTTATGTATGAGCATTTTTTTAAAGGATAGCACAGAAAAGATAGCTTGCAAGACAAAGCTGTATTAGTAAGAGACCTTTATGAAGAAGGAGCCTTTTTGGCTCTTGGAAATACATTTTATATCTGAAAGGAAAATGAAGGTGGATGGATATGCCCTTGAGAGGTAGAAATGGTTTGCACCTATTTGGACTCTTTATACTCATTGCTTATCAGATCTTTAGCCAACGCCACGACAGCTATAATTATAACTGTAACAGTAGGATTATTCAGATAATATGTGTAGAATCTGGCAGTAAAAAGCTAGTGTTCTCCCCATAAATTTCCTTATAAGGGATTATCGGTTCTACACATAAGCAAATATTTTTAGAGAACATTGACCAAATGCAAATATAATCTGTTTTCATTTAAATTGCATGTTTACTCTGGAAAGGTAGTTGGTAACAAAGTCTTGAAGACTGCTCACTCCTGTTGCAGAGACTGCTTTATGCTGTAGAAACCCACAGTGGCTAGCTCGATGCCTCTGGTAGACCTACAAGCAAGACATTACTGTATTAGGCCCCTACAGCTTAAATTTCCAAGCATCTGCCCTGGAGAGGAACACCACCTCGACTCACTGGAGAACTGTATATAGCCATTGTGACTAATAGCCACTGGTAGACGTGTCTTCTGTGAATTTGTGTAACGACCTTTGGAAGCCACTCATATTGGTGACGTCTTTTGATAGTGAATTGCATAGTGAAGAGCTATGTTTTGTCTGTCCAGAATATCTCACCATTCTGCCCTCATTTTTTCCCACGATAAAAGCCCTTCTGTCAAAAGGATTGCTTGAGGACCTTGATCATCTTGGTTGCCCTTTATTTGCACCTATTCTAGCCCTAAGTATCCTTTATGAAATGTGGTGACCTGAACTAGATACAGTAATTCTAAGCATGGCCACGCCATAGATTTGGATAAGGGCAATATGATAGTTTGTTTCTGATTTCTTGTAATGTACTGTACATAGAATGATTTTTTTTTAAACAGAAGCAACTGCACATTGGGTCAATACTTTATTAAGATACTGACCACAGCCTTTTCTTAGTTCAGTATCTGCCAGCTCAGGAGCCATTAACATAAGTATTATCTGTTTTTCTTGTCTGATTATTAATTACTTTACATTTTCCTGAATTGAATTTCATTTGTTTTTTCAGTGTCCTATAGAAAGGTGCAAGGAATCAATTTGGTTTCTTTTAGTACTCCTGTGTTGTCCAGAAATCCAAATGCCTTCCTAGATGGTTTCCTCCTTCTGCATTTTACTGTTGTTCTTAATGTTGCACTTGCTGGTTCCCTTTTGTAGTCCCTTTCGCGTTTTACTAATTTGGGCAATTCTTTCATTTTCCAAAGGATGCCTTTAAAAAAAAGAGTTTGCTAATCATTCTGGTAACTTCTTGAACTCAGTTGTAAATTTCCTGTAGTATTCATTGAGCTGAAACTTTTAATGCTATGGTTTGAGCAACTCTGAAGCATTTTGGAGAGATTTACCACTCTAGACTTTTACTTTCAACCTCCATTTCAACAATATGCAATGTAAATGAGGCAGGAGGCTGTGGCTTTAATACTACAGTACTAGGTAGAATGCAAATATGAACTAAAAGGCAAATAAGGGGGTAATCAAACCAGACCACTTGTGCCATGGTCCAGTGTGTGGCATTTTCTAACAGTCACACATAACAGCAGAGATCACAAATCAGCCAAATCCCAGATCTTTTTGGTCCAGCGGCAGAGCTACTCTGTTTTAGTGGGCTGGGCTGGAGTGATTCTTGTAGGGTTGGAAGGGTCTTTTTAAGGGAGATCGCCCCCCAGTGAAGTAACCCTTTCCAGTGTGATCAGACACAGTCTGATTACAAATCTGAAAATCTTCTGCCAAAGCAAATTTCCCCATTTAGCTCTAATTTGGAAGAATGCTCTGCAGGATGGATGTTTTTACTGACTAGAATGGTTGGCGGAAAGGAATGGACATGGGGAGGTAAGTGCCCTAACTTTGAGCACTGCAGGAGATAGGCACCTATAAATTGCTGTAGTTTATAAACTTTTTGGAAGCTAGAAAAATTAATGCAAATATGATTGAAGTGATTAAATTTAAGGCTCTTTTTAAAATACAGTGGTGCCTCGCTTGACGAGGATAATTGGTTTAATTCAAATCACTATTAAGCGAAATCCTCGTCAAGCGAAACGAAAAAGCCCATTGAAATGCATTGAAAACCGGTTCAATGCGTTCCAATGGGCTAAATACCTCATCGTAAAGCGAAGATCCTCCATAGGGCGGCCATTTTCCGGTGCCTGTATAGTGAGGAATCCATCCTAAAGCACAGCGGGGAGCCATTTTGCACAGTGGGCAGCCATTTTAGAGCCACCAATCAGCTGTTTTTAAATCGTCATCTAGCGAAAAATCAGTTCCCGAAGCAGGGAACTGATCATCGTGAAGCAATTTTTTCCTATTAGAACATTGTTTTGTGATCGCAAAAACCATCAAGCGGTTTCGTCGTTTAACGAGATAATCGTTAAGCGAGGCACCACTGTATGACTTGTCAAACATAGGATTTGACAAGATAATAGAGTGCCAATTCACATCACTTTCTATTAGTGTTTAGGTGCTCAGGAATGTACTGGCACATATATCTACAGTGTTTAATGTAGATTAAACAGTTTTAGAAAGAAGCCCATCTTCAAGAAAAATGTTCAGTAGGATGGAGTGGGGACTCCAGCAAAACAGAAAAATGAACTTCACCCACTGCTGCATTTCATGTCTCTCTGACAAACCTGTTTCTTTGAAACTTCTAACTTTTTTTAAAGAGAAGGACATGGGGAAATATTTCTGTTTTCTCCAGCAGGAATCCTGAGACTTCACCAGAATAATCAACTGAACTTGTTCTATCAACAAAGGGAAGAACTCTTATAAACTTTGGCCAGTTCAGTTCCAGGACATCATCTTTTGTGTGTGGTGTTTTTACAGCTGTGTTGCTGTTATTGCCTCTTATAAGCACTATTTGGGGCAAGTAAATCATTAAAGCAGTAGCTGGCCAGCAGCCAGACCAGGCAGTTGTCAAATGCATCCTTTTCTATGAGGCTTAAGGGAGAGACAGGAATTTTCCATTCAGTTAAAGCTAATATGTAGCTGTCTGCAGTTCAGCTTTTAGCAGCATAAAACTAAGCACCTTCCCCAGTTTCTGCAAAGGATGTGACAGGCATTTCAAAAGTAGAGTAGGGAAAGTCAGAGTAGTGTTGCCTTGTTACTACAAGCCATCTGAAATGGCTGAGCTTGTTGACACAAAAAATGATTAGTTTCTTTTGGATTACATTTAAGAAGTGCTGGTCCTTTGTTACACCATTACTAACATCCTGACAGTTGCCCTCCACTCAGTTCATTTTTTCTCCTACCACTTTGGTTTATTGGTTGCTGAATCATCTGTAACATTCATATAGCATAGCACAGAAGTTCAGTTTTCCCCTCCCTCCTCCCTGTTGCCCTTTGGACAAAGAGGTTAATTTACTGCCATTATTATTATTTTTTAAAGAGAAAATACATGTAGAAGTTTTTAAAAACTCTTTGTTTGGAAAAAGAGGCAACTACAGATTCTCTCATACACCAAAAGTATGAAAATGTAAAGTTAAGGCATTGTAATATAATATTGCACTGTACAAAGAGTAACTTGAGGATATTGACAGTTACAGAAAATTGCTATCTATGATCAAGAATGAGAGAAAAGAAATCTCTCTCTCCCCACCCCCTTAATATATTTCCTTAGGAGGACATCTTTGGACGTTTCAGTGTCATGCTGAAATCTCTTAGGTCTGGTTACCAGGATATGTTCTATATGTAGGTTTTTGAGGTAGACCAATAGTCATAAGAACATACAGAGAGCCATACTGGATCTGACTAAACACCTCGCCAGTCCAGGATTGTTTCCACAGTGGCCAACTGAATGCCACAGGAAGCTCACAAAGCGGTCACAGATACAACAGTGCTTTCTTAGTTGTGTTCCCCAGCAACTGTGGTTCAAAGGCATACTGATGCTGGAGTTAATATAAAGCTATCTTCCATTTGTAACTCTCCTGTTTTCTTGTCATCTCTTCACATTGACCTCCCCGCACCAACACTTCACAAAGAATCTGTTGAGCAGCAGCATGAGCTGGAATAGCTAGGAGCCCTCCGTCTGCCGTCTCTCTCAGTGGAATGCTCAGAATATAAACTGAGGATAGCATGAAGAACAAGGTTATGTAGAAGATCCTCAGCTTAAAGTACCTTTATTTATGTCCTTTAAATTCATCTGAGCTATTTTTTTTTCCTGGCAGGAGTTACGAAATACTATGTTCCACAACTAGTTACCTATTTCTTTCAACTCTTGTTTGGTGGGAATTTTACATTAATAAATAAAAACAATAATAAAAGTACCTTGATGAAATACCTGTTTCCCTTCCAAAGTTGCCTCAATATAAAACACAAAATATATACAATGGTGAAAGCATTGCGGCGTAATTCCAAGATGTGGATTCCCATGCAAGTAAAGGGATGAACCACAAGCAGTTCATACCGCAGTCAGGGCAAGGTAACAAAAAAGTGCAAGAGGCAACCTAGCATAGTGCCATTACTGTCAGATACAGCAGCTGGAAGGCAAAAGCAAGAAAAGAGGCCCCAGACTCCCTAATACTGAGGCAAATCATGAATGCTTCTCCCTTAAGGCAGCTACTGCAAGATTTCTGATAACTTTGGCCTAAGGCTGACATTATGAACCAAGACATGCAAGGCACAGAGAGGCAAATAACACCTGTTCAGGCTAGACCTTAACATGGACCCTTTCTGCACAGGCATATGGATCAATCTGAATTTGAGCATAAAGATCTGATTCCATAGCACAACAGATCCTCTAGGACAGCAACAGGACTCCTATGAGAAGCAAAGCAGCAGCAAAAACACGCCTCTGCATGTGCAGAATCACGCAAAAACATGGCTTCTTTCAGCAGATCCAAAGTCTGTGAGGAAAAAAGAAGTAGGCGGTAACATCGGCTGCTATGATCCTTGTTCATTTAGTGCCGGTGTGATTTCTCACAGATGGTTGTTCTGTTCCTTCTGGCAGGAAAACTGCCATATGGGATGATAATAGGTGGCCTTACAGCTGGAGCATAAAGCAGATGCTCTAAAAAGGACCCTGCTCCCATCCTTCAACGGTGCATGATGGGCTGAGGTAGTCCATAAAAGTTTCCACAGGTAGTCTGGCTACTGCAGAGAGAAAAAAAGAAAGAAAATGAGACTCCACAATTGCCAGGGCAAAGAGGTATAGTACTGTAGTACAGTACTTGCTCTGCAAGTCCTAACATTCGTCTCCAAAATCTCTAGTTAAAAGTCCTTGAATAGCAGAACTGGGAAAGACTTCAATATGACACCAAGCCACTAGAGAGTTACTGCCAATTGGGGTAATTCAGGGTTTGAAAAAAGGAACTTTTCCGAGTTCTACACTAGTTAGGTCAATGGTCTGACATAGTATGAAGTAGATTTTTATGTTCATACAGTATATCATTTTAATTGCATGGAATTTCCAGTCAGAATTTAGTACTGTACTTGCAAATCTTAACCTTATAAGAGTGGTAGGTGTGTACCTGAATAATTGCAGAGCAAATATGCATGTACTGTTAACATAATTATTTTAATCTTAGGATTATGGACATCAAGGTTTCAGCTTCCATAACAGGGAAGTGAAAGCACACATTGATGACTACACCTCTAATTTCTAAATCTCTGAATAAAATATACTTTAACTGTATTTAAGAATCTGTCGTTCAAATCTCATTCAGAGCTCAGTTTCTACTCTATGTCAAGGAATAGAGTACTTTGGGTTAATACAATTTTTGCCATAGAAGGCTGCTTGATGTATGATTTCTTACTCTAGATGCTGTTCTTCCCTCCGTCCCTTAAAACAAATGCCTGGAGGGTTTTTTTCTACTTTCATTTTCTTAGATCTTTAAAAATGATTCACTTCCTGTTGGCCCTTTAGTACACCTTTCCCTTCCTCTTTTTTTTCCCATGAAAGCATGTTCTAAAAATTTCTACATTTTATTGTGTTGCATAAAAATGTTCTGTGGTGGCTAATGGCAATTCTAGATGAGTAACAATATATTACAAGTGAGGAGAACTGTACTGTGTTCACCACTCCCCAAATCTATTGGTAGATGTGGTTTGGACTCAGCAGCCAGGTTCAGCAGGAGATGACTTTCTGCCCAAACATTTACTTGGCAAGGGATGTCCATGGAATCCTTGCAAATGCTCAGAGTATCCCAGGTGGTGTTCTGTAATACGTAATAACTACTTGTAGGTTAGCATGTGACTTGAGGGTACGTTCAGTAATTTTGTTTATATGTTTGAAAACATATCACACCAGTCTTCTAAACACCTCCAGACTGCTCACAACAAATAAATATTTAGCAATCCAAAACATTCCACTGTAACTCAAAACTAACAGCAGAAAGACAACACACACTGATAAAACTACATAAGAAAAAGGCAAATTGCAAGCAGAATCTCCCATTGAAAACCTTCTTAAAAGGGGTCTTCAACAAGACCCACTTTAAGAAGGTTGTGAGAAAGTCAGGCTTCGTGGGAAAGGAGTTCCAGTGCCTACAGACAGCCACTGGTAAGAGTCTCTTCCTAGTCCCAGCTAAGGGCTTGTCCAGATGAAGCATTTGTTCCACTTAGTGCCACTTGAGCCTGGATCTTACTCAGGTTTCTGTTTACACAGAGGAAAAAGCCATCTTGAGTCCTTTTAAAAAGTAATAAATAAAAGAAGACATGCAACGTGTATCTACAGAGCAAGAGGGGAAAAAGGACTGGGAGGAGATGAGAACTGATGCCTAAGGGAGCCACTCGGAAGAGGCCAAACAGGCTTCCCCCTTCTCAGCATTATTGCTTTAGTGTATTAGCACTAACCTGAGGTAGTCTAATGGAAACCCTTGGCAGCAAAGAGATGTGCACACATGTACACAGCTACAGAACAGGAGGAGAAAGCGAGAGATGGGGAAACAGGAGAGCTAAATTATTTGGAAGTAGCAAAGCAGGGAGGCTCTCTACTTTTCCACATCACTGCCCTTGGGGATTTCACTCACTGGAAGACATGTGACTGCTGTCACCACCATCTTTACTCCCTGCTCTCTGCCTACATTTGCCTGTAAGAATTTACAGTATTTGGAGAGAAGGATTAGTAAATTAGTGCTAAACTTTAAAAGTTTCCTATTGGTAAAGCTCTTGCTGTCTGAACTCCTTTCATACACAAAGTGCAACAGGAGGTGGTTTTAAAAAAACATTGAAAACCAAAAGTTTTGTCACAGATTTGGCACCAGCATAAGCCTTGTGTTGTCTGGAGAGCAGGAAAAATACTGGTATCAGCATGCAAGTGGGTCAGAGAATCATGGCTCTATCTCAGGGGCAGTTGAGACATGCAATAAGGCCTCTAAAGATTATCTTAGGAGGTAGGCAAGCAGGTTTGATTGGAAGAAAGTAGCCCATCAAACATCCTTCTGAGCTTTAAAAACCTTCAGGTCTCTAAAGATCATCACTGATTTTTCTGAACCATATCTAGAAACAAATCAGAATGGAAGCCAGCGTAGCTCTTTTAAGAAGAGTGTCAGTCAAGTGCCACCAGAAACCAGGCAGTTGCATTTTGGGACAACTGTAGTTTCTTAATGCTTTTTCCAAAGCAGCCCTATGCATGGCAGGTTGCAATAATCCAGATGCAATATAACTAAAGCATGTATCATCCTGGCAGAATCTGTATTCTCCAGGAATGGTTTCCAGGGATAAGAGTTCCTGCTTTTGATCATCCAAACTTGGTCAGTGTGGACTGACCAAGTTTGGAAGTAGAATGCAGAGAAATATTCCACCCACTCATTTGGGCTTAAATGATGTCACTGAAGAAACATCAGGCTACAAAGCATATGGGCAGGTTAGCTTCTAGAGTTGTTCCTTGTCCCCACTAACTGCCTTACCATGCATCCAACTTCACTGGCGAATGTCACACCCTTGCTTTGTCGCTGCTCCTGGGGGGTGCTGCTGCTACCGCCGCTTACAGAATTCCTCCTCATGATCCCTGAAGGACAATGATTACATGATTTCAAAGATTATAGTAAAGTGTCAACATTATGATATACAGGTAGTTCTGATTATACAATAGGGTCACGAAGAGTCGGACACGACTAAACGACTAAATAAAAACATACAATATAAGGAAATGACAGATCATGACATGATTTTAATTAGTGAAAAACAAACAGTATTTTTTTAAAGTTTTAAAAACACTTAAAAAGAATATATGCACAGTATCCAGAAGGGATTCAATCTTGCTGAATTTAGTTCTAAAACAACATTGCCATTTAAAGTACAAAAGGGAGGAGCTAATCAACACTCGAGGACAGCATTCCACAAGGCGGGAGCAGCCACAGAGAAGGCCTTATTTTGCATCCCTGTGAAACATGCCTGTGAGAGCAGCAGGACTAGGAGAAGGGCCTTCTCTGAAGACCTTAGGAGCCAGTTTAAGATGCCGCTCCAAAAGGGAGGACATCACATTTTTACAACGGCCTTCTCAAGGAGTAATGATTAAATGATTCAAACAACTCTGCAGAGCAATGAATCAAGGCTGTTCATAACATGCTTGCTGTGAGAGAACCCATATATAAACCAAAAACCGACACAAGAGGCCCGATGTCAGTGGCAGTGAACCTTTTTGGGCCCGAGTGCCCAAAGTGGAAAACAAACAAACAAACAAAAATCACAGCGGGCCATGGTGGTGGTGGCGGAACCGGAAGTGGTGGCAGAAGGGGGAATCCGAGGCACGGAGGTGCCTCAAGACCCCACTCCGGATCCACCACCAGCGCCAGCTGCTCCGGATCCTGGCCTGCCGTCTTTTGAAGCACCAGCATCGTGGCTGCAGCCACCTCTGGAGGTTTGGCTGCAGGGGGGAGGAGTAGCGACCCGGCGATTTATGGCTTGCGTGCCCACAGAAAGGGTTCGCCATTGCTGCCCTATGGTATCATTTATTCTATGACTTATGTAATATGGAAGGGCAAGGCACTTTGAGATACGTACTATCTTTCAAATACATAGTAATGTTTTTAAAAAGAAAAGTGGTCATAACGTAGCTAGGAAGAAGGAGGAAAAATCCTTTATAGTAGTTATCAGATGTGTTCAGATAGGCAACAGTGGCTCTTTTAAGGATTTTTAATTAGAAGAACTTATGAGATAACAAACTGACAGGGCTATAGCCTCATTATTCTGAAAAACTAGTTTTCTTCAGTCATGCATTAAAAACAGACCTGCTTGTTAACCCAAGCAGAACCAAAAGATGGTTGACCTATGACACTAGCAGTGCCAAACACTTTTTCCATGAAGAAAGGGCATCTCTTTGTCCAATCTCCATATTCATTTGCTTCAACAAGGTGGCATTCTGGGGTTCTACAAAGCTTGATGTTCTCCCAGTTAACTAGTGAGCGTTTCTAAATTTGCAATTAACAACTTCAATAAACTAATCCAGACCAGTGAGGCAAATAAAGCCTGAAAAGTTTCATTCTCAGTCCCTCTAGTACTTGTCAACAACAGTCGAATTACTACTGCCTCAATTTGCTTTATGTTGCTGGGGCCAAAGTTGGGAAGTAGTCTCACCTTGGGGTTGTGCAGAATCTAGGCGCTGCAGACTGCTGCGCCGCAAGGGGTTGAAACCACTCTTGGAGAGACGGCGCTGGCGGCTGGACAGCATGGTTGCGGGGGACACAATTCCAGCAGGGGGCACCTTGCCCAGGCGGGCATAGAGTTCTTCCGTCTCTTGCTTTTGCCGGGCCTGGAGCATTTCAACTTCAGCAAGATGCCTAATTGGAAATTAGAAAAGGAAGACCAGGTGTCAGTCAGGGAGGAGTCCAGAAAAGGTTACTTTTGTAGACTGCTTGTCAAAATGGCCATGACATTCTAGGAGCTGTAAATGAAAAAGTAATTTTTCTAAACTCGTACTCCTAAGAGGAAGTGCCCTTTACCCTCCAGTACATATAGCTATGCTCACTTCTGGCGTAAGGCCTTCAGCTCATCCCAGATATCATCATCTGCACTGTCTGAGTCATCAGTGCTCAGGTAGGAAGGACTGTGTAGGTAGTTCATCCAGACAGAGGGGCTGTGTATGGAGGTCTCCCCTTCTCCTTCTCCTTCTGCCACAGGGGTTGTGCCTTCCTCTGCTTCCTGGACGGGGGTTCCACCCGGAGAATCACTGTCAGAGTCTGAAGTGCTTGGATTGCTGGGCCCATTGCCCGTTTGGGGGGTTTCTGGAGGCCCGTCCTGTATTGGTGTCACCTGGAAGCGCCCCAGGATCTGTGGCTTGGGTTCTGCTAGCAAAGAAAAAAGAAATAACATATTAATTATGAACATGGGGAAGCTCCCCCCCCCGGGTGAGGTGGGGAGATATGTCAGAAAAAAAGAGAATAGTTAATGCTTAGTTTTTTAACAGCAGTTTTCTTGGAATTAGATAACAAAACCCCAACTTTCTGGTAGGCCTTTCAGATGTATGCTAACCAGAGCCATCTACAGTATCTCAGCTTTACTATGAAGCACCTAGAATTCATAAAACTGCATCCGGAGAGTCTAGTCCCCTATTGGCCTATTCCACATGCATGATGTCTGGTTCCAATTTGTGAAAACAAGGATTATAAAGATAATCCTATTTTTTGACAATTAACTACTATCCCTGTTTCCCTGAAAATAAGACCGGGTCTTATATTAATTTTTGCTCCAAAAAAACACATTAGGGCTTATTTTTCAGATGTTTTATTTGTTTATGTACAACAATCTACATTTATTCAAATACAGTCATCTTCTTCTGGAACATGGTCATAACTCTCCAAACCCTGAATTCCCACCTGAATTTCTTGTAACTTCCTCCAGGGAGGGGGGAGTGGTGGCGGTGGAGGTGATGATGGCGTTAAGGGCCCCAACACGAACTGGCCTCAAAACCCCTTCTGCTGCAGGACCAGATAATTTCTGTCTCATTTTGGGAACATACTTGCTTGTTGAGGTGGTGGGGGAAGTATGGATCCTGCTGGCCCACACGGACGAGATGGAGTCAATCCTGGTTGCTGCACAATGAGTCCCTGGTGGAGGGCAGGGTTTCACTTAACTGGGGATTATTTTGGGGGTAGGGCTTATATTATGAGCATCCTGAAAAATCATATTAGGGCTTATTTTCAGGTTAGGTCTTAAGTAACATATATAGCCAGAACTGGTAGCAGAATGCAGGTGCTTTCTAGAGCCTGGAAAAGTTACGTTTGGGTCTTGCTACCCTAGGGGAACATGAGAGCCATAGTCCAAAAATAACTTTGCCTAACCCTAATTAACTCAAGCCCCTGTAGCATTTGCGCATCCTATAACCACAGCAACATAGACTTATCCCTTGGGCTCAAGTCCTCCAAAACAGTCCTCACCTTCGTTGATGGGTGAAAGCTGAGTTGAAGGATAGCTGGAAATTGGTGACTCTGACACAATTAATTGTGATCCAGACCAGGGAGAGGTGGGAGACACCTGTGGAAAGCATAGGGAAGGTATATTATAAATTGTTTCGACTCCCATTCATTGCCTATTAGGTCTGATGTAAGGCACTTGCATCAAGCATAGCTGGACCCAAGGCCCTCTGAGACACCCATTCCTTTAGTCAGCAGATGCCTGTGCAATGGAAGGCTAATTTACTGGACCCTGGGATTAGCACAAACCGTGTGCAGAAATCCTGTCCAACACCAAAGTCATGTGGCTGGCCCTAATACAAGGAAGCTGTGGGAGTCAGGAATTCTAGTGAGGCTGCCAGGCATCCTATGGAGTTGGGGTAGGGATGCAAAGGAACGCTCATTTTAAAATAAATAAATGAAGGCTGTTGCAGCTCTCAGCGAGAGGTTGTGAGGGTTTGGATGGTATATCATGACTCCTCTCTTACTCCTTAAGTTTTACTTCTTCAGACACAGAAACAGATTCAAGTTGTAACATATTAACCTTTACTGCAGGAACATCAATAAAACTGTTTGCATCAAACTGGGCATGGTCTGTTTCCTTTTCTGCCAAAGGGGCAGAAAAGGGGTTCTACTCTTCTTTAACAAACAGGTTCCCATAACTAACGGTCCTGGTTGATCCCTCAGCTGCCAGCCTTTCACTGTCATCCTCGTCAATAACGGCAACAAAGGCATGGTGGTGTCTCCCATGTACTCTTCACACCTTGCATGATCTTGTGATTCCACCAATTTCCAGGTTCCCAACGTTCTCCTTGCCTCTTCATTATCTCCTGTGCTTGCCATTCCACTCTCTCCTGCTCAACCCTCACCTTTTCTTCCCTTGATCTGCATCTCCACTCTCTTGCTTCAGTCTCTCCCCAATAAGATGGTCTCTGAGGAATAACTGCTCTCTGCCTATGATCAACTTCTTCTCTTGGCACCATCATTTTTTTCCCACTTATGGGTCCAGGAGTCCTCGATGGTCTCTGACAAATAACTGCTCTCTGCCTATGATCAACCTCTTCTCTTGGCACCATCAATTTTTCCCACTTATGGGTCCAGGAGTCCTCTAACCAGATCCATTCCCATCTGGATAGGAGGTTCCCTTTTTCCCTCTGGCTCTCACTCTCCCCTGTCTCCACTATACCTGCCTCTTGTCTCTCCTCCTCCTCCCTTTCCACCACCACCACCCCCCGCCAATCTCTTCCTCCTTCTCCTCTGATTGGACTTTTTCCCTGTCTTCTCTTCCCACCCTTTCTTAGCTTTCTCATCCCTCCTCAGACTTCAACAACTCTTTTCTCCATGGCCCCCTTTAAGGAAACTGCACTAACTGTCTGAGGAAACTGCCACTCCTGAACTTCCATTCCTTTCCCCCCTCTTCCAACAGAATGGATGGCACTTGGGCGAGCAGTGTCTCCATCTCGTCTCCTTGCTCAAAGAGGTTGCTAATTTCTGATAGCTAACAGAGTGGAATTTTCATTATTCTGTCTTAGAACCCAAATGCTGTTCAGCGATAACTTTATGTTCACAACTAAATCAGTAAGGCTAAAAACCATTGTGTGTACAGGGATCTGGGGAGAGTAAGCAACAATTTTAATGGCATTGCCCTAAGCAAAGTTGAAAGAAAGAAAAAAAGAAAGAGAAGGAAGGAAGATCAAATTCCTCATGTTTTATTCTTTCCTTTTTTTCTCCCCTCGTTCTTTTTATTTGTTTGTTCTTTAGATGCTCATAAGAAGCCCTCTCTAGTCCAGTTCCACTTGTACATATGTGAGATCTGAGGCACATTTTCTAAGAGCATCCAGTCAATTCTTGACTAAGGAGTGCTGTGAATCCAATCCAAATTCAACACTCAGTCCTTGCTGGCAACAAGATAGGCCTCCTTGCTATTTAAAACTCTGCCCTTTATAGTATACATTTCAATACACTGAGGCTGGGAAAGTGGGAAGGTAATACTGTTTTCTTCTCCCCCTTTCCCTACATACACCCACAAAGGCATTCCTATGAACATGTTCATTCAAGCCATGCTCCAACTTACCATGTTATTATTGCGCTTCCCAGCAACTGAGGTGACTGGTGGCTGCTGGGAGCCTGGAGATGCCATTGGCCCAAATGACCCATTGGCTAACTGGACAGGGCTAGTGGTAGGGGCTGCTACATCAGGATAGACAAAACATGAAGAAGTTGGGCTAGGAGGGCAGGTGGCTGGTGACTGTGGGACTGGAGAAGTATAGAGTGGCCCAGTCTGGGCAGGCGCTCCAGACACTGCTGGAAGGAGTGAATGAGCCACACTCATCACAGCCAGCGAGAAGACATTGGCAAGGGAGAACAAAGGGGCAGTGGAGGGGGTCCAGAGAGGGACAGATGGAGCGTGCACAGCTGCGGCAGTGGGTGGTGCAGCAGTCGAGGTAATAGGTAAAGGAGGGAGAAGGGGACTTGGCGAGGGGATTGGTTGAGGAATGGTGAGAAGATAAGGAGGAGTTGCAGGAGTCATCGGCATCATGTGGTAAGTTGGCCAGGGCTGTCCAGGCATACTTGGAACAGCTGCAAAAAAAGTGCAAATTGGTGAGTGGGAGCAACCCAGGAAGGAGAGGTAAACTACACCCCTCTGTCTCTGTTACTGCAAAGCAGATGACCTGGACACACTGGTTTTTCCTTTCCTCAGCAAGCACTGCCTTAACATCGTGCTACAAAGCTTGGAAAAGTTGACTGCATTTACTACCAGAATTCCTGGTCAGTCTAGTATTTTAGGAGTTGGATGTTAAAAAACAACAACAAACACACCTTTCCCACAATCTGTTATATCATTCCTGCCCTGTCCCTTCTCGCCCAGTTCAGTATTCTGTATCAAATAAAGCTACAGGGAAGGACATGGAGCTATATAATTCATTCTGCCTAAACCACTAACAACTTTATCCTCACCATGTTTGACTTGTAAACTGACTTTCAACAGATTCTGTCTACGTTTCTTCACATTTCTAAAGCTAAAAATGTGTTTTATGAAAGGTACAGATATTCTGATTTGAACCTCAGACTCAGTATATATACTCAGTATATATATGATTTTAACAGATCAACCCATATATGTGGTCCTTCCCTTATACCATCAGTTTTGTACCATGCCATCTCATTTTCTTGGTAGCTTTATCACTACAGAGATATCCAATTGTACCTAAGATTTCAGCAGTGTTGTTAGCGGCCCCTCAGATTTAGGTTACTCAGTATTCTACAAAAAAGATGAGTTGTAAATAGATTTACCTGTGGTTGCTACTGGAAACAGAGGCATCCCAAAACTCTGGGTGCTTGGTGAGGAAACTGTAGGATTAGAAGACTCATTCTCAAAGGTAGCATCCACAGAGGAAGGCTGGACAGGAGACAACACAGACTGTCCTGGGCTGGAGCAGCCAAAATCTGAAACAAACAGAACATTCAGTCTTGCAGTATATATCTGTGCACAATCCTGCAGATTAACTATCTCTTAACATGTTCAGTCCTAAAGGTAGATCAGTGGAGCCCTCCCTCAACATTTTAGCCTAGCATTTTTGCTAATATGCTAGACCAGTGGTCCCCAACGTTGGGCCTCTAGATGTTCTTGGACTACAACTCCCAGAAGCCTTCACCACCACCTCTGCTGCCCAGGATTTCTGGGGGTTGAAGTCTAAGAACATCTGGAAGCCCAAGGTTGGGGACCACTGCATTAGACTTTAGAGCAGTGGTTCCCAACCTTGGGTTACTAAGGTGTTCTTGGATTGCAGTTCACAGAAGCTTTCACCACCAGCTATGATGGCTGGGGTTTCTGGGAGCTGCAGTCCAAGAACACTTGGGTTAACCAAGGCTGGGAACCATTGTTCCAGAGCAGGTATCTCCAAATGTCCCAGTGTGAGGACCACATCATATATGCTCCACATTTTCAAGGGCCGAAGGAAGATGCCCACCTGCCCGCCCACCCACCTGCACACTCCTGTACACGTGCACACACTCCTGCACACTGGGCCGGATAAAAAGGCAAGGTGGGACGGATGTGGCCTGTGTGCTGTAGTTTGGAGACTCCTGCTCTAGGGCATTTAGTTATGCTTGTTCTTCTCAGCAACTGGTATAGAGAAGTATTTGCCTTTTTAAAACTGGACGTAATAGTCAGACCTCATGACAAATAGCATTGATAGCCTTATCCTCCATGAATTTCTCTAATCCTCTTTAACACTCTCCAGTTGACCTCACTACATCTTATGATACTGATTTCTGTTATTTAACTGCACTGTGAAAAGACACACTTCCTTTTAGCTCTTACGAATTTCCTGCCATTTGGCTTGAATGGATCTTAGCATGATGAGAGAGTAAAACATTTCTCTTTCCACACCATTAATATGTGTCTCTCACATCTCCATTTATTCACATTTTTCTATTGTTAACATTATAATTGTTATGAATCTTCCTCACAGAAGAGAAATCCAGCCCCTTGATGATCTGACTGACCCTTTTCTGTACCTCTTTCAGCTTCATAATGCCATTTTAAAAAAAAGATACAGTGACCAAAATCGAGTTTGGTTGTTTCTTCAGTTTGTATGAATGAGAATGTTCATCCATGGCAGTCTTCAGGTTGTATTACTTACCACTAAGAGAGGAAGATGAAGAGATGGAACGTGAGAGACTTTGTAGTGGCAGCTCACCCTAAAAGGAGAGGGGGGAGAAACACGGTTTTAATTGAGAGGCCACTGGACTCCCTCTTGAAACACCACAGGGACAAAAAAAACTTAAAGGGAATTCCTGCATCAGGAGACATATACATGGGAATAGTTTTATCAGTGGCATATATTTTGATTCAGGGTGTAACCGTGCAATGTGTGAAATAACACATACTTCTGACTGTGTGGAAAAAATGCCTTTTCCTTTTCACAAAAGGACCAAAACCAATCACCATCTCTATGGAATTAACAGAAAATGATTTTTTTTTCAGGGTTAGAAAAGAAACAATTGATAAAGGATTTCTATTTGCCTAAAATGTCTTCTGGACATCAGTCTAAGTTCACTATAACCACAGAGGTACGGAGCAGAAATATCCAGATAAGAGCTCTGGTTAGCTGTCTATTCAGTTCCCCTGGCTTCCATGGACCTGCCACTCACTGAGACTCCACCAGAAGCCAAAGTTGGGGACAGACATTGTGCCTCGGGGCTTCCTGGAGTCCCCTGGTCTTTGTTCCATCCATCTTTATGCAGGAGGGTCTCCACACGTTGGATAATATCACGGATTCGCCGGATGAATCCATCTTGTTCGGATTTTAGGATGAACTCTTTGGAAACCTGGAGAGGCCATAAATACAAAAGGTTGAAGTAATCAGAGCCAGAATCAGGAAGGTCAAATTCTGCCACAAATCTACACCTTGGGTAACCCCAAGTTAAACAAAACATAAAACAAAATCATAGCCTCAATTTGACAGCTGCAATTTCCTCAGGACTGTCTCCATCCAGGTCAAATTTAAAGGTCACCATTTTATTATTATATGTTTGTAGTTGACATTCAACCACTCGGTCATTCCAGTCTGGCATCTGCATGCATGAGGAGTTAGCATTAGGGTTGCAATTTAGTTATATATGTCTGTAATCATAAACTACAAAAATACATTAAAATTAATTAGTAGAGCCACGTCTGGAATTCAAGGGTCATTATAGTATCTGAACTTGGAGACTACAGAGCTAAGATGGTGCCTTCTTTCTAAGGTGCACTGCATGAGTAAAGGTGAAGATGACCTCCTCTTCCAATTCTAGATGCAGAAGGAGTAATATATGGGAATAATTCTGTTGGAGTTTATTTACATGACGCATGGGAATCAGACCTTGCATACAATTATGAAAGGCTGAGTTCTGACAAGTAAGCCAGATTACTCTTTTCATTATAAAAGAACAGAAACAATATTATCAGAAATGCAATCCCTAAAAACGTTTAAAATATTTAGAAATACATAGATTTAGGCACAGGAATCCTTTGCTTTAAAATGCACATAATAGTTCACCCTCAAGTCAGTTTACTAGATTGACACTACATGTCTACTCAGAAGCAGGGTTCAGTGTTACTCCCTCCCATCCAAATGGATAGGATTACCATTTTAGGAAAAGGGGATTTTCAAGATAATTTAGCAGATATTTATGCCCTACAAAAGGCTAATTCTTTCAAGGGGCATTTATTTTTAATGGTAAAAAATTAATAATAATACTATTTGTGTGAGAAATTACCCTAAACTAACCCTGGAAATAGTCAGGAGACTCTGATTCTATGCCTGACTGGATCTCTGGATTTTGCAATTATAATCTTTTTATTCTTATTCCAGAGTTGGGAACAGTTGTGCAGGTGGGGGGAGGAAGGGCTTGCTCCTTTTTCTTCCTGGGCTTTTGACAAAAGGACACTTTAGGCTGCTGCTGCTTCTGAGATCCTGTAGTGTAAAGGATCAGAGTATATCAACAATTTATGTTACAATCTAGGAGAAGATCTATATATATTCCATATGGGTAGGAGATCAGAGTTACATATGATGGCTGAAATTCTGCTGCTTAGCATAGTAGATCACATTAAAGTAGACCAACTGAATCAGTGAAGTTTTGATGAATCAACTTCTCAGTAACTTCCATTGATTCAAACTGGACTACTCTGTTGAGATTTACTTTATGTAATAAACCACAATTAAAGTAGGCCCACAAGAATCAGTGGAACTTACGGAAAAATTGACTCACAAATTTCCCACTGATTCTGTGGGTCTAATTTTAGTGCAAGTTACTATGCTAAATAACAGCATTTCAGCCAATATTAATTTGACAACTCAATGTTTTAGGCAGCTATACAGACTCTGATGTTCCATGGATTAATTTTTATGTGACACATCATTATTTCATTTTAAACAAGGGGTATCAGAAAATAGTACTATAAGATATAGTTACAATCCAAGAGAGGCATTCTAAAGGTCATCTAGACCAACCACCTATGCAGGAAATCCACGGCTAAAGCTTCCTGACAGACTAAAGGCCAAAATACATAGGATCTTCAGAGGTGCAACATGATAATTTTAGACATTAGACTAATGGAAGGTCATGAGGACCCTCCATTAGATGGCCATGTTGCACTACTGCAGCTTTAAAAACAAAAATCACATTTCTATTCTTTCTGTCCCTCACCAACAATCCAAGCTTCCATGCTCCTGGTATGTTATACAGAAAAACAAACACAATCAAAATAGAAGAAAATCCATTTTGCCAGCACTGAAAGAATAAATTGGAATTTGGCTGTGCTACTAAACATGTTAGCTTTGTGATAAGCACCAATTTTGTTGAAGAAAAGGATAATTTATTAATCAGTAAAAATAATAAAATTAGAATTTGCAACCATGTAACAAACCTCCCTCTCACCCTCCTACCTATACTATTTTAATAAAAATATTTTAAAAAGTGCTACACCAGTAAATTCTATTATATCCATAATGGTCTATATATGTTTGCCATGGTTGCATTGTCCACCACACACTGAATATCATTGGTGGGGCCCAGGGCTTTAACCTGGACGTGGTGGCGCTGTGGGCTAAACCGCAGAAGCCTGTGCTGCAGGGTCAGACCCAGGGCTTTGACCTGGAGGTTCAGCCTTAAGTGCATTTCTAGGAACAGTGAAAGTAGTTGTCCAAAAAGTCATTTCCCCAAGCTTTTGACATCTGTCACTTGCTTTAGGCTTGTGTGGCCAATTTACATTTTTATATTTTTATTTTTAACAAACAGCCAGTGCTGTTGGCTGAGGCAGGACAGGGAAAGGACTTGACCATGGTCCAATACAAATCCATTCTCAGCCTTAAGTGCATTTCTAGGAACAGTGAAAGTAGTTGTCCAAAAAGTCATTTCCCCAAGCTTTTGACATCTGTCACTTGCTTTAGGCTTGTGTGGCCAATTTACATTTTTATATTTTTATTTTTAACAAACAGCCAGTGCTGTTGGCTGAGGCAGGACAGGGAAAGGACTTGACCATGGTCCAATACAAATCCATTCTCAGTTCAGTCAGTCTCCTCACTAACTGCATCATTTGAAATAGAAAAATCGCTCTCATTAAAACCAATGGGATACTTCCACCTTTTTGTGAACAGGAGGTCTGTGAGATGGGAGTTCTCATCAGAACAGCAGCGGACAGCCTTAAGTGCATTTCTAGAAACACTGAAAGTAGTTGTCCAAAAAGTAATTTCCCCAAGCTTTTGACATCTGTCACTTGCTTTAGGCTTGTGTGGCCAATTTTCATTTTTATAGGTTTATTGTTTAACAAACAGCCAGTGCTGTTGGTGAGGCAGGAGAGGGAAAGGACTTGACCATGGTCCAATACAAATCCATTCTCACTCTCCTCACCAGCCGCATCATTTGAAATAGAAAAACTGGTCTCATTAAAACCAATGAGATATTTCCACCTTTTTGTGAACAAGAGGTCTGTGAGATGGGAGTTCTCATCAGAACAGCAGCGGACATAAAGGGTTAGAAATCCATCCCCTTCCCCCTTCTTATCATTCTCGCTCATCACACCCTCCCCTGCCCTGAGTATATGAGTCATGCCAGGGATGACTGATATTGGAGAGAAACAAAGAGAATTTCCACCCTAAATAGTAGTGAGTGTGTGGGTCGCCCTTCAAGAGCAGTTAGCAAAGGGACATTTCCTGTATACTACTGTTAAACAAATGACTTTTGTGCTTGAGAGTCATGAGGGGGCTGGGAGATGGAGGGGAAGAATAAGAGAAAACTTTTGACACTTACTTCCTAAGGGAATTCTTGCTGGGGGTTGCAGTAACATAGGAAAAATATATTTAATGATTTCATACAGTGGCCATTATGCTAACATAGCATTTGCTAACTGCTCTTGAGCAGTAACCCAGATATTAATGTTTAGGATGGAAATTCTGTTGTTTCTCTTTGGAATCAATTACCTACTTCTTTTGCTTGATCAGGTAGGAGACACTGCAGATCTTACTGAACAGTAAGAGTCATCATCAAGCAACTGAGCTCATGACAATCCATCTGAAAACCGGATTTTTCAAAAAATTGAGAGGTCTTGAATTTGTTTCTTTTTAGAACCTTTTGGTTTCTGCATTTTATTATTCTGTGGATCGTCCTATACAGTATGTTTATACCGATGAAAAATAAAACATCAGCAGCAGACTTTCCTTCTAACAATAATTGTGTGTTCAACTTGTTTGCTACCTTTTTTTTAACACTTCGTTCACTCTTTCTCATATGAGCAAAAATATAATTGGTTGATTAGTTAATCAACAAACCTAATCTATAAGTTAACAAACAATCTGCATATCGGCATGGAAAATAGATAATAGACTTACACATCAACCAACTCCCCTCAGAGTTTCGAAATTTTACCTTTTTGGACAACAACTCCCAGGCTGTGGGTGTTACAGTCCAAAAGAGTAGCTTTTCCAAGCTCTGCTCTCCCATGTCTTGGGGCACAGGGTAAAAAAATGTTCCTGTACAAGCAGGGCTCACCTTTGAGATACGTAGGCGAGATCGGGCCCGACGGCGCAGGAGTCTTCCAGACCCCCGCTTGGCCAGAGGTTTTCCCCTGCACTCGCCTGCAGAGAGACCTTCATTGCCATCACTCATGCCAGATGCCACATCGGATGGGTAGCTGTATGTGGGATACCAAAGCAGCAAATGAGACTTCAGCAAGAAATATGTTCCGATCAGGCCACACTACAAAATGCATAGTAGTTCCATGCTTCTCTACACACATCTTTGCCCCTACACCTGTTCTCTGTTTTTTTAACTTAGGCTACAAAAATTGACTTCGTTTCAAAGAGCTTCAGTTCCTATTCAGAGAGAGAAAGAGAGAGAAAGAATTGAAACTAAAGCAGTGTATCTTAGCCTGGGGGTAGTGACCCCCAAGGGGGCCACCACAAAGTACTTTCTGGGGCGGGTCATGGGTTGCATTATATGTGTTGTAGCCCTTATTAAATAATTTATTTCTTGACCTTTTAAAGTGGGATATCAAAATTAGCATGTTTGTGTATATATGAAAAACAGGCCCTGTGGGGGAGAGAGAACCCTGTATTTTCTGAAAAGGGATCATTTTACTCCATTAAAAATGCCTTTTTATGCAGGCTACTTGCCTATTATTAATAAATGGGGTCACACTTGAAAGAGATTGGGAACTACTGAGCTAAAGTAAATACTTTCAAAGTGGGATATCAAAATTAGCATGTTTGTGTATATATGAAAAACAGGCCCTGTGGGGGAGAGAGAACCCTGTATTTTCTGAAAAGGGATCATTTTACTCCATTAAAAATGCCTTTTTATGCAGGCTACTTGCCTATTATTAATAAATGGGGTCACACTTGAAAGAGATTGGGAACTACTGAGCTAAAGTAAATAAGGTGTGAAGCTATCAGTTTCTTTTTAGGTACAAAGAGAGCACATGCTACCTTGTCCATTCCACATTTTCCCAGGATTTCTATGCTCATCAATTAGGGGGGGTGTGAAGATATCAGGTACAAAGAGAGCATATGCTATCTTGTCCATTCCACATTTACCCAGGATTTCTATGCTCATCAATTAGGGGAGAAACTAGCATATTAATTAGAAGTTTAGGATATTCTCACAACAACTCAAACACAATGCTCTTATCAACAAAAAGGAATGGAGGTTGGGAGAGCAGTCTGATGTGTTAAGTATTTGCAAGGAGGATTGGCCCCTGGATAAACCCCATCCAGTTGTCAGAGCAGAACCACAGAACAAATGGAAATTGAGTAACTGTTGACTTACTGAGCTCCACTGATTCAGTGGGTCCACTCCATCGGGGACAAGTAACTAAGGCTATGAGTTGACTTTATTTGTATGATGAATGAAGACTTGGAGCATTCCTTTCGTCATGTTGTCTACCTAATAATTTTAATTATTTTGCCCTTTTATTTTGCCCTTTTATTGTATTTTAAATGCTGTAAGCCGCCCAGAGACCTTCGGGTAATGTGGGCAGCATATAAGTTAAACAAACAAACAAACAAACAAACAAACAAACAAACAAACCCCACGGCAAACTTCACAGCAGCTATCAAGTAACTAACTGTCTTACCTGTCCACAGGGGAAGAGAAGTCACTGAGGGAGATGGGGTTCAGACTCACAGCAATAGTCTATGGGTATAAAGAATAACAGCAGATGAGTTATAATGTCAGTTCCATTCCCCCAAATTCTAAGCACAGAGATGCTAGAGCTTGGAATAACTACTGTTATTGGACTGCAATCCCAGGAATCCCCTGTTCAACATGGCTACTAGCTAGGTACAGTAGAAGGTTTCTGGAACTGTAATTTTACAAGGGAACTTTCCAATCTCATGTTTTATTTGGCTTGCATCATCAGCAGACATATGATGATTCAGTCTTCCTTTGTCATGCAGACAACCCCACCTCATTGCCTTTTTGAAGCCCTGAAGGGGCCCCTGAGTCTCTTCTATTACGACTGCCCATGCCAAAGACAGGTGACCACTCACTGAAGCAAAGGAGTGCTCTGGGGCAGATGCTGAGCTGGAGGCAATATCAGGCAAATCAACAAAGCCAGAAGAGCTCTGGTACCCGTCTGTCTCGCAGTCAGCTGCAAGAGAAACACAGAAAAATAATGATGCCCTCAGAAGCTGCTCTGATCACTGGTGACTTTGACTGAGCATTTCAACTGTAAGACTGGAAACCTTCAACACAGATTGGCTTTAAAACATGGAAAGCTGAGGTTGTCAAGATGTTGCAGTTCATAGCCTACCCAAAGCTCATGATGATTTTGCCATGTAATTAGCATGGAAACAGGAAACAGAACGGAGCACAGCATGTACTGTATAGCCACTGCTATAAAACGGTTGGGTGATAAATAGGCTGCAGGTCGCTTGTACCTCCCCCATGTTTGCAGCTTTTATTGCTGACAAATCTAACACCATATGAGAGGTGTTTTTTTAAAAAACTGTAATTCAATTTTTAAATGGAATTGCACATTATTTTAAAATGGAATTTTAAAGGGGAAATTGCGCCTGTTTCTCTGCCATAGCTACCACATTATTAACATTTGGTGGCACAGTAAGAAGTGGAAGGTGCACAGCCCGATGGATTGTGGAGGACCAAATATGTCAAGCCCCAGAAATTTATCTATATTTGCCTATGCCTGCTGTAAAAGGATGTAGGAACAGAATATTTCTTGGGTGATAAAACTACTTGTACTTACATGTAGCAGCAGAAGAACAGCCATGGTGATAGCGGAAGGGTTGGTGCTGGTCTACCTCCGGTTCCTCTGGTTCCGGGGGGAAAGTTGGGCCAAGTGCAGAATCTCCAGATCCTGGCGTGTCAGGTGTAGAGAGTTGGGCAGGGCTAAGAGGTGGAGGGGAATCCAGATCCAGCAAATGTAGGATATCAGGAGACATATTCAGAGACTGGTTGTGCCGCTTCTGCTCTTCCTGAGCTCGCTTGGCTTTCTCACGCTGGCGCTTGATGGCGAGGACGCGTTCACGCACAGCTTTAGCCACCAGCTTGTAGTCTGCCTCACACACAAAGCCTAATGTCACCTGCACAGGAAATGGGTGGGGTAAGTGTCGGGAATGTCAGAGGTTAGGAAATAGTTTTAGCCAAATGTAGGCATGTTGCCTGGCCAAACAATATTGTTTTATCAGGCTCTTGGGCACAGAGCCACAAAACCCTTCAAACCAAGGCCTGTGTTGTGCTCCATAAATACAGTGGTGCCTCGCTAGACAATGTTAATCAGTTCCATTGAAATCACTGTCTTGTGAAAACATTGTCTAGCGAAAAGCGTTTCCCCACTGGAATGCATTGAAACCCGTTTAATGCGTTCCAATGGGGGAAAATTGTTGTCCAGCAAAAATCGCCCATAGGGAAGCCATTTTGCGAAGGGCCTATCAGCTGTTTAACTTGCTGTCTTGCAAAGCATCGGTCCCGAAAATACCCATTTTGTGAAGATCACCCATAGGGAAGCCATTTTGCGAAGCCGCCGATCAGCTGTAAAAATCGTCGTCTTGAGAAAAAATGGTCTGCGAAGCATGGACCAAATCATCGTCCAGCGAAATCCCCCATAGGAAAAACCATTTTGCGAATTGCTATAGCAATCGCAAAAAGTCAACATCTAGAGAAAAAACAGTTTTGCGGGGTAATCATCTTGCGAGGTACCACTGTACTTTGGTATTTAAGATGGGTCAGCAAAGCCCTCCAGAGGTTTCTGGACTGCAGCTTCCAGTATTCCTCCTTGCAGGCCAAGGATCAGCCACTGAAATCTACAGTGGATATAAAAAGTTTACACACCCCTTTTATATCTACAGTGGCTATAAAAGGTGTGTAAATTTTTATATCCACTGTAGATTTCAGTGGCTGATCCTTGGCCTGCAAGGAGGAATGCTGGAAGCTGCAATCCAGAATTTTTATATAAATATTGCAGTCCAATATTTTTATATCCACTGTAGATTTAAGTGTCTGTGATGTAAAAAAATGAGACAAAGATAAATCATTTCAGAACTTTTTCCACCTTTAATGAGACTTATGAACTGTACAACTCAGTTGAACAACAAACTGAAATCTTTTAGGTGAAGGGAAGTTAAAAAAAACACCCTGAAATAATATGATTGCATCTGTGTGGACATCTTCTTATAACTGGGGATGTAGCTGTGTTCAGCAGTAAACAATCACATTCAAACTCATGTTAAGTAGGAGTCAGTACACCCCTGCCATTTTAAAGTACCTCTGAGGAACCCCAACTAAAGATCAGCTGTGCTAGTAGGTCTTTCCTGACATTTTCTTAGTCACATCCTACAGTAGAAGCCATGGTCCACATAAAGTTTTCAAAGCATCAGAGGGATTTCATCGTTAACAGGTATCAGTCAGGAGAAGGGTACAAAAGAATTTCCAAGGCATTAGATATACCAGGGAACATTATTATTTCAGTTTTTTATTATTACAGTGGTACCTCACCTTGCGTTCGTCCCTACTTGTGAACGATTCAAGTTACAAACCGCTCCGCTCATAAAATTTTGAATCAACTTGCGAGCAGAGCCTCGACTTATGAAGGAAAAAGGCAGGGGGAAAGGGTTGGAAATTCAAAACTCAGCCTCCCGGGCTTCCAGCGCTGATGCGATCTGCGCTTTCAGAGGCCTCCCGGGTCTTGCCAGCACCATCGGAAGACTTGTGGGGGACCTCTGAAAGCAGTGATTGCCGCGGGTAGGGTGGGGGGCTCCCGCCAGTCCTCCGATGGTACTGGGCAAGCCTCTGAAGGCTTCCCCAACACAATCGGAGGACTTGCAAGGGACCTCTGAAAGTGGCATTCGCTGCAGGAGGGGGCAGTCCTCCAAGGATGCTGGGGAAGCCTCCAGAGGCTTACCCAACACCATCAGAGGACTGCTGGGAGCCCCACCCCCCAATGGCGATCACCGCTTTCAGAGGTCCCCTGCAAGTCCTCCAATGGTGCTGGGCAAGCCCCGGGAGGCTGAGTTTTGAATTTCCCACCCTTTTCCCCTGCCTTTTTCTCCCGAGGAAGGTGGTGATGCAGCGGCGGCGGACCCCCGGGAGGCTTTGGACCGATAAGTTGCTGCTTTTAAAAATTGCTCTGGGTGAGTTTTGGAGGGTAGGTTTGGGCTGGGGGGGTACTGTATGGTTCTGTGTTGTTGGGTTTTTTGCTGATTTTTTTTTTTTGCAGTCCCAGGGTGGGACTTGCTCAGCTGTTTATTTTTGGATGTGTTTGTTTTGTGTGTGTGTGTGTGTGTTTGTGTGCGCGTGTGTGTGCGCATGCGTGTGTGTTTTGCAGTCCCAGCATGGGACTTACAGTGCTTTATTTTTCATTTTTCTTTTGGGGGGTATTTTTTCCTTTGGCCGGAACAGATTAATGCGTTTTCAATGCATTCCTATGGGAAATGGTGCTTCGACTTAAGAACGTTTTGACCTAAGAACACAGTCCCAATACGGATTAAGTTCTTAAGTCGAGGTACCACTGTACTTCCCTCCACCTCAAAGATTTCATTTTGTTGTTCAACTAAGTTGTACAGTTTGTAGGTCTCATTAAAGGTGGAAAAAGTTCTGAAATGATTTATCTTTGTCTCATTTTTTACATCACAGACACTTGACATTTTAACAGGTGTATGTAAACTTTTTATATCCACCATATATTCAGTATTGGAGCTTATCACAGTAAGGCACCCATAATAATGCACAGAGATGTTCAGGGCACTTATACACCAGAGGCAGACAACTGTGGCCCCTAGATGTTTTTAGCCTAAAATTTCTATCACCCTGAACTAACATAGCTGGTGGATTGTGGGAGTTACAATCCAAAAGTACATGCAAGACCAAAATTGCCCAGCCCTGTTCAAAACCTTTGAGAAGATGGCTTTCAGGGAATCCTGAAACCCGATACCCTTCCTTTTTGCTGCTCATCCAAGACTTCTTTCCAAATCAGAACAAAATGTACCATTTCCTGAGCAACTTCCTCGGCCACATCCTTATAGAGCTCAAAATGGAACTCTAGGGCATTGTTGTCCTTGTACTTCCCATGCAGCTTTTTCGAGTCATCCATTCGTAGCCAAAGCTTCAGGTTGGTCTTCACCCCATCATCCTCTTCAGCCAGCTCCACATGGACCCCTGTGTCCTCTTGGAAAAAGGAGTGCTCCAGAAGATCCTGAATAGTGTATCTGCAACGAAGGAATGATAGTTAAATGACTCAAAAAATGACAAATGCAAATCTATTGAAGTACAAATACATATGGAGTTTGCTTCCAAAAGATGCAGTGTTGGCTACCTGTCCAGCAGGTGTTTACCTGGCAGCAAGCAGGAAAAGAGCTTTTTTGGGTGGGTGGTGCCCACGCCCCTCACTGAGTGGTAAAATACATACTGACTTTGTTACAGTTCAAGTACATGTTAAAATGCTTTTATTCGTCTTGACATTCTCACTTAGCAATGCTTATTATCACAACACTTAGTTTTTGGCCACTGATGGTTATATACAATTGCTTTTGGTTTTACCTCTGATTTATAGTTATACTGTAGTTTTCATTGTTGAGTACCATCTGGGAAAGTTGTTCATAATAGGCAGCATGTAAATAAATAAATAAAAGTGTGTCAACATTAATTTTTAAAGCAGATACGGGGAGCATCCAGCCCATAGGCCTAATCTAGTCTGTAGACTGTGCTCCATCTGGGTCACAAAGGCTCTTTGTCAAGACCTTCCTGGCTCCAACCATATCCCATATCTCCAACACATCTCAGTCAGTCATGTGGCTGATTGTGTGCCTTGGCAGCTTGTCAATTAGCTGCAGTAAGTTAACACATATCTTATATTACCCTCCAGTTAGTCAATGTGGGAACCAGTTTGGTGGACATAACAGACCATTGGTCTAATCCAGTATGGTTCTTCTTATGTATAATTTAAAAAAACAAGAGACACACAAGCATATATCACATTTTCTGAATCTAGGCACACAACATAAAAGCTCAAGGGTGAGATTTCCAACGGTCAGACCCAGATTTTGTATTTCTTTCTTCCATTCCATTGTGCCTTCTGCCTTTTTTATTTTTTATTTGTTTTTAATTTTTTTGGCCTTTGCTGAGCTACTTTGGAATGTTACAAAAGAAGAATCTGCACATTGCCAGATATATCAATATAGCTAACAACTATATTTGTTTATTCCACAGCTTGGAAAAGTAACTTTTTTGGAATATGTCTCTTGGACATCTGCAGCCAGTGCATCCCATAGCCATGCTGTTTTAGGAATTCTGAGAGTTGCAGTCCAAAAATTTTATTTTTCCAAGCTTGTGTTTGCTCAGTGTGTAGTAGATGCCATGCCATGGCAGGCCAGTGGCTGTGCAGTTCCTTACCTCTGATTCCTGTTCATTCGGATGCAGCCCTCAATGATCTCCTTCAGCTCAGGCACCTTCACCTTGGCAAAACTATTGGGCTTCAGTCCCTGTGATTGAAAAGTGACAAGAGGGGCCCAGTCAGAAAGGACCAAGGAGGAAGTGAGGTGAGGTGGTGAAAGTAGAGGCAGCCAGAAAGTCCAAGATTTCTGTCCTCTAGGACAGGGGTCCCCAACCCCTGGTCCGCGGCCCGGTGCCGGGCCCCGAGGAGCCATCAGCTGGGCCGCGGCGACACAGTGGCAGCCATGACAAAAAATGGCGGGAAGGCTATTTGAATTTCCCCAGCTCTTGCCTCCCACCGCTGGGTCCGTCTGTGGTGCTGGCTTTCCAGGCGGGCTCCGGGAGGCAGAGCCCGACTGGAACGCCAGCAGCGTGGACAGACCATGCGGGAGGGGGCAAATGTAAGGACCCACCAGCCTCCTTCAGCATGCTCAAAACGGGGCGGGGAGGCGAAGGAGAGAAGTCTGGCCACACTTTGGGGCGAACTCGCGTGCGTGCGTCAGGGCGGGCGCTCGGGCTCTGCCGCTCCCTGCCCCGGACCCACCGGCTCATAAGCCAGGCTCCTTGCCGAGCCTTCCAGGTGCCCCACGTTTTTGTCTCTTTGGGGGTTGGGGTGTGTTCCTTGGGGTTGCGCCTTCTAAAATGCCACCTTCGGAAGCGAGCCTTCCCCCAGGGAGCCACGCCAGCCTCCTTTCTGCGCGCTCAAAACGGGGTGGGGAGGCGAAGGAGAAAAGTGTGGCCACACTTCGCGCTCAAAACGGGGTGGGGAGGCGAAGGAGAAAAGTCTGGCCACACTTTGGGGGTGAACCCTCGTGCGTGTGTGTCAGGGCAGGCGTTGGGCGCCACCACTCCCTGCCTCGGACCCACTGGCTCATTATCCAGAGTAACGCTGCCTCTTCCCCCTCCCTCCTCCCCGGTCCCTTTCAAAGGTGTATGTCCCTTCATAAGAGCAGGCTGCAAACCGGAGGCTCTTCCCCCTCTGTCCCTGGAGGCAGAGCCCAGCTAGGAGGCCATTTGAATTTCCCCGGCTCCTGCCTCCAGCCGCAGTGTCCGTCCGCGCTGCTCTCTTTCCAGGGGCTTTCCAGGCGGGCTCCGGGAGGCAGAGTCTGGCTGAAAAGCCAGCAGTGCAGACGGACCCATGGGGGTCTAGGGGCAGAGGGGGAAGAGCCTCCGGCTCACAGCATGCTCTAAGAAGGGACAGGATAGGGATGCTGCCCGTCTTCGCTCTCCTGCCCCCTCCTCCAAAGGGGGAGGTCCCGGTAAGGTCCAGGCGCTGGGTCTGTCTGTGCTTCTGGCTTTCTAAGGGCTTCCCAGGAGGGCTCCAAGAGAATTAGATTTTAATTTTCATTTCACTCAGAGGGTGGGGAGGAGCGCACGGGGGGGTGCACGTGTGTGAGTTGGCAGGGGCTCCTGCGCATGCGTGAAGTGGTGGGGAATGCGCGCGCAGCTATGGCGTGCGCGCGCTCCCCAAACACTTTGTGCGTGCACCGGAGAGCGCGAGCGCGAGGGGCCGCCCCACCTCCCTCAGAGGCTCCGCCGGTCCGCATGACAAAAAACGTTGAAGACCACTGCTCTAGGACAAATATTCTGCCTACCAAACAAAGCCTAGAAAAAAAAGGGCTTAGTAGTTTTTAATAAAACAGTAATACTGTACTTTTTCCATTCTCCTCTGGCAATGAACCAGCAAGTCTTATATTTGTACCCAAGTTAGACCTAGAGCTGTTCAGAGTACCAGGAACACGTGTCCCTTTACCTGTTATTATTCTGGACTGAAGAGAGCATGACCAAGCTGAGTGGGGGATTCTGAGAGAGATATTTGGGGAAAAAGCCCCCTCCCAATTTTACCTTCTACTTCTACTACTCAGATGACCCTTCCATCTAACCATAAAGGAAGACATCCAGTGAAAGAAATATGGTTTTTTAAAGCATGGAAGGAGAGAGGTATCTACTCTTATAGCAATAAACAGTGGCAAAGAAAATTCAAATCTAAGTTGAGTATGGTTCTGTCCCAGCTTTTGTTTCTGCCTGGCTTTGGTGTCCTGAAGAGCATTCTGACCTTCTCCCATGGCTACTCTGTACCATCCCTACATATCCAACCAGCTGTAATGTCTGTATTAGAGATGGGGGTTTTCGTATTCATATACAGATACAAACACCCCCCATCTCTAGTCTGTATCTTGCTCCCTAATGCCCCAAGTTACATCAATCAATTCAAGGTTCTTTGAAAACCTCTCACCAAAAAGTTCTCCTCCCTTTTTTTGACATATGAGGACACTGAAAGGGATGAAGATCATAACAGAGAGGGATGATCCCACACTTTTTGAGAAGGCAGAGGCTGTCTTCTTTCTCACCCACCGAGGTGACCTTGCGATAGATCTGAGCTGCATTCTGGCATTCCGAATAGGGGTACTCCGAGGTCGCCATTTCTAGCATGCACATGCCAAAAGCATAAACATCCACAGCCTCATCATACTTTTCCTCATACATCTCTGGAGCCATAAATTCTGGAGTTCCTGGGAAAAAGGGAAGGAAAGAGTTTCATCTCAGACCCGTAGGTAAAATTCCTTCGCACTGAACCATCACAGATCTCACTTGTGTCTGCTAGGAAACCCCTTTCAATCATAGTGTATTGAACCCCCTACAACAGTATTTGAGCATGCTTCCCAGGATCTCCAGGAAACACCTTAAGTGACCACATTGGATCAATATAGATGTAAATAAATGGAGAGTGCTAGCAGGCTGCCTCTTCCATAACCATTTCTCAGTTGAAGCCGACCATCCTTGAGAATGCCATCTGTATACGCAGTGAAAGCTGGAACAGTAGGCAGAGAAGCATTCTTGGCACTACTCTTTATTTACACAACTCCCAACCTTAGAGGAACCACAACAATTCCAAGCATCTTCCAGAGCTGATGCAATAGTTTCTTAATTTTAAGTGGCCTTTCGTTCACTGAGGTATGTTCATTGTGATCCAGCATCTGACAAATCCACTTCCACATACTTTCCCTCTTTATCCTGTCTGTGTCCCGTCTACACTGCTTCCATTCATTTTTTTTAATCCCAGGAGAGGTTGTGAGGAGATGCTAATGGAAAAACCAATCTTTTTTTTTAAAAAATGCAGTTTTTCTATACATATTTCAAATTAAATGCATTGTATGCACACATCCATGCACTGACTAAAGTGCATTTGTATATGTTTTTCATTTGCAGTTCTCAGAAGTAAAAAATTAACTGGGCCTTTTCAGAGTCCTCTGAATACAAAGTATCTGGTCTACGTCCATTTCTTGGTGGGGTGAAGAACCTTCAGCTGATTCCTCCTACGGTTCTAGTGTTTATCATAATTTTTTCATAACGGTTTTAATTTCTTTACTGCAAAAAAATTTCAAGGGGAAGGAGTGATACTAGTATGCTGCAGCAAAAACAACAAAGACCAGTGTGGCACCTCAAAGACTAACGCATTTTAGATGATAAGAAATCTTGTGTGCTGCAACTCAGTTATTTAGGCTGCAGTGCACTTCAGGTAGCAAATAAATTTGGCTGACATACACAAAGGTTTATGCCAAACAGCTAGGTTTTTTAAAACTCTTTGCTGTTTTTATTGTAGTATTATTCAACACAGATAGAAAAGACCATGGGTCAGGAGACACACCTCGTCCATCCCTATATCCTGCCCCCCCAACATCTCTCCCCATCAAGCAAATACCTATAACACTCTTGGCAAATGATGCACGCTTCAGTGTGGCCAGACCAAGATCTCCAATTTTGACAGAGCCAGTGGGACCAGTAATGAAGATATTGTCACATTTCAGGTCACGATGGATGATTGGAGGGGAGCGGGTGTGCAGAAAGTGTAGCCCCCGCAGGATCTGCCTGCTCCAGCGCTGGAGAACTTTCAGCTTCATCTCTTTGAAGCGCTTCAGGTATCTATAAAAAAGGAGATGCCATTAGATCCAAAGACACCACACCATCACAACAGCTGTTTATAGGCCTTATTCTTTAGGAACAGAGTAAAATTAGACCTTGAATCCCATGTTATGATATTGAGCAAAAATCCTTGGCTAACACAGTTGTCAATCACCAGCAATTCAGCTTTTCAAGTATAAGTCCTAACATAGCCAAAACAGCACCATCCAGGCATAAGAGGAAACCTCTAATTTTAAAGAAGTACAACAATATCTTCGGGGGCAAAATCTAATGGGGGGACACCCCCCAAAACCATCCAATTAAGCCTAAACAAGAAATGCTGACTAATGTTAAAGTACATTAAAATTACTTGCAAGTCACTTACAACAAAATATGGCCCTTCTCAGGGTTTCCTAGGTATGAAGTATTCAAAAGTAGTTCAGCAGTTCCTTGTTTTTGTGGTTTTTTAGTACTATGAAAGTTGCCCAAGTACATACTAATGACAGGGCACATAAGCCCATTGGCCACAAGTGCTCTGGCTTATTCAGCCGCCCCCGCCCCCACCCCCAGCATAGTGGGGGATTCAAACTCCTGGCCCCAAGCAATCACAGCCAGGTGCTTCAATCCACTGACCTCCAATCAGTTCTATTGATGTTAAAGCCAGGAAATAAAATGGCCGGGACAGGTGGGAATCCTAGAGAAAGGCAGGATCACCTGACTAATTTTGTTGAATGTGACCAATTGTGTGGAGAGGCTTCTCTTTAGTAGATCATTCTAATAGCTACATTTTACCTGCTTGAGTATAGTCTCAGGTTTCAGAGCTTGTTCTTTTCAGAGCATATGAGCAAAGTATGGAGAAGCTGTGGGATTTTTGGACTACATCCCCCCCATGCTATCTGATGTATTCTGGGATTTATAGTCCCAAAGCTAGCTGGCTAGCTCAGTGGTTTAGGTCTCTAGCTGTGGAGCCTGAGGTTGGGCATTTGATTCCCTACTGCATCTTCTGGGAGAAGAGCCAGCCTGTGTGGCCTTGGGCAAGCTGTAAATTCCCAGGGTGTCCCCAGAAGAAAGGAACGGTAAACCACTTCTGAGTATTCTGTACCTGAAAAACCCTGAAAAGGGTCATCATAAGTCAGAATGGACTTGATGGCACAGATGAAAAGAAAAGAAAAGTAGCTTCTCCAAGCTTTGTCTGAGAGAGTACAGTGGTGCCCCGTATATATGAAATCTTTCGCTATATGAAATCTTCGCTAAGCGGTGCCTCATTTGTTTTTGTTGTTATTAAAGAAAAGTAATAATAGCATATCTAACATAAAATGTTTATATATACACAATACAACTAGAATTCCCCACCTGTGCCACCTTCACCCTTGGGACTAGGTAACCAAAATATCATTTTAATACTTTTAACGCCATTCCACTCCAAAAATACATTGATTCTTCTGCTGGCTTATGAGCTTTCCCTTTCACAAAGACATACTCCAAATATAAATTCCATACCTCTTTAAAATCATTATGCTTTATTATTCCGCTTCTTATTTTCATTTCACGGTTTAGCTTATCATTAATTGCTAACCTCCACATTTCTTTGTACCAGTCTTCAAGATTAATTTGTTTGTCACTTTTCCAATTCTTTGCAAATATTAATCTTGCTATTGTGACCATTATACAGTAATTAACTCTTTCTGCTCTTTTTAAAGATGGTCATTCTTAATTATATTTAGGAGGGCAACAATTATTGATATTTGAATATTATATCCAAAAATTTCTCTAATTTCTTTAAAAACCACTGCCAATTCTTTCTTTCTTTCACAGGTCCACCACATAGGTCCCTTTTTCTTTTTCACATCTTCAGAATTGAGATGGTACATTTTTATTATATTCAATCTTACTAGGGTAAAGTACCATCTCCATACAACCGTATAACAATTTTCTTTTACCCTTATAGACATTATTCTTTATATTTTGTTTCAATCCTCACCTTTGACCTCTTCTTCTAAGTCCTCCTGCCACTGGTTTTTCATCATAACTTTTTCAGATCCAGCATGTGTTAAAATCTTATAAATTACACTAATGATGCCCTTTCTTGAACATGTCTTTGCTCAAATTACACTACCAATGCCCTTTCTTGAACATGTCTTTGCTCAATGATCTCCTCAAATTTTGTCAGTTTTCTAATTTCTCTGACTTTTCTAGTTCACTCTCTTGTCTAACTTTCCATTTGGAGTATATTTAGCCAATATATCCCCTCTTCTTTCCCCAAAATTTCCTTTATAGTATTTTTATCTTTCATATTTTTCATCCAACTCCTTATTCCAATGCCCTTTCTTGAACATGTCTTTGCTCAATGATCTCCTCAAATTTTGTCAGTTTTCTAATTTCTCTGACTTTTCTAGTTCACTCTCTTGTCTAACTTTCCATTTGGAGTATATTTAGCCAATATATCCCCTCTTCTTTCCCCAAAATTTCCTTTATAGTATTTTTATCTTTCATATTTTTCATCCAACTCCTTATTGTATTTATCCCTTTTTCTATTAGTACTGCTTTAAGCTTAATTTTAAGAGTTTTGGGGAAACTCTGAGTCTCCACTACTTGTAATGGTGAAATAGGTGGACTCAATATATACCTATGTTCTTTCCAACATTCTAACATGTTCATCAGAAAGGGATTACTTGTTCTCTTTATTTCTTCTACAATTTTTTTCTTTTATTTCTCCTACAATTTTTTTCTTTAAAGAGGAAGTCCTCCAGTCTATTAGAGTATTCTGACATTTCCATTTCCCTCCATATTAAGTTTCTATTATGTGCAATAATATCTGGGATATGTCTAAGCTGGTTTGTGATGTAATATATTTTAACATTTGGTAATCCAAGCCCTCCATCTTTTTGTGAAATATACCACATTTTATTATTGATGCTTGTTTGTTTGTTTCCATTACAATAGTTATTTATCAGCTTCTGCCAATTTTTCAAATACTGCATGTTTCTCCAATCTTTGTTGGGAGCATCCAAAATACAAAATTAAGTTTAGGAATAATCTTCCTTGCTCACTTCATTTGTATAGTTCCAAATGATCTCCTATCCCAGATACACATGGAAATGCCAGATCAGCAAAGACTGCTTCTTCTACAATGGCTTGCTTTTCACACTTAAGATATAAACTTGGCTCCTTTAATACCCCAGTGATTTTAAGAGGTTAGTTAGCTGACTTGCATGATGTTTTGATATTTATGAGAAGTATTATTATCCTCATTTGCAAACAAAGGTAGAAGAAACTTATTGCTCTTAATCCCCGAGCACATACACATTTCTCTGCCCAACAAAAGGCAATACAAATGTCCAAAATGTCACTTGAGCAATCACAGATGCCAGCAAAGGACAGCAAGTTGCAAAGAAACAATTGTTCTAAGAATTCTGAACAGCATCAAATTTTGAAATAACAAAATAACCTCACTCCCAAAGAAGACTGGAAATTAGAAGGTGTTCCCGCAGAGTAAAAGAGAGAGAGGAAACAGAAGAGATGGGAGAAAAGTCCATGAACAGCTTGAGCTCTCCTATACGTTTGTCAAAGGCATATTTACCCCCAAACAAGTAAACAAACATAGTAGATTTCTAAGTTCCATTTTGGAAATACTATTTTGAAAATATTCAACCTGAGGGATTATTGGCTTCCCAGAATACCTATTTCTAAATAATACAGGGAATGAAGGTGAAACTTACATTACTTTACAACAGCATTAGGTTCAAGCTTCAGCCTTTCCAGGTGATAGTACCCTACCTCTTCCTCTCTTGCTATCCAATGAGATGGAGAAGAGAAGACAAAGGGTGAACAGGCCAAGAAAGTCCCTGAGCCCTTCCCATATTCAGAAAAACAGCTGTTCCTTCTGGAATTGTAGTTTCATGCAAAGGTTTTCTTTTTGGGGTGGGCTGAATATGGCAGCGACAGCTGGTGGGCACCTGTACTCTACCAACTTCTATCTCCTCCAGCCTATATTGCAACAATTGCAAGGGAGGTCCAGAGAATTTTATGTTGTGCTCTCACTCTCAGATAAGAAATCTGATATAACTAAAGCAGTGGCAAAGTTTTTTGTGGCTGCAACGAAGTGTCGCTGTTCTCTCCTTGCACCGATTAAAGCAATGCTGGATGTTTAGTAATGCTGTGTATTGACCACCTTATACTTTATATGCCACACTATGTAGGATGATGAGACTGGAGGCAGTACAAAATTTACTGAATTGATTTACTGATCTCCTCAGTCCTGTGGAACTATGGAGATTCTATAAAATTTAGTAACATTGCAATAGGTTGTATATTTCTTATTTTCGTGTTATACTAATATTTGAATGCATCTGCTGGTTGGTGACCATAATAAAGATCAATCAGTCTACCAACTGCTGAACTTTCTGTTTAATACAAGGAGTTCAACCTGGCTAAAGGAAGGGCTGGCCTTGAGAACTTTATTAAGAACATTGCTGTATTTTCATGATATGTTGGACTTCCATGCGTATTGTGAGCAAAAATTAAATTGATTTTGATTGAATCCAAAACCAAGGATACTGGTTGCACAGGAGAGCCTCAGCAAAAAAAGGGGTACAATATATTTACTAAGGCCAAAAAATTCACAATTAGCTCATCATTGGATAACCACATTTATTTATTTACCTATTGGTAGGACACACAAGGCAGTCCTATATTTGAGATCTGATGGCCAAGTGTTTGTAGAGTTCCATTTCTGGAACAGAAATACCAAATATAGCAAGGAACAGATAAAGCAGGACTGAATCATAGGCAGAGGTAGAGCTGATATAGGGATGGAGAAGCATATTTTTTCCCATATCATATATTCTGTTTTCATCAACTGAGGAGCTTCAAACCAACCTCAGATTTAATGTAAATGAAGTTCAATGGGACAAACAAACAAACAAAAAGCATCCCTACTTCACTGACTACTTCCTCCATGCTGCCATGGCTGAGATAGTATATGGTGTAATTCAGCACCGTACCATACACACTCACATATAAATTCCACCCAAGACCAATTGGTAGGGTTAATGACATGGGGCTCTTTGGCCTCCAGTTGCATGTACTTAGAGGTCACAAGGGAGAACTGTGCTGAAGAGAAATGATGGGGGAAAGGCAGTTCACATGCAAACAGGACCAGTAACAGAGAAAGGTCTACTGTCCAGAATTCATAATGCACTCTTAATATTTCTCAGTCTTTAATGTTAAGAAGGTACACCACCTTGAAACTAAACTCACAAACATACAATAGAAGCACCGGTTCCAATCCTACACCTGGAGGTGTCAGGAGAAAGCACCCCAAACAGTTAAGGAAGAGAAGAGGGATACTGCAATAGAAAATACTACAGCCTCAGGCAGTTTCTATGTCTTTGCTCCATCCACCCTTCCAAAAGATGGGAAAAGTAACTTTTTAAAGAGTACATTCCTCAAATACTCCAATTAGGATGGGGTACACTAGTGTCCAGAACAGGGTTTTCTGGGGTATTCTGAAAAATTATGTAGTTTAAAAAAACAGCATTTCCCTCTCACCTTTTTAATCTATTAATACTATATCATGTGGGAACTGCATTGCTCTCTTTTCCAAATCCAAACTCCCAATGTGGGCAGCAGTATGACCCCCACACAGAAGAGGTACTCTAATGGCAACTCTGACAGAAGAAAAGACAAGCCTACTCATTATGACAGCAGTCTTTCCTCCTCTGCCCTGATACAGAAAGAGAGACTAAAACACAAATAGTGGCTGGGCACCCATATGGCCCCTTCTTCTTCCTCCTCCTCCCTCCATTTATCCCAAACATCTACTCGCCACATAAGCCCAGTGGTCTGCATTCCAGCAATGATGGGGAAAAAAAATCAATGTTTTTTTTAAAAAAATCTATTTAAATCACAATTTAATTTTTTTTTAAAGGATTTTTATTTGAATAATGAAAAAAACAGAATAGGGGAGGAAACAGAACTCTGAAGGACCCCCAGGCCAACTTTTTTAAAAATGATTTTTATTTGAATAATGAAAAAATAGAATAGGGGAGAAAACAGAACTCTGAAGGACCCCCAGGCCAATGTGCAGGGAGTGAAATAAGAGTCAAGAAGGTAAAATTATTCCATAAATGTTGGACCCAACCCAAGCACATGAGTTTGGATGCACTAACGTTCTGCACTACAGCTCCCAGTAGCCCCCAGTTGGCACAGTAGCCCGAGGGCTTCTGCAAATTATAGTCAGATTACAAAAACAGGTCTTTCAAAGTCTCAGCACCCTCTTTAGGACAGATCATAAAGGAAGCCCATCCAATTAACAGCAGATGTGGGTTGGACATTAACCACCCACTTCACTTTCAAAACCAGCTTCCTTGCACTCCATATTTTTGCCCCTGTCAAGAGGAGGCATGAGCTTTGCTGAGAAATGATGGGATTACTGTACAGACAGGCACATAGTGCCAGGTTTCATTTTGCATTTAGCAGGCTGCCTCCTACATCTGCAGGAAAAGCTGCCATGATGGTCCAGTCTAACAACAGCTAAAATCCTGTTGCTTAGCACAGTAAATTGAACTACAGTAGGTCAATTAAGTAAATGGGGATTTGATGAATCAGCTCCTCTGTAAATCTGATTGATTTAAATAGATCTACTTTAGTTGTGAAGGAAGTCAAACTAGAGTAGGTACATTTGAATCAATGGAATGTATGGAGGAGTTAACTCACTAAATCCTCATTTATTCAACTAGCTTACTCTGGTGCAATGTACTGTGCGAAGCAACAGGATTTTGGTCATTGTATTCTAGAACAAGAAATACTGTACATCTAGTGAAAACAGCACCTTTCAGATCAAGTAACAGATGGTAGTCTTTCTTGCCTGGAAATTCATATGGAAGAGAAATTGGCACCAAAGGAGAGCTCTATGACTTTTCTTTCTTAATAATACAACGATGGGCAATAAACACTTTTTTTCTTTTTTTAGAGAAGTGTGCTTAAAAATGTAACACATAGCTCCGCTTTCACTGCTACTCATAGCTTACGCTTGCATGACAGAAGGAACTAAATGGAGTAGAGTAGGAGCACAATATCCACAGGATCAGTAGCCACATTTTGACGTATCCACTGCCTGAAAATATTAAGTAACCCACCTCCAGAAATACAGTGGTGCCCCGCATAGCAACGTTAATCCGTTCCAGGATTAACTTTGCTATCCGGATTCGTCGCTATGCGGGGGGGGAACCCATGGAAATGCATTCAACTCCGTTTAATGGGTTCCTATGGGGGAAAACTCACCGGTAAACGAAGATTCCCCCATCCGGCCGCCATTTTCGCTGCCCGGTAAGCGAGGGCAGGGCGCGAAAACGCTGCAGGCGGCCATTTTGCTGATCTGGTGGCCATTTTGGAACCGCCGATCAGCTGTTTTCTAAACATCGCAATGCAAAGATCGGTAAGCGAAACGCTTACTGATCATCACAATGTGATATTTAGCCTATCTAAATATTGCAATGCGATTGCATTAGCAATCGCAAAAAATGCGTTGCTATGCGGATTCGTCGTTAAACGAGGCGCTCATTATGCGACGCACTACTGTATGCATATCCAAAGTGTACTGCCAGAATTGGGCACTAGAGGAAAGCAGAGATTATGAGTAGAGGGCCATGGCCCTGGTAGAACCGGGCCGTGGAGACAGATCTACCAACCCCCCTGCATGCAATCCCCCCACCCCTGTGCATGTGCCCCCCCCCCGCAAGCGAGTGCCCAAGGTATGCACACAAATGCCCCCGTCCTCCTGGAGCACGCCCCACCTACCCACGAGCACATCCCTGCCCCCGTGCATGTGCCCGAGCACGCTTCCACAAGCACACCACCTGCTGCCCTGCCCCCCGCATGTGTTTGGGAAAAGGTAGGGGGCCACTGCTATATATAGTAAGCCCTCCTTAATCCATGGCATCAGTATCTGCTGGTTCACTTATCCACAGTCTTAAAATATTAAGAACATCAAAAGAAAAATCCTAGGAACATATATATTTGTAACTATGAGGTTACCAGAGTTGGCCACTAGAGGGGGACAGAGTCCATTCTATGTACACCAAGGGTCTCCAACCCCCGGTCCATGGCCCAGTACTAGGCCGTGGCCTTGGCAGGACCAGACCATGGATACAGATCTCTCGTCCCCCCCATGCACACCCCATGCACACCTGGCCCACCCAACTGCATGCATGGGTGCCCCGCTCCTCCATGCATGGATGTCCTGCCTATCCCTGCACCCGTCTGCCCACACACGCATGCACATGAGCGTGCCCTGCCCATCTGCACAGAAGCGTGCCCTCCCATGGACCCTGCCCCCCAACTGGTCTGTGGTTTGGAAAAGGTTGGGTGTTGGGAAATTGTATGCTTTTACAATGTATATAGCAGACATTGTTTTGGGCACAGATCAGTTTCCAGTAAGGATTATCATTAACCTGCTTTGGTATCTAAGATAATTTCCTGTCTCTGGGTAAATTGTATTAACTTCATGTGTATTTAAAGGTGTTATATGTCTATGTTTACCCTGCTCTGTATTCAGGAATGTTTACCCTGATTTATGAGGTTACCAGAGTTGGCCACTAGAGGGGGACAGAGTCCATTCTATGTACACCAAGGGTCTCCAACCCCCGGTCCATGGCCCAGTACTAGGCCGTGGCCTTGGCAGGACCAGACCATGGATACAGATCTCTTGTCCCCCCATGCACACCCCATGCACACCTGGCCCACCCAACTGCATGCATGGGTGCCCCGCTCCTCCATGCATGGATGTCCTGCCTATCCCTGCACCCGTCCGCCCACACACGCATGCACATGAGCGTGCCCTGCCCATCTGCACAGAAGCGTGCCCTCCCATGGACCCTGCCCCCCAACTGGTCTGTGGTTTGGAAAAGGTTGGGGACCACTGATACAGCATTCACTAGGGCAGCGGTCCCCAACTTTTTTGAGGCAGTGGACCGGCTGAGCCTCTGAGGAGGGTGGGACACACACCCCCACTCGCACAGGTGCTCGTGCTCTTTCGGGCACATGCGTGAAGTGGGGGAGTGTGGGTGTGCATGCCAGCGTCATCATGAGCGCTCCCCTACCCTTTTGCGCACGTGCAGAAGCACCTGCACCCCCACCCGTGTGCCCTTCCACCCCTTCATGGGGGTGTGCGGGCATGAAGGGGTGGGGGAGTGCTCCCGCCAGCGCTGGCAAGCACAGATGTGCACAAAGCAGCTATGGGGAGGGGAGTGCATGTGGGGGGGTGGAGGTCTGTCTCCATGGCCTGGTCTGGCTCAGGCTACAGACCCGCACAGGGCCACAGACCAGGGGCTGATGACCTCTCCACTAGAGAAATATATTTCCCTGATGTCATTACTAGAATGGTTCATTAGAGGGAGTCAGGGACCATGCAATGTATGGTGTTAACTATTAAAATAGAGTTTGCTATAACAATCTTTTTCAGTACTGAGGGGGCTTGAAACCGACCCCCTGCAGATACCACAGTCCTATTATAATCTCCCCTCTTCAAAGGAGACAATAGCCATTAACATCCCACATCCCTGCCACCCCAGTCATCACCACAGCCTCCCCGCCACTGCAACCCACTTAGTTTGGTGCTCACGTTTTGAGGGTGCCTGAGGTCATAAGTTCCGTGACGAGCACAATGCAGACCTGTCCTTTGACAGAAGACTTCCATGAGTCATAGAAACGGACAATGTTAGGGTGTTGAAGGCCCTTCAGCATCTCCACCTCCTCGCTGAAGCGCTGCCGCTCCATCTTGGACAGCTTCCGCGTCTGAGGAGGAGGAGGAAGAATGGAAAAAAGAAGTATGAGGAGTCATGTAGCCATCTTTGTAGCCACAGGTACGTAGATTTGACACGGAATTGAGCTTTTGGAATTTGAACATACATTTCCACATTTTAAAAACATCACCTTTAATTATGAAATCGGATACATTTGTTTGTTTGTTTTAAAAAAATATAATGTTAATTTGTAAACTGTATACCCTGTTTTTCTCACATTAAAAATTGCTTACATCTACTGCCATGCACTAATTAAGAATACTGAAAAGCACTGGTCTTAAATGAACTGGGCTCCATGTATCAGTCAGATAGCTATATGATCATTGTTTTGTTCTTCCGAAGGGACTCCATTCTCACTTCTATTGACAACTGAGCATGTATGTCCTGATGCAGCTTAATAAAAAGAAACCACCACCGTCCCCATACTTTTGGGCAGTTAGGCAGGAGACAAAATGTGCCCAACTGTAACTATTACAGCCATTCTGTCTAGGGCTCATGGATTTACGTAAAACCACACAACATACCAGGAGATTTTCCATGCCCAGCAGTGCTGCCAGTTCTCTCGTCACCAGTTCACAAGCAGTTTTTTTCTCATAGACTGCACTGCTACTGCCATAGTTCACACAGCAAGACAGGCGACAACACTGATGTTCTCCTCATTGCTCTAACTGGGAAGGTGTGCCCAAGGACATGCGCCCACGGGCTGCCATTCCCAAACATTCTTCCCCTGTTCTTGTTTTTTTTGCATACCAGCATCATGCAAAGAGAACACAGAGACAAACACCACTGTAGGTCTGGTTAGGTGAGAAGAGGCACCCAGGCTTCTATAAAGGTCAAATATTCTCCTCCTTTAGTGTTGCTTACCTGGAGTTTTATCTCCCCCTCTGGAGACCTGAGAAACCACAGCTATTCCCTGAGACTTCAGCCACCATCAAGTTATTTAGCAACCCTACCTACTAGCGGGGCTTTCCACTTGTGCCCTGAAACATATGCTTGATATGGGAAATTTTTAGCTTGTCCACTTAGCAATGGGTCCCTTCTATTAGGGTCATTTGCCTCTGCCTTAGAGTAATGCTTTTATTCCGGGGACTTATAATTTTCCATGACAGTACACCAGCTGTCATACTAGGAGTAGGTCATTGTTACTGTATCCCTGAGCACCTCATCTATCAACTTCTCTGATTCTCCTGGCTTTTCCAGTTCAGCTATTTTAGCTTTAAATGGATAAACACATTTGCTAAGAACCAGCAGCATATGTCATGAGGCACACGCTCATGACTTCCATCCTTCATGTGAACCGTCATCCATGTGATACTCTGTGCAATATAGAGAATAACACCCATCACCCTGCTGTGTTTCTGTTTTCACAAGTATTCTGAGTTTAGCGGACTCATTTGCTTGGAAAAATAGGCTAAGATCAAAAAGGGTTGACCGCTGAGCTTGTACAAGCTTGTACTTGCTTAACTTACCTAACTGCTCAACTGTTTACCTTGATGCTTTCTCACTTGGGACTCCCCTGATTAAGTGGACTCGTGGCTCCCACAAAAGCTTGCATTTTTTCACTCCCAGCTAGTTTGCCCATGCATAGGGCATTTAATCACACAAATGCTTAACTAGCCAGTCTGCTTCACTGGGTTGCACTGGTATTTCATCGTGAGACTGAGAGATTTTTTTCCCTCAGCTAAGAAAATTCTCACCACCACTACCTTGGTCACCTACAGCTGGCTTCCCTCTCCCAAACTTGCTTTATTTTTACACTCCTCACTAACATCTCCTAAGCACCGCTCCAGTCAACATGATTAGGAGGGTCTCGTGTACAAATAAAAATAAAAACACAAAGGTATGCGAATGAACTTCTGGGCTGCACCAGACGCCAGTGTGGCAATTTAAAGGGGATTCAGGCCAGCTGAGTGGGCAGTGGGTGGTAATTAAGGAGAGGATGTGGGCAGTTTGAGCCCCTCTGGGAATGCAAAGATGTGACCCACTTTATGCCTGCCTCAGTTATGTGCTTTTCTAAACTTATACTCTATGTTTTATAGTGAACATAAAAATCAGCTTTTAAATTGAACTGTTGACAAATTGAAGACCATTTTTATAAAATGCCTGGAGACTATGCATTCCTATTTACATCAGATAATTTAAGTCAGAATAAGTTAATGGATGGCTTTTCTAAATCTGGTTCAGCACTGACCACAAAGCTAACACTGCCTTCCCACCTGGGAAAAGCCAGGCTTAGCAATATCCCTCCCATGGGCCACACCAACCATTCCCTCCCATTCATAAAGAATAAATTGAACAAAACTGGGCTAAGGAAAGTAAGAAAGAAGAACTACGCCTGATTCCCACTTGGAAGATACTTAAGTGTGGGCACAGGGAACTGCCAGAAAGGACCACACCATTTCAGAGTGGAGATGGAGGACTACATTTTGGAAAAGTGTGCCAGTGTTTTAAAAGCTCTTAAAAATAAGAAATAATAGTAATAATAATAAAAACAGAGTGGGAAGCAAAGGCCTAGATTAGAGCTTTTCACCCCAGTGTGCTGACTGCGTGTTTGTGAGGACTGATTTTACATGGAACAACTTCACCCCCCCACTTCTACTGAAAGTGGTACCACCCATTCTTCCTCCTCAGCATTTGATTGCCTCATTCTGTTGCCCGACATTGGGGTGGCTGGATGATGGGGGTTGTTTTCATTTTATTTTGTAGAAATCTTAAGGCAGGAATGCTGCTTACTTGGATCCAGAATGTTACAAGAAACTGTGCTGGGCTGGTGAAATCTGGCATGGCCTAGTTTCAACCAGTCTTGGTTCCATGTCACTGGTGGTCCCTGAGGGGAATGCTGTTCATTTCGAGAATAAAACCCCGGAAAGGATGGGCTGTCCTGCAGATCCAACAATTACAGGTTATTTTCTTGATTTTCAGCCTGCTTATGTGTGCACACATACACAAACCAGCTGCAGTTAATCCAGCTCACTATGGTGGGCCAGGGAGGAGCAAGAAGGAGATTTGAGCCCGGTTGCCTTATTCCAAATTTGATTCCATAAAGGTCAGTCACCAGGAAGGATGAATGCAACTTTTCACAGTTAAAGAAAGCAAAACAGCATCATTAAAACATCCTTCCTAAGTCCCTCCAATACCAATACAAACATACACACTGCCAGTACGGAGCTCCCCTAAGCTCTGCTGACCACCACAGGGAAAAATTATGGAAAATCAGGATACCTGGCTTTGCTTCTCTTAGAAGCTGAGGGAAACAATTTTGGGGGGTAGCAGGGTGAAGAAATCAGCAATGCTGTGTTCATGTCGCAGTTTTAGAACGAGTGACATCAAGAATTCTGCCATGTAAAAGACAGGTTGTGATACAGAGCATCACAAAGTTACTTTTTTGGATTATGGTTCCCCCCCAAGTGCCTCCATCAGTCATACTAATTTTTGCCTAGCCAGCCTCTGCCACTCTCCTTGCTTATGCAACATGCTCTGTAAGTACTGCTTCATGTGAGGTGTCTATTCTCTGTCTAAAAGAAGTACTGTGGGCTGAGTGGGAGAAAAGGCAGTCAAGACAAGCTGCAGCTATTAATGAAGGGGAATGGCAAGGATCCAGCTCTCTCTCGCTCTCCCTCTCTTGCCAAGCCAGAACTGGACCCCAGATGGGCAGGTGCCAAAACCACTGCCGCCATCAGGTTCACTACTATATCCAGTCACTGCTTAGAGGAGCTGGCTGTGAAAAAGACACTCCTGTGTGTATGTGTAAGAGAGAGAGAGAGATGAAATCACAGAAACAAACCCAAGAGCCCACGCCTGCCCTCCTTCACATCCCAAGTGAATTCAGCTGGAAGAAAAATGAGCAGGAAAAACAGACTAAACATGTTAAAAAGTGGCAGTTTTGCCAGGCAGCCGGCGTCTACAATGGCCCAGTGCCCACCTCCTAGGCCACACGGCCTCCATGTGTCTGTGGGAACCGCCTCACCTCCCTATTGGCCAGGCTTTTTGTGGTGGGGCCGGAGGTGGATCATATTTTTACACTTTGCAATGTTTATAAAGTTTTGCTACAGATGCAGCTGTGTGCTGTCAGCCACAGTGAAAGCTTCATTGTACAGAGCTCAGAAGAGCCAAGAAGAAGAAACAGGGCCAGAAGAGCTGCATAAATTGACATTCATACCAAAAAATAAGAAAAATTTAAATAAATAAATTCCCTGCAGGTTGCATGAGGTGGAGCAGAACTATGAGTAGAATAAGGGCAAACATGCAAGAAAAATGTTGATGAACCATTCATGGTTCCCTTGAACCACAGGGATTTATTGCCCTAAGGGAATAAATTTGTATTTTTTAAAAGAAATTAATCGCTACCCCAAAGACAGACAGACTTGCCAGACTATTTGATTAGTTTCTGATCTCTTCTAAACGATAATACGTCAGTGTTTCCTAGAGTCATTCATATCCTTTGGAACTGTGGTCCACAAGGCTAGACAGTCCTGTTTCTGTGACGCTTGTTTCCTGGCAGGAAAGTGTGTAGCACGTCCCCCCTCCCCAATTGCTTCCCCTACAATGGATCCCAGAACTTGGAAAAATTTAGTCTTTGGACTATAGCCTCCAGGGCTTGCTCATGCCATAATTTAAATGATATTTTTTTTCTCATTTTCTGCCAACAAGGCAGGACTCTTTAGAGTGAAACTACAACAGCTGCCCTATACCCACCTCAGGAGACGAGCATTACTACTTTTTCTCATTTTTGCAGAACTTGTAGGAAGATCTTCTGCAACAGTCTGGAACACTATGGTATCCATTGCACCTTGCTGTCCTACATCAAAGGACTTATTTTTATCTTCTAAAGCAGCAGAAACAAGGCAGAAATGACCTGATAAGAATCATTAGAGAAGTCAAAGGCTTGTATTGCACACTACTGCCATTTTGTTGGTTCTCATAAAGCTACTGCCAACCTCTGAAGTTTGGATCTGCACCTTATCTAACTCACATATCAGTAAAGCTACCTATATAGGGTTGTTTGGGCTCTTTTAACATTGAACTGAAAGTGACTACAGTGAGACCATGATACAGTGTTATTTGAACTAGGTTCAGTTCTGCATCTTCAGGATCCACATGGAATTTTAGATAGTCCACTGTTTACCTAATTTCTCCCATATGTCTTCCACTCAAACTATTTTTCTTGCAGCCCAGAATGACAGAAAACACGCTAAGGGTATTTGGTGTCTCCTACTCTTACCAGTAAAAAGACATCTCGCAGCTTTTCTACCTTTTCTTCCTCAACAAGTATGACAGACAGCGGTAAAACAAAGACAGAAGTTTGTGGGAACACACAGGTATGCTTTCCATGAAACATAATGTGCCTAACAGCCCTGAGAATGAGGCACTTTGACTGCATAATGGAAGTTTTATCCTGGAAGCACCTTCACTCTCCTGTAGACCTAGGAACCAAAGCATGTCCCTACAGTCCCTAAAACACAACCCATAATTTAGCCAGGGCATTGGGTTCAAACAACAGCTGCTTGGAGAAACGACACTTGGTTGACACGGTTCCAAGGCCTTCTTCGGAGCTTGGGTAATGTGATATATACCAAGCTCCTTGAAGAAGGGAGGGAGAAAGAAGAATCAGGCTTAAACAAGATGAAGAAAGGCTCCCTTCCCTGAATGACTCCCTCAACACATACATACACATCACACAGTGACCCACCCCGAACGGATTTTAGCAAGCCTAGATAGAGTTGCAATAAGAAGGCCCAGAAAAACACTTAAAGCAGGATAAGTAGGATTAACTGGGCTTTATTCAGGGGTTATATTTTAGGCCCAATACATCACGGCTTCAGCCCAAGATCTCATGAATCCAAAGATTTGGCTGTAAATTTTATGAAGAAATAATAGACATGAAAATGCCTCTATAGAGGTGCAGAGTTGTAACCCTTTCCTACAAAGGTCTAGTTTGAGGAGGGGAAGATTTCAGGTTACATCATCCTACTTCTAAACAAGCATGAGGCCCAAAACTACTCATATTAGTGTCAATCCACTGTTTACACTAAGGGTTAGGAAACACTTGAGACTAAATCTTCTATAAGCTGCAGCCAGAATGGCCAGTGGCAAATCGAAAGGCCAGTGGCTATGCTAACTGTGTGATATTGGAACTTGTTATATGAACAAGTAGATTTTCCAAGCTCCACATGCACTCTGTCAATGCCATCTGGGAGCGTCATCATTGAATTAACTGAAATTGAGGAAGAACTCTGCTCAGAATCTTGAGGTAAATAAAGAAGCTGCAACCAGAACGATTAGGAACTTCAGCTCCAGGCTAGACAGGTAACATTTTGGAAAACATTTCATTGTCTGCACACATTTTCCCCAATATCTTGGAAACAGAGAGCCATCCTTAGTAGCTCTTTCAATTTCCTGGGAGTTCCATGGGTTGTTCTTATTTTGAGGGGGGGAAAACCCTCACTGAGTACATATTTTGTGAGTGGACTTAAGTTCATTGTGGGAATGGCATTATCGAATGTCTGTGGCATTCCTTTAATATTTCTTTGTTATTCATCCAAGCTTCTGAGATTCCAAGCCAATATGTCCAAACTAAATTTCAAAAGCTATAATGCGAGAACAGTCTTCTAATGTGCCACCTCACCACAACAACTTGAGAACCAGGACCAAGAAGTTCTATATTGGGACCTAAGAATATTTCCTGTGCTTCTGTAAAGAGAGTGGCACCTAAAGTATTAATGCTTCATTTACAGATTTCAAATATTTGCTCACTTATGTTGACCCTGATCTCCAATTCTGAGCTTTGATTCTTTTCATCTTTCTCTAGGGACCCCAAAAGTTGCACCCAGCTTACATTGGTTCCTCTGCTCTTCAATACCTGGAATAGTCATCTTCAGTAAATATTTGTTTGCTCCAGATTGTACTCACTTCCTGCATCCTCTCTCTTCACCTCAAAAAAAGGCCATTGCTTCAAACTGACATCTGGGAACCAGAAATAGATCCAGGCAGAACTTCTTGGATGGGGAGGCTGGGTATCAACAGCTCAGGTTTGTGTTCTTCTAACCACAGATGTTTTAAAAGGCAACATAATGAAAAACTGCAGGAAAAAATAGGACAGGACAGACCTATTTTTTAAAAAAAGAGAGAACAAGTGACAGAAAACCCTGTGTCTGGGCAAGAGGCTTATTCTCAGCCGAAGTACTGCTTAAAAAAAAACTTTAGACAAACCAACAAATGATTCTTATTTTTAGTTTGCCTCCCAGAAAGCATCTGCATATTGAAATACATGGAAATGTAAGAGACGGGAACAGTGACCATAAGGTCTTTTTGTATGACTGTTTCTGAGCAGTGCCCAGCTCCTTGGGGTACCCTGAGAATCTCGCACTAAACAGTTGTTAACTTCCTTTTTATTCCTTCTTTCTCTCCCATTTCCTGAGATCCAACAGATACACGGAAGCTTTATGACTATTTTCTTGGTCATAAAGACCAAGAAAATCAAAGATCCTCTAAAGCAGTATCACATTGGGTGCAAAGGGCTGCCACTGCACAGCAAAATCAGCTCCTAACACTACAATGCACTGCTTTACATTTGCATCAGCTTTTCTGGATACTAGCCTTTGTGTTCTTCTCTCCCACCGCTCTTTGACTCCGTAACAGATCATCTTGATTTGCATGCAGCAAGTTTATCGTAGCATGCCTGGTTGATGAAATTTTAGGCAGACTCTTGCTCTTGAATGGTCAATAATGCCAATGGCATTTAAAACAAATGGCACTGGACTCCACAGATTGGCACAATGTAAGACAGCTTCTCCCAACCCCTTTGGGGCACTGCTTAAGGAATGAGAAGAAGAGGTGGTGGAACCTGGAAGATGGAATTGCGCCCTGGTGAGCGAGGGACGTGGTGGCGCTGCGGGCTAAACTGCAGAAGCCTGTGCTGCAGGGTCAGAAGACCAAGCAGTCGTAAGATCAAATCCACACGACGGAGTGAGCGCCCGTTGCTTGTCCCAGCTTCCGCCAATCTAGCGGTTCGAAAGCATGCAAATGCAAGTAGATAAACAGGGACCACCTCGGTGGGAAGGTAACAGCGTTCCGTGTCTAAGTTGCACTGGCCATGTGACCACGGAAGATTGTCTTCAGACAAAACACTGGCTCTATGGCTTGGAAATGGGGATGAGCACCACCCCCTAGAGTCGAACACGACTGGACAAAAATTGTCAAGGGGAACCTTTACCTTTTTTTGTCTTGTGAGCAAGTCAGTTCAATTTTCCAGCCATATAACTTTTCGGTTTCCCATATAACCTCAGAATATACAGCAGCCGTATTTTTGACCAAACCCACATGTCGTACATCAGAAGAAGAGAAAGGATTTCACGGTCATAAAGTGCTGTTGCCTTGGAGCAAGGCTTAGCTCCAGCACCTGTCTTCTTACAACACTGCCTGTCACTGAGCCCATGTACGAACACCTTTCCAGGGAGACAGTGTGGTTTACAGGGCTGCTCCTACCCTGAAGCAGACTAAAGTGGCAGTCTCTGACAGCAGATTGTTGGTGTCATGAAATGCAGCATTTCTTTAGTTATGAATTCTTAGATTTTTACTGCTGAGAAGGGAGAGAGGCCTTTTGCTTAAGTGTCAAAAGAACTTGGTTGGCTTTGAGAATACTACGCATTGTCCGGGGGTGGGTGGGTCATTTACTGTTCCATTCCACAAAGCAAAATGTCAGGCTAACCCTGTTTTCCTTCACTGCTTTGAAAGTCCCTTCATATCCAGAAGGCAAGGCTATCTACATGTAAAGAGGCAGAGAACAGAAGCCAGTCCCATTTCAGACAGCTTCTCAATCAAGGAGCTTCTCAGCATTCCTGCCTCTTTGTCCCCTAATACATGCAAACACTTACAAATAATATCTTCTTGGTCTATAACTCCCAGAACCCCATGGCTAGTGGCAGTTCAAAAAAGAAATATTTCCAAGGCTTCAAATAAGGATAGGATGTAGAAGCGCAAGGAACAAGTGCTTCCCTATTCCAAACTGTATCTTTTGCTCAGAGCATGTCTATCCTGGCCCTTTTGGAGCAGGCTGGTACAGTCTAAATAGAGTCACTTGAGGTGGAGGTGCCGTTTTGTGTGACCTTTGCATCCAAATGGCATACAGATTTCAAGCAACCCTATTTAGTCCAGTTCCTTCTGCTCCAGTTTCTGGTACTGTGAAGTGGCTTAATACAGGAGCCACTTCAGGATACCGGTGAATTAAACACTACCCCTGGTTCTCTTAAGATGGGCAGGGAAGTGAAATAATAATAATAACAACACAACAGGAATAGCAACAGGCTCTGGTAGACCATCACTGATTTGCTTAGGATATTACTTAGAATAACTGTTTAAAAATATTTTCACCTTGTGCAAAGTGTTGACCAAGGAACTGGCTGCAGTTGTGGTTTCGAGAATTAGGGGAGAAATTATCTAAGTGATGCAGCACATCAGCGATGGTCTATCAGAGACAACTGTTACAGGTGTTGCTATTACTGTTGCTGTTGTTATTTCACTTTTCCTGGCCCTCCACAGAGAAGGAGAGAAAGCATTCAACTTGCCGATAACCTGAAGTAGCTCGCTTATTAAGCCACTCCCACAATATTGAAAAATGACAGCGGAAAGAACCTTGGTAGCTTTGACAGCTGCAAGGATGAATTTTAGTCTGTTCCCAGTGATAGCATGCATTAGAAGTAGACTAAAAGAGAGTCTCCCTACCTACCAAAAAAATAGAAGCCTCTGACAGGAGCTCAAAAAGTGTGGGTAAAGGCGATTAGGAGATAGATTGGTTCACTGCAGCAACCAGGTTGTCTGATCACTGGGAAAAAGAGTGAAATAACCCATCCCTCCAGTGCACCAAACAGCTGGACAAATGCCTTTCTGATCCAGTCCTTATATTTTTTTTTCTCCCTTAGCTAGGAACGCCATGGGAATCTATTCTGGTTGCAAAAAAGGTCTAGACCCTGCTGTGACCCTGAGACGTTTGAGTGGGGCATTGGACAGTAATGACATCCAACTTCAAGAAGTAGCAGAAATTTTGCTGCCATCTGACAGTGAATGAGCACAGTCTCAATCCCCGTGGCTAAAATGCCAATTTTGCATTTTGCAGAAGGCAAGAACAAAAAGAAGAAGCCACACCTCTTGGCTACAAAAACAAAAAAACTGTGGTACAGAGAGAGTATGTCTTCCTTACTTTTGAGCCTGGTATGAAAAAGCTACACTGGACAGAAAGCATGTAGGATGAAAAAGCACAGTGTGTGGACTACAGAACCCCAAGCTTTTAAAATAAAATGTTCTCCCATTCTGGACATCACTGGCTCTTTTATTTGCTTATCCTCAATGAGTAAAATGAGATCACCCACTCTTTGGCTGCCTACACAGGACACGTACTGTAAGTCAATCCCTATGCACAATAATGGGTGGATACAAATGTAATATACAAACGGCACATTCCAAAGCTAGCAGGGGAACATTTCAGTTTTTTTGTTGTTAACCTGGAAGTCTTCAGTCTTCAACAAAAGACAGCACAGGATTGCTAAACTAGATAACTTTGATTCTATTCCTTCAAGACTCAATTAAGTGCAATGTTTTTAAAGCTTGGGCCATGATAAACCTGTTAGTCTAGAGCTACACAAGACTTATATGGCTGCATGGCATTCAGATCAACACAGTCTTCCCTCTAGGATTTGTCACAGTGAAGATAGAAGTTCTGCTTCTTGCCTCTCTCTCCCTCTCTCTTTCTCTCTCTCTCAATCCTGCTGCAAAACATAAACATCTATAAACATAACACTCACATAGTATTCTACAAATTCTTGTGCTATAATTGTGATCTAATTGATTGGATCCAGGCTCAGAGTAGACCCACTCAAATCAGTGAGACTTAGTTAGAACTGCTGGATATCTCACTGGCTTACATCTCTGGCTGCAGAGCCAGAGGTTGGGAGTTCAATTCCCCACTGTGCTTTCCTGAGAGGGGCTGGACTTGATGATCTATAGGGTCCCTTCCAGCTCTGCAGTTCAAAGGTTGTTATTATTATTACTAAATATTTTTAAAATGCCTGAAGTACCTAAGGAAAATAAATGCTATTGATTCTATGGGTCTACTTCACATATGATTGCATATTAGCTAAACCTTATACTTCTAAGCTGGTGTAAAGCTGCCAGAACATATTGAAATGCTGTCAACTCTATGTATCCTTGGAACCAACATAATAAACTATATACAGTTATTGGTGTATTTTCCAAATGTTATCTTCTTGATAGACCTAGTGTATGAATGACACTAACTTTCAGATTTGATTTTTCATGATGACTTTAAAAAACAAAGGTTTGTCCAAAATGAAAGAAACACATCACATTCTCTTCAGATCTTCTAACATTGTTATTTATTTACACTAGAAAGTGGATATTACTTGTGACCTGTTATTTATTTCCCACCTACTCACCATTGGCCCCTGGAAGAAAGGACTGTTCACAAACATTCTTCCTACTGCAGGGAATGATGTCAGGAAAAACAGATAGGCAAATAACTATGGATTGTTTCTGTGAAGGAATGGAAAAGCCAGTTTGGTGGTGACAAACTTGACACAGCACCAGGGGACAGGAGAGGCCGTATTCTTTCATAACACAAGGGCAGGGAAGTGTTCCCAAAAGGACAAAATGAGTGAACACAGAGCAGTGGAGTGGTTAACAATCTTAGAAGAGAGAGAGAACATGGACAAAGTACCCAGAATGGCTAAGGAAGCAAAAGAGTAAGGAACCCGAGGGAAGAATGAGTGGAGAGAGATGTCTGAAAGAAAAAGGGGAAATCGAACCCAAAAAAGAAGGAATGTTTGTGTGTTTGGTGGGAGAGAGATACAGCTGAGAAGAAACTAAAGACCAAGTTGTGTTTGCAGAAACTGGGCAGCAAGAACCTGAAGGCTAGGACAATGTGTGCCAGGGAGGAAAGGAAGGGGAGAAGGGAAAAGAGGACTGAATTTGACATCCTTGTTTGTGTTCACCAGCCACGTCTCTAGTTGATAAATTTAGATATTTAACCACTCGACAAGAGCAGCAGAGCTGTTTCAAATAATGTGTGGTTCTTGAAAAACCTGATGAATGAAAGAGACAACGGCTGTGATCTCATGCAACAATAAGCCAGAAATCTGTATAATCCTGGGTCACTGCAGATCAGGCAGGAGGTGGAGGCGTCCTGCTAGACTGTTCCCACTGATAGTGGAAGCAGGTAAAAAAAACTTGAGACTTTCCATCATTTACTTGTTTAGTGGAACATCTGAACTCAGCACTCTAACTTGTCTTTCTTCAGAAAAGCCAGAGAATAAGCTATGGTTTGCTCCTGGCTTATTTCTCTGGCTTTGCATGGAACAGACAAACCATAACTAAAGGGCTGAAAGGTCACAACAAAGGAACCATTGGTGGAAATTTGGTAGGGCTTTTCAGGCATGTCTGTTTGCAGTGGAAGGAGCAGCAGCAACATGCTATCGTGTCCACAAAAAGTCAGCATCCTGGCTTGTCACTGTGTTTGAAAGCACACAGTGTTTAGTCTGACCACTCTACTAAAATTCAAAGATAGGACTGTGCCACCTGTTCGAATTCCCTCTACAATACAGTCTCTATTCTTTTGCTCAGACAAGCTTTTCACAGCTTTTTCTTCATTTTTAAAACCAAGTCTTTCACCTTTACTAGGAACACAAGGAAAGCTGCAAGAAAAAGACAAAAAAGCTGTTACCACTCTTTGCACCTGTTCCAGCAACAAACATTTGTGCGCAAACAAAGGCATCTCCCTGAACACTCAGGGAGATGGGAATCTATCTACTCTAATGCACCTTAACAGCACATGACTCATTGCACTGTGCCAAGCAAGTCACATTGAACTCCACCAAATTTAATCCCTCTGACAAACAGAGCCTGTGGAAAAGCAGCTGCAGGCCAGTGTCTTTCTTCTTCCTCGCTTTCCTTTCATGTCACCCCCATGTGTTGTAGGGACTTCAACACAGTAGTTAAGTATGCATGGGTACCTGGCATCTCTTCAAAAGCCTGTCCATGGGCAAGGGCTGATGTACTTGTTAACACCATTACTGTACTTCATTTCATCATATAGGAACTATAGAATGGCAACAACCTTGACTCTCACAAAGAGAGCTCTGTTCCTGCCAGGTCTCAGACTTAGAACCTTTGTTGCACATTAGGACTCAGTCCTTAAAATATGCAACAAAGCAGGTATGCCCCTGTGCAGATGCCGAATCAATTCTTTGCACTCCAAGCAGCCAACCTTGTCCCTCTGTGCCTGGGATATGAGAACAAAGCTCTCACAGAGAGAGGGTGTGTGTGTCACAACTTCCAGTTGGTTATACATTTCCAGCTCAAGAATTAAACCCCCAAGGCAAATGCAAAGCTCAAATATGCAGAATAGTGCAAGTATTCAGGTGCCAACAGAGAGAAACATATTTAGGGCTCCCCTTGACTTGATACTGCTGCTTGCCATTATATCTGGAAGGAGAAGGCAAATATTGCTCTTTACCACTTTATTTAACATATTTAATAATTAAAGACAATGTGGGACAGTGTTTAGAGGGATCTGGGAGATCCAGATTCAGTTCCCCACTGAGCCATAAAATTTACCAGGTGACCTTGGGGAAGTCACTCTTTTTCAGACGAATCTCAGGATAAACTGCAGACAAACAGAAACATCTACTACTATGGACTCATCTGGAGGAAGAGCAGAATACAAACGTACTCAAAATAAACCTATGGCCCTTTCAGGAGTCTGCTCTATAGGCACATTAGAGCACTGGTTCTTAACCTTGGGTAATTAAAGACAATGTGGGACAGTGTTTAGGATACTGGAGTGGGATCTGGGAGATCCAGATTTAGTTCCCCACTGAACCATAAAATTTACCAGGTGACCTTGGGGAAGTCACTCTTTTTCAGACTAATCTGAGGATAAACCGCAGACAAACAGAAACGTCTACTATTATGGACCCCTGGAGGAAGAGCAGAATACAAATGTAACTCAAAATAAGCCTATGGCCTTTTCAGGAGTCTGCTCTATGGGCACATTAGAGGAAGGCTGGTTACTTGTTTGTGCTGTCCTTTCCTTCTCCAGATCAAACCAAGCAAATATATTCATCTCAGTTTAGAAAAGTTAATTTTTTGGACTACAGCTCCCGGAATCCTATACCAGTCAAGTTTTCTGATATTTGTATTCACGAAGGCTTTCACGGCCAGGATCTAATTGTTGTGGTGGTTTTGGGGGGTTCTTTGGCTGTATTCTGAAGGTTGTTCTTCCTTCCTCCTGTTCTCTGAAGATGCCAGTTACAGAGACTGGTGAAACGCTGTCCTTTCCTTCTCCAGATCAAACCAAGCAAATATATTCATTGCAGTTTAGAAAAGTTAATTTTTTGGACTACAGCTCCCAGAATCCTATACCAGTCAAGTTCTCTGATATTTGTATTCACGAAGGCTTTCATGGCCAGGATCTAATTGTTGTGGTGGTTTTTTGGGGTTCTTTGGCTGTATTCTGAAGGTTCTTCCTTCCTCCGGTTCTCTGAAGATGCCAGCCACAGAGACGGAATCCTATACCAGTCAAGTTTTCTGATATTTGTATTCACGAAGGCTTTCACGGCCAGGATCTAATTGTTGTGGTGGTTTTGGGGGGTTCTTTGGCTGTATTCTGAAGGTTGTTCTTCCTTCCTCCTGTTCTCTGAAGATGCCAGTTACAGAGACTGGTGAAACGTTAGGAAGAACAACCTTCAGAACACAGCCAAAGAGCCCAAAAAACCCACAACAACTCTCTGATATTTGCTGCTTTCTCCAAAAGTGTACTTTGGCCAAGAGCATGGAAAATTTACCTTTCTGAGCTCCACTGTGGCTATACACTCATTCAACTCCAGCAGCTCATCTGACTATTGTTTAAGCTGCAGGTAGACACGATCAGAATGTCTCAATTTTGTATCAAACAAACAATTCTGCCTTTCACAAGGATATCTTACAGACACATACACCTGTACCAATTCTGTGACAGCATTCCGAGGATCATCCTGGCAGATTAGCATTTTCTATTTGGAAAACAATATTACATTTTGACCCATTATTGTTACAATTTCTGGAACACATGGAATTGAAATCACCTCTGGCTGTTTCCCAAAAAAACAAAACAAAACCCCAACTACAATCCACTGCCTTTTCCCCCCTTAAAAAAAAAAAAACTGAGAATAGAATGTTTTGTTCTCAAAGGAGCTGCCTTCTCTGCCTGGTCATGTGAGTAAGAGGAAAATATACAAATTGAAGAACCAGAAGTACTGAATTCAGAAGAAGTTACTGAGAAGGACTATAAATTTCAAAAAGGTCATGAACTGGTCTGTGTAGAATTGTATCAGAAAGACAAGAATAACATAAATGTAACTAACATGAATTAAAACTGGAATCTATGAAATGGATGTGACTTTTAAATATCTTCCACATTAGTCTTGCACAACCTGAGTTCACATCTGCAAAGTGCAAAAGGTCTCACAGTTTGCTCCTTCAACATTCAGTGCCAACCGCAATTTAAATTCCTGGGGAAAACAATGACTTCCCTAGAATTCCTATGGGGTTCCAACAGGGCTATGCTATACCTTTTTTTAGAGGCTGCTAAAACTTCTGGATTTTTAACGACAATTCCCAGAATCCAAGAGCCAGCACGCTAGTGCAGCAATCCTGAGAGTTGCAGTCCAAAAAAAGTAACATTTCTAGCTTCTGTCTTTTATGTACCTTGCTTCCTCACCAAAAAAACCACAAAAAAAAAACACAAAAAAACCGTTAAGGAAGGCATAAATTTCCTTCCACTCTTTCTAACACGTGTACACCCGCCTTCTTACTCGGAGGTTCAACTCCCAGCGTTAAATCTTCATCCTGAATGGTGCCGGGGCTGAAGCTGTTCCCATGCCTTGACAACAGTGCCAGTGTGTGAAGAAGTCGTCCCTGCAAAAAGGGATGTTCACTCTCGATATGCTCAGAGACTCTCTCCGTAACTTACCGCGCGCCCCAAAAGGTTCTTTTCTGCTGCTTTGCAAATCATGCCAGCGCTCCGGCCACGGACCTGTTGGAAAGCAAAATCGGGCAGCGCCGGCGATGCCGGCTACTAACCTGCAGCTCGCACCAGGCGACCTCGACGGTCGTCTCGGTGTCCAGCCCCTTGTAGACGGTCTTGAAGGAGCCGCGGCCGATCTCGATGTCGAACTTGAGGTAGCGCCCGTCTGGGGACGTGGCCACGGCGCGGGTCTCGGCCTCTTCGTTCTCCTCTTGCTCGCGGTGGTCGCGCTCTTGGCGGCTCTCGGAGGGCGAGAGCAGCGGGTGAGGCGACGGCACTCGCTCGGGCGGGCTCTCGCTGCCTTCGGATCCTCTGGCCGGGGCAGCGCGGAGAGCGGGGACGGCCTCAGAGCCCGCCGACGGCACCGACGCCTTCGTCTCCAAAGTTAAGGGGGGGGACGGCACCGACGCCTTCGTCTCCGAAGTTAAGGGGGGGCCGGCCGGTGGACTCGTCCGGGCACCCAGGTCGACCAAGCTCCGTCGGCTGATCTTGTAGGTCGACCCGCGGCGGCCCGACGGTCTGCGCGCCCGAAGAGCCGCAGCCTGGGCAGCCTCCTCGTCTAGGCTGCCGCAGCTCGCCAGATCCACGCCGGTCGTGGTCGCCGCCTCGGGCTGCGCCATGAGCGCCCCGACGCCGGGGCCCGGATCGGGCACTCGCAGCATGAGCATCGGGCCAGCCAGGCAACCAAATACCGTGCGTCCGAGACCGAGCGTGGTTAATGCTTTCTAAGCTGGACAGCCGCTACGTGCGCTCTAGAGGGAGAGAAGGAGCAGGAGGCGGCGGCGGCGGCGGCAACGGCACCGCCCCCTCCAGACACCCAGTCCCGCAGGCCGCTGCTCCGGCTGCTGCCGCTGGTCTCGCTCCTTCTGTAAGCGAGCAGGGCGAACCCGCCTTCCCGCGCCTTCCTTCCCCCTCCCCGTCCCAAGGTAACCTCCCCCGCTGCACCTCCAGGAGCTGAGCCCGCCACCCCTCTCAGCCCCGACACGCACGCGCGCTTCTCCAAATTGCTCCTCTCGGTGGCCCTCTTTGCCTCTCCCGCCTTTTCTCTTCCCTCGCTTTCCATAGGCAGAAAAGTTGTGGCTTCAGCTGTGGGAAGCGTGTGTGTCTCTCTGTGTGTGTTTGTGTATGCGCGCGCGAATTTGGGGGTCAGGTGTTGGGACATTATGTGGCGCCGCCTGCGTCGATGTCCCTTTCGGGGGGGAGAGAGGACGAAAGTTCTGGCTATCCTTGTAAAAAGCAGGAAGCTTTCTGAGGAATTAAAAAAAAGGTTTTAAATCCCCCAATGCGTGTTATATGGCGTGAGTGACGCCAATTGAGGCAAACGGTGTGTGTGTTAACGATCGTCACCGCGATAACAGCCGTCTAGTTTTACAGCCTGACGGAGACTGTAAAGCCTGCAGGGGTGACGGAGGTCTCGGCTGTACAGTATTCTGTACCGCACTTGGCGCGCTCTGGGGAGGCCTCTTGAAAATTAAATATCCCCAAGTGGTGTGGTTTATTGTTGTGGTTTGTTGAATTTCGTCTCTCAGTCTTAACGAGTCTGCTCTTCCTCACCTTCCTTTAGTTTTACAGTCGTCCAGTGAGGCTGATTAAGGGTGAAGCGGTCAGGTAAGGAGAGTCAATGAGGCGTTCTAATGAACTTAATTGACTGGGTCGGTGCTGCACACCCCCCATCCAAAAACCAACGTGCAGTGCCAGGTCCTCGTTTAGTCATTTCCGACTCTTCGTGACCTTGGGTCGGTGCTGGACACACACATCCAAAAACCAACGTGCAGTGCCAGGAATTGTCGTAGTCACTCTTCGTGACCCCATGGACCAGAGCACGCCAGGCCCTCCTGTCTTGTATTGCCTCCCTAGTTTGGTCAAATTCATGTTGGTTGCTTCAATGACACTGTCCAACCATCTTATCCTCTGCCATCCCCTTCTCCTCTTACCTTCACACTTTCCCAGCATCAGGGTCTTTTCCAGGGAGTCCTCTCTTCTCATGAGATAGCCAAAGTATTGGAGCCTCAGCTTCAGGATCTGTCCTTCCAGTGAGCACTCAGGGTTGATTTCCTTGAAAATTGATAGGGGACTGCAATCCAAATCGATAGTTACAGTATTCGTAGTGACTGGCTGGATGTAAATTGCTGCTGATTGACAAGGTGTCAGGGCCCATCTCAGTTGTGCAGTGGTGTATGTGATGAAGCATGTGATCAAGGTGCACCCCAGCATGTTGCCAGGCAAAGTTACAGATACCTTATGTGGACACCAGTAGGATTCTGGCCATTGTATTCTTGATATGGAGAGCCAGTGTTGTGTAATGGAAAGAGTGTTGAATACTGTAGTCTACTTGGTAGACTTGGGTTCAAATTCCTTATCAACCATGGATACTCACCAGTGTGTGGCGGTGATTCCACCAGCATCTCACATACCTTGAAAACATTATTATCATTACCACAAATTGGAAACAACCTGATTACACACAACAACAACAGTTTTAATACAATGGAGAGAAGCATGGGGTTCTTTGGGTAGGGGGAGGCTGTTGGGTTTTTTGTTGGTTGCTGATAGTAAGGCTGGGTTTTTGTTGTCCCCCCCATCATAGGCAACAAAATAACTTGGGCAGCCTTGGTTACTATGCACCTTGAGTTTGAGGGTAGGCAGGCATCTGTTGCCTCTAGCTCAGGAAGCAAAATGTACTAGATGGCTCTATACAGAAACTATTTTCAGTGCCAATGCTGAGTCTTTGAACATACTTGAGTGGTTCCCTTCTACAACCTTGTGCATCCTGCAAGTTTGGGATTTCAGTACTTATCTGCCCCAGCTAACGTGGTTAATGAGGAGGGATTATAGATGTTGGAATCCGAACATAGTAGGGCATCATTTTGACGAAAACGGACACTCTGCAATAAGAAACGTTTCGAAGCATGGGTCAGAGTGCTCCTTACTTGCAGATCCTGTCATCCATTATACAGGGTAATGGGGCAAGAATCCCAGTTTCCTTGTTCCTACGAGCCTCTTTTTAGGAGTTACCCACTACCAATACTCCATCACTTTGTATTTTAAACCAACATATCATGAATTTTCAGCCAGGGAGTGGAGAGACTAATATTCTTGGGTGCTGTTATAATTTACCCAAGGACACAGAAGAAGGTCAGTGTGGTGTTGCAAGGGACAGGAAGCAATTCTGTGTGTGCTTAGTTGGGACTCTCCAGAAATAAAACTCAGGAAACTTTGTGGGACAATTCTAAGTAAATACACACAGCCTGGCCTGCGGAACGTCACTCCAGGCTCCTTGAAGGAACAGAACATGTGACTGAAAAACACAGGTGTAAGTGTTGCAAGCTGGTTTTAAAAGCCAAGTTACGATTACTGTACCTTACTATTTTATCTCCTTGGCAAATCACCTATGAAAGCATTTTCACTGTACTTCTAATTATGAACATTGTGAACAAGCAAAATGCCATAAGCTATGCTAATTATGAGCTAGATTTGCTAAAACTTTGCTTTTAGGATAGCAGTAGTTGAAAGCCCAGAATGTGGAGTAATTGGAGAAATGTCCTTCCAGTTTATACTGATGAAAATATTTAATTGATGTGTTGCGCTTTAAAATGGCTTTTAAATCATGTAAATTCAGTGTTTGTTTTTAATCTGAGGATTAAACAATGTCTTAATATTACCATTTATTGTGGTCTTTAAAATGGTATTTATTTATACATTGATATTGTAAGCTGCCTTGGGTTCTGCAAGGGAGAAAGCCCGAATATAAATAAATGGATGAATTAATTAAGTATTGTATGGTGATTTTTTTTTTTGGCGGTACCCTGCAGCATTGGGTTGGCTCACTTGCTTGAATTGCTTGTGTCACTTTTTCTGCAGTCCAAAGAAAGAGATGGGCCTCAAACTGCTTTCAGAAGGCAAACATTGAGATTTTAATGATTGAAATGTATGTTGCAACCTATACATTTTTTTCTCCAATTATCATTGGTATAACTAAGATGATGTGGTGTGGTTGTTTTTTTTTAAAGCTTATCATTGTTAATCCTTCCAGGCTACAGAAACGGGGATGTTATTCATTCCATTATTATGAATGTACGTTGATCATGCATGCTGTTTATACAATGTGATATCATTTATGTTTTCAGGTGTTCACAGTTTGTATTAGCACATAGCTTTTGTTGTAATATATCTTTTAAAAACACATGGTATTTATTTTAGTGCCACTGAAGGAGTTTTGCTTCACAAAATCCTGTTTTTCCACCTCTTTGTGGCATGGAGGTGACCCTGGGGTAACTCTTCAAGGCTGTGCTAATGGAGTGCAAACTCCAGAATGTTCTGAGAAGCTGGTACAGTAACGTTCTGAGTACCATTGGCTGGTGGACTGAAGGTCTGTTGTTGTAGGACCAACTTAGATAAATGTGAAAATGTGACAAATTGCCTGAAGCAACTATGAATACAAATTCTTCAGAGTGCTGTCCTCTGAAGATGCCAGCCACAGAGACTGGCGAAACGTTAGGAAGAACAACCTTCAGAACACAGCCAAAGAGCCCGAAAAACCCACAACAACCATATGAATGCAAATGTTCACCCATAAAAGTATGAAATAGTTGCAGTCTGTATCTGTAGAAGGATTATCTGCACCAATAAAAACAAAACTTCTCAAGATATTCAGAGAGGAAGTCCATGGTTAAAACTAGAGCTGGAAAAGATTATCTTTTTAAAATTACAACTTCTGGAACTTTTCTTTTTGATTTTAGGACTTACAGTCTAAAACGTGACCATTATAACCTCTGATTGATATATGCTGCCCACTCTTCAGGAAAAAAAGTGGCTTTCTGTCTGTCTCCACCATTTTTTATCCCCCCCCCCCACCGCGGTTAGGAAACATTATCTCCCCCAACCTGTTCTTGCCTGCTTATCTGCAGTGCACCTTACTCTCTATGTAGCATGCAGTATTCTGGATTGCATTTTGCCAATCTGGGTGGGAAGGCTGAAGAGCGAAGAGCCTTCTATACCGAGAAAGATTAGAATTGCTTTATGCGGCCCAGAGGGTCTACCTTCAAAACTTGGACTCCCATGAAGGAGAGAAACTGATTACTAGCAGGAAAGAAATAAAAGGAAAGGGGGAAAGGTGCACACTATGTGTGATGTTGCTCATTCAATTTGCAGTTGTATGAATTCTAACCGCCTACCCAAATAATGAACAAGAAATTGGAATACTGCAGGGGCAAGGGATCGTTCACTCTTCGTACCCCCTATTGTGGTCATGATCTGGATTGGCAGAGAAGATCCCACTGAGGCAATTCTAAACTTTCTTTCTGGCCCAAATAGCAGCTACAGAGATTTTTTGCAGCAGAAGAACTGAAGTGGGATGGAAGGAAGAGGTCTGCTGACAGGTCTAAAGCAGCCTGACCCAAGGTCCCAATCCAAATCAGGGCCATGTACCTGCTCTTTACTTTTTTTTTAGTTTTACACATTGTAAATCACAAATTGTATCACATCTAATTTAACCGTAGACAGTTGGCTCTCATTTCCAACTCGGCTGTGGTTTGACTCAAGAAATGACCTTGCTAAAGCAGTGGAGCATAAGAAGCCATGAGTGCATAACAGTCCACCTCTTTCTAGGAACTAGCCAGTCCTCAGCTGGAGAGCTGTACTTAGGCTTTTCAGTGGAGCTGGGGGATAG